TAAATTAATTGACATGGTCGAAATGCGATAAATCAAATTTTTGTCAAATATTATTAACTTATACTTTTCTCTTTATAAAAAGATTCAAGCTACTATAAACCAAAAATTACTACATATATGCGATATCCTCTTAAAGGGAACGAAAAGGAGTATGTTATGAGCTGTTAATGAGTAATACTATTATAACATCATTTTGGCTGGCAGGATACACAAATTTCTCACCCTCAGCTCTTATGATTAACTTGTTGTTGGTCCATACCTACGAAGGGTTTTAGAATATTTTTTTAAAAATATTCGGCGCTTATAGATAATAGATGTCTACACTAAAAACCATGAATGACAAAAGTATTAGACCCACAAGAATATGCGGCAACTATGTTACTATCAGAATTGCAGTACACTATAAATATTACTAATATTAATATACTAAATATGTATTACCATTGATAAATGATGGGTAAGAAATATAGTGCGAATGAATAGAGTGCACGAGTAACAATACAAACATTACTGTCTGGGAAGTAGACTAATGACCCCTGACTAATTTATTTATCCACATCTGACGATAGGTAATATAAAATCTAAACTTAGTAGTTGAAATAGTACAAACAAATGCAATTTTTAGTCCCGGAGTATGATTTCATTTAATTGTTAATTCGCATTAACCTAACGGACATTGAAAATGGTTTTATAATGACATCGATTAAATTTACTATAATATATTTTAGTCTATAATAATGTTTATGAGCCCATTTTCATAATTTGTGGATTAAATTAATTCGCATTAACGACTATCTATAAACGTGGCAATTAAATTTTACCGCATTTGAAATACATTTATACAAATATATTCAAATCGATCGACAAACGCTTCCTCCGTTTCCGGAAAATCTATCATCGCGGTAATCATAATCCTTTCATCAATCGCTGTTATCCAGATGAATTAGACCACTGTTTGGAAAATAATAATAACTTACATCACAATTATCTCGGGCCAATTAATACTGCAAATAATATAATGTAGTAAATTCAAATAAAAATATTTATTATAAATTCAAAATTAAACTGGTGTATAAATAACGATGTGATCAATTTAATCTTTTCACCCTTTTTTCAAAACAAATAGACTTTAATATATTACGTTTATGCATACATATTACATATACAGGGGTGGACTATGAGATTGTGGGTTATCTCCTATTGAGCCGGTGTTTAAAACAAATATTTTCAAAATTATAATTTTTAAAAAAGCTATTGCATTTAAAAATATATATAGTGAAATTAATAAAAGTTTAGCTCTTAGTGAAACCATGGCTAAACAATTTAAATAATTAAAATATTTCTACAAACACATGTTTTATGTTAAAAGCGTTGAGTAATAGTTGGGTAATTATTATTTATTGCCATAAGTACTATCAGAATCAGAAGTCGTAGGGTATAATCTGAGCAATTGTCAAACTATACTGTTAATGTGATGATATTTACTATAAAACGAATCGTCAAATTTGTTTTTACAAGCTTTACTTATTTTTTATGCAGTAAGGACACACAATGTGTTTTCAGACTTAGTGATTTTTTTTTTTTTACCATTGAAACATATTTATTTAATGTAATTTACATATAAAACGATTTGTTTCGCAACAAAAATTTTTCAACATAGCTAGTTACCAAATATTTCCGAAAATAATATATTTCCATCAACTGTTACTTACAGTAGCTGCACACTTATTATTATAATCGATGGTGTTATTTCAATTAGTCAATACATCATGTACAGTTTTGTTCTTTAACTCAATTAATCATTTGTTTATAATACAAATAAATGAAATATAAATTTTAAACTCATATTTTATACATTATTTATGATATCGTTATTAAAAACAATATTATGATGTTTCAATACTCCACAAACCACGTCTACTGTCCAGTGTTGCTAGTCATATGCGTAAATTCTGACCTTACTGAACGGTAATACCTAATAATAAGTCAATCTACATATTATTAAGTAAGAAAAATATAAATAACGATACTAATGAAAATAATAATGGTGTAATAATAATAAATAATAATGTAAATAAATAATGATTTAACATAATAAAAGTAAGAAAAAATAAAAGTAAAAAATTTATGCATCAGCCGGGAATCGAACCCGGGCCGCCCGCGTGGCAGGCGAGCATTCTACCACTGAACCACTGATGCCTATGCTTCAAGTGGAATTTTTGTCACTATATAAAAACTTATTACATATTATCTACAATACGAAATATTATTTTAATGATTTTGGTATTATTTTTAATATAATAATTATTATTATCAACTTAATTAAATACTAAAAATTAAATCTAAGTTAAAAGTGATTTTATAATAAGTAGATTTAGAAAAGAAAATACAAATTGAAATCGGGCCATGGGTCTTCCAAAATTATCTTTTGTTGGTTTTTTTTATGTCTGGACGATACATTCTTGTTTTATTAAGGAAACCTTATCAAAAAAGGCAAAATCACACTTTGACGTTGTACATTTCTAAGCTACCAAGTGTAAATAAATCAACATTCAATAGGTATCTGAAAATAGTTATAAGTACTTAAAAAAAATATTTTTTTTAGGTGGTACTTACTTAGAACGAACAACGAGTTCTCCGACCAAGAATAACATGGGTATAGAGTAGGTGTATAGACTGAATTAAATAATGATATTATTGCGATTATTAAAATATTCTGTGTTTGATGACCTATAAAAGAAATAAAATTACGAAAACATTATGTTTGATAATTATTAACTGAATCTGTGATCAGTTAATAAAATCCCGTACTAATCTAATGCTAATCGAGCAATATTCATGCGTGTCTCATAATGCATTTAGAACTACACTCCCTAAAACGGCATTAATTTTGAGAAAATTGCAACTTTCAGATTTTTCCCTTAAGTTACACTATAAGACCTACCTTTGTGCCAAATTTCACGTTTCTACCCATACGTGAAGTGTACCTATTACATTTTTGATAATGAGTGAGTCAGTAACAAAAATGAAAACTTTGAAATTTTCCCCTTTTGAAAAGGCTTACTATTAAGGGCTCAATGTTTTACAGTATCCTAAGCTACTCGAGCTTAATCTATTTTCCAAATTTTAAAAGCTTACCTATCTTAAGAGGAAGAAGAGATAATATGTGGATTAGAAAAACTAGGTGAATTGGTTAGTGTAAAGATACATTGGCATAGCTGAAACTTGGCCTGGCGCACTGTCGTGCGCTCAGATTTTTCGCTTCCTCTCAACTAGCTAGTTACTCTGAACAGCTGTTATTTTCCTTGCCCTTTACGGAATTACAGACTCAATGGACGAATGAACACAAATAAAGATGGAAAAATGAATGGAAAAACAATCGAGAAAGTGACGATTTAGTGCAAGGATCATGTCATTAAATTTTTGGAGCTCAAAATGTTTGAGAGGACATTGTTTTAGTTCAAAACGATTTAAGTGCTTATTACTTATGTCGACCAATATTGTTTATTAAATTTCCTTATTAAAAAAAACGATTTTTTTTATTTTAATTCTAATTGCTTATATTTTAATTGTAATTTTTTACTTAATTTTGAAATGTTAGTGACTTATTTTTGTTTTTATACAGTTATTTTTATACTTTTACTTTTTATCATAATACGGATTTTATATATTAGATATTTTTCATAATTAATTTTCATTTATTATTAATTTGTTTATTATTTGTTCTCTAGTTGCGTGTTTATTTTTATCGACCATTATTGATAATTTAATTTTCTCATCAGAAAGAACACATTTTTATTAAAATTTAATTCATTCATACATTTATTGTAATTTGTTCGTTAGTAACTTGTATTTTTTTACTTAATTTTGAAATGTTAGTAATTATTTTATATACTTTTATTTTTCATCATAATACGGATTTTATATTTATACATTTTTGATAATTCAATTTTATTTGTTATTAACTTATTTATATATTTTTTCATTAAATATTTATTGATTGATAATAAAAAATAAGTTTACTCAACTAGTTCTATTATTATTTCTAAAATTAAACATTTTAGAAAATAAAAGCCAGTGTAATCCAAACTAGTACAGTATAAACTAAATACAGTCTATATATATATATCAGTATAGTTTATCATAAACTCTCTAGTCAGTTTATCCAGCGGTACAGAAAGGTTAGGTTAGGTTAAGCTGCCCTTTGTTTTGTAATATATAATTTTTTAATTAAATTAATATGAAAATAATAATAAAAATAAAAATATTATCTAAATAATGGTATGTACAAATATATTTCAAATAGGCACCTAACTCATTATTTTTAAATGATTAGGTATTTGTTATAAAAACATCCCCAGGTTTGTCTCATAACACGCTTGTCTAGAAATTACAAAACTATGAGGAACATATAATATAATATGATAGTCATATCCAATGTAATAATTTTCACTATAGAGACCTGCATGGGCCTATGATTGTAAGTTCGACAGGGCTTAGTTCAAAAGTTGTACTTTTCTCAGACCTTGTCTAGCTCAAAAAGATATTTTAGGTGCGATCTGGACCGTGATTTTTTTAAAATGAATAAAATAAATCAATAATAATCGGTCATATTTGTACATTGAGCTAGACCCGTGTCCTGACTTGAAATGAACGCATATTGTTGTCCATTGTATACCTATTGGTATTGTAATTTGTATACTTGTCTATAACCTTGACAAATTTAACAGTGTATTATCATTATTTTAGTTTTGAAATAACCATACATCTAAAATAAACAACTTATTGTTTTACTAGTGATTACAATATTGTACATCATCCCATTTAAAATATCAACAAAAACCGGCAGAAAAAATTGCCATATGAATGCATAATTATGACGCTCTTACATGTTCCAGCTGTCGTTTGTATTATGAAGTATAATAGAGAAGATAGCTGTTTCATGGCCTATTGGCAGTCACTAAAGTACCTACCAAACACTTGTAAAAACGTTTACAAGTGTTACTTTACACATATTGCAAAAAAAATAATTATTTTGAACAAAAAATCCAACCTATAAATATTCTATACGATGTTAAGTTTCACCATATGATTTGTTTTCTCCTAAACCAGACACTAAAAGGTACCTACATAACGCGTAATACCAAAAAAATGAAATCATTTATATTTTATTATCAAAATTCGTTTTCGGTTTTTATTTTAGTTGTGGCTTGTCTATCATTAAAGACGTAAGTGTTGCTCGCATTTTTTATGTAACAAGTGATCATGTTTATTAAAAAATAACCAAATAATTCTTCATTTAGTTGTGATGGCAGACCAAACAGACACCCACGCTACGGAAATAAATTTGAAAGAGAACAACATTTCAGAAAGAATTGGAACAAATCTCATTTTTCAAGTTTCGAACATAACCATAATCCATATAGCGGTATATAATAATAATTATAACTATTAAAGTATACAAAATGAATATACTTAGTAATTGTTACTATTTATGATATTAAAAAAACTAAGTTGGGAGGAGGGTAAAAACAAAATAAATTGTGAAAAATTGAGATCACGTTGTAAAAAACAAATTTTAATTTCTTATTAAACCCTATGAGACATCGAGTGGCTGTTGATAAAAAAATCACCATGTATATAAGTATTTTATTCATTTACCAGCTATAATACTAACTAAAAATTTAAAAAGTAAACTATTAATTCACAAATAAAAATAAACGAAATAATTTTTTTTTATAATTTTGATAATAGATTTAAAGCTTGTAATGTTGTTAGTTATTTAACAAAATAGACGTCTCCATATCATCCTCATATAGATCTATAAATATTATTATAATAAAGAATAAACTAAACGAAAGAGGCTGACCTATATATTTTATACATTTATATTAAATCAAATTTAAAAGCTTATCTCTTCATGGATAATATGATCAAACATGAGGCCATAGTAAAGTGGTATTTTTCCCTCGTGAATACGTCAACATTTTAGAGTTTTAAACGGATTGTGGAAAAAGTAGGATTTTTATTAAAGGACCTTCAATTCAATTACCTTGAAAATTGATTTTTTTATTGTAATATACCTTATTCCATAAGAAATAAGGTGTTCAGCACAATTTGTTTTATGTTTTTTACAGTAAAATATTTTTATTTAAACATGGTGCATGTTTATTTTACTGTTCACACCAATACGCGGCTTTTCGTATTTATTTAAAATAATTTGTTGCTCATATTTTATTACTTAAAAAATAAATAATTACAACTTTATAGTATTTTTTTTTTTTAATAAATTTTATTTATGTTTGTGTAGAATATTATAGAACTACCAAATACTTCTGTAATTTGTACCAAATACCGAAAATAATAAAAAAGGTAGACATTTAGTAGTTTTATATTATTGAACAACAACATAAAAAGTAAAACTACAAAATTGCAATTGTTTTCCAAGGAATTAGTATTATACGTCAAATGGGGGTTATCTAGTGTATTATAATATCCGTAGGGAATATCAAAAACGAAGAATAACCAAGGTACTTATTTCGCCTAAACAATACTTATTCACTTTTTATTTATTAACTAATTGATTTTTTTTATTCAGGTCGGCTTACAGAGCCCAATGAATCTCCGATAATTTGGCCACCACATGCCCAAAAATTACCACAAGTATGGTCGCCAAAAGAAGTAATGACATCTCCACCAACGGAATTCCCTGAAGTACCTAATGCCGGTTATGAAATGCCACTTAAATCAATGGCCAGTGATACCATGTACAATCTTTGGTTGACCTCAAGATACTTGAGATTAATGGCAGCAAACGCTTTGCAAAATATGAATTCATTCAATAATTTCGGTGGTAACTATTAATTGTTAACTATTTATACAACCTCTCTGTTGTTCCATTGATGAACTACCAAAATGCCAATAATACATTTCTTAGTGGCCTTAATAATGTTCACCGATATTTGCACAAATTTTAATAATAAATAAAGAAAAATAGAAATTAGTAAATCTAGCAAGTGAAACTCGTTTTAAATACCGCAGTAGTAGAAACGAATAATGAAAAGAATAACGGGTTTATATGAATAGAAAAGATAATTTATTAACAGTAAGCAATATGCTGGTCACTGGCTCAGAGATTGTATAACAAAATGAAAAAAATATACATACTTTGCAAGTACCTAAACAAATTTTATATTATACCAAGCACAATCAACAACACTTGGTACACTTATATATTTCCTATGGCAGTCTTTATATAAATAAATAGATAGGTAAATAAATATTTTTACCCACTTAAAGTACAAGGCAGTACCATCAAACATCTTTTTTCAATTCCTTAGAAATGCCTTTACAGCATATTATTATACTTTAATGACTGCATTTAATTTTAATAATTATCATTTATAGTATGAATTATAATATTAATTTATACTTATTGATTATAGAGACGATAACTGTAGTTTTAAAAATACCTATGTCTTATGTACGGATTGTTATTGTAAACACACCTTATATTTATTGTTTATATTTCAGCAAAACCAATGAACCGTTTTAATCAGCAAATGTCAAGTGGATTGTCTTCAGGTACACAACTAGAATCAGCGGTGTCGCCATTATTGGCGTTTTTCAATAAAATAATCGAACAACGACTAAATCATAATTTAAGCTTATTGGTAATGTATTAAACACACTTAATGCTTAATTTTCTTATGTGTTCTTTGTTTTTATTATCATATATTTGGAATAGAATCAAGATTCAGCAGAAAAAGAAGACGAAGTCGAGGTAACTTTAGAAACACCACAATTATTATCTTCCACTGAAGGTATTGAATCACAAATTCACACAAACCATTCCATTGAAAACACTACACCGCAAGAAAAAGTTAACGACAATGGTCATGTGGGTGACGATTCAGAAATGCAAATTGAAGACGTAACAGAAGAATTTGAGGAAGATAATGAAAATGAAGTTAGTGGAGAAGATCTACTACAACAGCAGCTGCTGCAAGGAACTAATAATAATCAGGCGGAAATACTAAAAACTCAAGGACAACAAGAAAAAATTAATAACAACGAACATCTAGATGATGATACAGAAATTCAAGTAGAAGATGTGTCTGAGGAAGTTGAGGAAGACGATGAAAATGAATATAGTAAAGAAGATCAACTAAAACAGCAATTACCGGAAATCAATAAAAACCAGACGGAGTTATTAAAAACACAAAATAAACAAGTAAAAATATATCAAGCAAAAGATCTTGATAATATAAATACATCACCAACGAGTGCAACCAGTAAACCTAAAAGTAATCTAACAACTAATACAATAATAGTTTAACTTTGATGTAATTACATATTGAAATACTACTACATAATACGACACACTACTACTATGCATACACATATTTAGAAAATGAAATGTTTTGAAATTTTAATTTTAGTAAAATATTATGAAGTTATAATGTATTCATTTATACTACAGTGAACTCTTGTATACAAACAGTTTACTTATTATAAAATTAAAATAAAAGAATTAGAATTTATTAAATACTTCCTGCTAGTAAAGAGAGCAAAATAATATGTCAAATTACTGTTGTCAGTATAAGCTGTCTGCTGTCACTATACAGTTACTTTAAAGTTTTGATAAAGTAGTATTTTAATTTAATTTTAAATTACTGAGTGTCATTGGATTCTTTTGCGTCTTAATTTCAACATTCCTTATCGCATCTATGTAAAGTATAAATTTTACATAAAATCAGTATGAATCAAAAGTGTTAAATATTATAATCATGGCTAAAGAGAATATTATACGTATTATTGTTGTTGAATAAATGAATGTTGTACAATTTGAAGATTGATCCACTTTTGCAGATCAATGTGTGATTAATCTAGGCAAAAACAAAACATATAATTCAAATTAATTTTATGTTGTTGTGGCTTTATTTTTGGAAAGTAAATAAAACATTTACTTTTAAATAAAACATTTAAGTTTTAAAAAATGTAAAAGCTGTTGTGGTTAGGTCAGGAGTGATGGTGTTGTCATCAATGGTTTATAAATACAGAGGCAGTTTAATTTTTTTATTTAAAAATAAGCGTCTCTTAAAAGTGCTATAACCCCTAAACGTATCTCTATATTTAGAGAGAAGTTAATTGTTGTAGTAAACCCATATTATAAACATAATACAGAAAAAAAAATAAATGTTATTTTTAAATAAATATGTTTTCTGCAAAACGTTTGGTACAAAAACAAATTTTTCGAAAATCATGATTTCGTTTAGGATCTATAGTAAATTATATATTATATTGATTTCCTCAGCAATCATTAAATATGTAACACATGATATAAAAAAAAAAAAAATGTAAGTAAACCATCCAGGAACTTAGATATATACTTAATTTATTTTTCTTTATTTTAATATTTTGAATTTTTATTGTAACAAAAAACTCGCAATATTTTTTCCTAAATAAAAATATTTGCATTTAAATAAAAAATTATTTTAAAAAACATATATTTTTTTTATCTAAGTACTTTAATTTGTAATATAGTCTAGTTCTACATAAAATATGTTGACAGAATAAATAATTTTGGATATCACTTTTACAAGAAAAAAAATATTATTAACTTTTGAAATGATTATCAATAAATTGTGTTTTTAAATCAATACTGACTATAGATTTTATTTAACGCCTTTTTCGTCATTGACAGTCATTCCATTATATAATTTAGAACTTTTCGCTCGTGTTCTGGTATTGTAAAATATTCCCAGAAAAACTTTTCGGCAAAGAAAAAAAAATCAACAATACGGATTAAACGAATTAGGTTACTGCATTTATGAAGAAAAAAAACTTAAGCTCATAAAATCATAGTGATTAAAATTACCAATTATAATTAGTTATTTAAAGTAAATTTTATCTGATAATTTTTTATTTAAAATACATTTGTATTAACCTTTCAAATAATTTACTAAGTACAAAATAATATTATTAGTTTATTAAATACATTTTTATTTAAATAGTTGTATCCGTTTGTAAATAAATTAAAGAATACTTACAACTAGTTAAAATTGAAAATATGTTTTGATAATTTTTATTAAAATTTTTTTAGGTAATTATTATACAAATGTTTTTAAATTTATAATTGCATAATGGCGTAAACAATAATTAAATTGTATTTAATTCGTAATTTTGTTTAAAAAAAAATACATATTTACAATAATTATTTAAATGAAAATATAATCTCATTTATGTGTATAGTTCATATTATTTTATGTTGGTTTAATATAATAATGATTATTAGGTCAATTGACTTAGGATAGCCTAATGTATATATATATATATTTCTAGTACTATATTTACAGTCTTATAATGATAAAAGACCAAAATATTAAATACTATTTAACACATACGTTCAAAGGAATTCGAAATGGCTATACAACAATAAAATATATTTTACAAAGGCTTGCGTGGTAATTTGGATTAAATTAAGCTGGTGAAGACCATATACCGATGCGTCTTATCGCAATGCAATATTATTAGCACCTTTGGTATGAACAGTGATATAAGTGGAGGTCAAATAATCTGGGTGTGTTCCGTTTAAGCCTATTGTGCGTGGGATAATTTATCGCCCTTTTGGTGAACCGACTAAACTAAATTTAAGTTTTCAATGATGAGCTTCCAATTTTGATGACATATTATTATTATTATTATTATTATAGATTAATATTAATACATGTGCAAGTTCAATCAAACAAGTGTATTAAACCGACTTAAAAGCTTATCGGATAGAATATAATAAATTGAAATACAAAATTCCAAATACAGTAATAGTTATTTAAATAATATTAACAATGTTCACGTCATGTAAACTAGTTCACTATTTTAAAAATTTCAAAATATATCAGTGATTACAGGTAAAATAGTGATGACTCGAAAATTAAGCATTGTTTTAACAAAATGCAGTGCTTTTTTTTGGAAAAACAACAATACTAATATTAGGTATTCTAGCAAATAATATCTAACTTTAAATTAATCTCATCGCTATTTGTATACAGATATGCGGACGTGCGTCAGAATAATGTTTTTGTTGCAAGATTCAATGTAAATCAGAGCCACAAATTTGTAATTAAAACAGGTGTTCTTACTTAATGTAGCCAGAATTATTAAATCACACAGGTAAATAAATAAAAGAACAACGTAAATAAGTACAAAAAAATACTATAAACAGAGACAAATTTAAATTGGCCTTATGTTTTTAATCATTATTATTAATTCCTGATTAAACAAGAAAGTCCAAGCTGTGTATTTGCTGCTTACAATAATACAAACGAGTTCAGTTCAATCAATTATTATACCCAATCGCAATTTTTTTTTCGATTGATCATAATGATGTAATTATTAAAACAAGTATTTTACAAATTAAGAATACATTTTCTTTTATATTATGTATTGATATATTGTAATGTATTTACTATTTAGTAAGGGATAAAGTTTTGTAAGTTATACAAATATTTTACTAGTAATTTTTATTGTTATTTTCCAAGAAATTTTAATATTTAAGAAATATCTATAACTAATGCTGTAGAAACTTTAGCTATTATTGTAGAGAACATATTGCTTAATTTTATACTGATATATTTCACATTTGTATGTGTATCTCACAAAAATCTCTTAAATTTATATAGTATCAAGAGCAAAACTTTGTAGCCAATCACATAGTCGGTTAGTATTTGATTTGAAGAACTGCAAACAATCTGACATAAATCAGACGTTAAACAATATTAAGTTTCCGACGAAATGTTTATTTTTGTAACTGCAAACAACGTGCTGGTGTGTGAACTTTTACGTTTTCAATAAACCCGAAGGCAAAAGCAAAACAGCTAACACCGATATGCACTCATACTTTCACATCAGAACAAGCGTATTGTAAGCAATTTTTTTCATTCGCATTCGCAACGCAATCAAGTTTAAAGAGACGTGAATAAGTGACCAATATGGGCCACCATTAAATCCAATAAGCGTGAACGGTTTTATAAAAATGTCTGTATTTTAATATTTAAAAAATAATTTCTCCATTTTATTTGAGAACCATTCAAGATAAATTAAAATTAATCGATTCTATTAGATCGCATAATCCTTATATATATAAAAATCTCGAGTCACGATGTTTGTTAGCGATGAACTCCGAAACTACTTTACTGATTTTGATGAAATTGTTTACACTGTGTGTAATTTGGTCGAACTTGAGACATAGGATAGGTTAGATAGGAAAAATTGATAAAGGTGCCCGAAAAACTAGGCACCGTTTTACATTTTTAGAGAAGCCCCCTCAAATACTCTTCTGTTGGTTATTACACTGTTGTCACGGTTTCAAATCTCCATAGGAATATAAGTTTGATAATGATACTTGGTGACAAACCGCACACAATCAACAATACTGTAATAATAATAACGACAAATACATTTTTATACAAAAACAATTAAAATTAATAGCTGTCGATAAAATTCTAATACCCGAACGTCACCTGGTAGGTAATATGTTTTTCTTTAATTATTACAATTCAATTATTCATCAAACAACAACAATAATATACATTGTACTTAAGTGTTATGATTATTAAAAAATCGATTAATATTGCAGATAACATTAAACTAGTTAAGGTAGTGGTTTATTTACAAACAAAAAAAGCAACAATTACTAGTTGGCTGTTCAAGAGCGAATGGGCCGTGTAGTACACATAAACGGCGTCGAAAGCATAAAACGAAAACAATTTTACAGTAGAACTTGAAAGCAGATTAATTGTGTTTAAACCATATGGCGGTGGCGGCTTACGGAACGATGGCTGGGACCGGAGTGGCCAATATGGTGTTGCTCAACAACTGTGACGAAAACCAGTTGATCGGAAATTTAAAAAAAAGACTCCGCAAAGGATTGATTTACGTGAGTTTCCAATTGGTTTACACTTATGTACCTAAACGAACTTTGTACAAGTCAAATATCCTAAAACAGTTTAAGAATAATTCGGGTTATAACTAATCACTAAACAAAATAACACCTAGGGGTCATGTTACGATTTGCAGTTGAGCAAATGCTGGTATTTTTCGACTAATAGAACATTTAGATTCACTCCATCTCAATATTTTTTTGCTATTGACGCAACTCCCAAACTGCCTCTTGTATTTTATAAGTTCCTAATTCTGTCTAACATAGTCACTATAGTGTTATTTGAAAATTTGAATTCAAATATTTTAGATGTGAATAGTAATACAAATCTGAATTATTCAAAAGCGTTAAATTTAAAATGTAAACTATATGTTGATCCCAATTTTCGAATAATCGAATCAAATATATTACTCGTATGCCCAACTATCACTATTAGTCACTCAAGTCACTCAAATTTTAGTTAATTTCTGATTTATATTTCACTCTAAAATCTAAATGGCACCTTTGTGTCAGACAACACCCTTCAACCCAACTACACTTAATTCTACATCTTCAACTCTATTCTCTCGTATAACAGCTAATCTAAATACTTACTCTCTTGCTTTAGAAATCTGACGCCACCGGCTAGAAAATTTGTTTTTAATTAAATCCCGCCGGATTATCTGCCAGAATAACTACTGATTATAGATGTATAGATTGCATATGAGATAGCGGTTTTTATTGGCTTTAAATAAGGTCTTTTAACGATCTAGATTTTAAAAAGTTTTTTTACTTTTCTGAAAAGAAGTACTAGGCGTGCTCATTGACACTTAAGGTTTCTATTTAGATTTCCGGTCGTATTGAACCCGACGATTAGGCGACTGTACTTAAGAAAAACGGATGCCCATAAGCGTTAACGTTTAAACGTGAGTGCGCATACTGTTTATCGGCTGTGCCTTGGGGTTTTCTGGATTTTCATTTTTATTATATATCCAATAAAAAATGATACCTGGAATGGGACTTGGTCGGTCGTTTAGGGTGATGATCGTCAGCCGCATTTTCGCTATGCAATAAAACAAAACGGCCTCTCCGAGTGAAGTGTAAAACGTATACATATAGGCTCCTCCGGTAATGCCGGATAATACGCGTAATAGTCGTTTGTCATATTAAAATTATTATTGTTACTATTATTATGATTATTCCTTTATTTCCGTTGGTAGGTATGAAGTATGTAAACGCTTTCGTTTAAGTACACCGGAGTCATTCAAGGTGTATAAAATATATATCTGTCTAGACGCATTCATGTAGCAAATCCTTTACAAAGTATGCAAAAAATATGTATTATACCAGTCTTTTTATTTTTTTATATTAAACAAATTTTGTTTTCGTAGTAATGAACAAGTTGATGCTTCAAAAAATGTAATAACACAATGTTAATTTTTTTCATTTCTATTATACAGTGCGACGGTAGGCCAGAAAGCGGCATCTTCTTTCTGTGCTTTAATATATATTTACACAAAATATGTCTCGATGGACTTACGTCACTTCTTGCATGAAACAGTTCATTTTGAATATGTAATATTTTTAAGTAGTGAGAAATTGAGTGAGAAGTTTTGTCGTCAATCATGCACGAGAATACAGTAATTGAAGAAGATGTGGTGATAAGAATAAAAGTGTGGTTGGATGAGCCAAAGAGGTTGAAAAAAGACTCTCGAGGTTATATTGAAAGTAAAAATTGAAAATCAAATGTTGACATGAATATGTAGTGATTAGTTTAAATTACTTTATAAGTACAGCTGTATATATTTTTTAATGTGAATTATTAATTATTTCTAATTTGGTATGAATATATGGTAAAACAACAAGTATTAATTATTTAATCTTGTGTACATTCATTCAACACTAAATGCATTCAATGTGAAATAGTTTTAAAAGTTATTAGGGGCGCCAGATATTTACTGCTATGATAGAATTACAGTTTAATATAAGTACTTTATAAATGTGCAATAATTAATTTTCTCATTAGGCATAACGTTTTTGTACGTATTGGATACTTATAATGATACATTATAATCTAGACATTATTTCAACCTAGATTAACTCTAATATTGCCGCCTTTCCAGTTATTAATTTGTAAACAATTTCTATTTGTAAAAATTACCACCTCTGTGAAATGCTACCCTAAGCAACATACCTATGCCTTGCAGTGGCTCTGGCAATCGCATATTAAGTGAATACTTAGTTATAAATATGTTGGTAATTAAAAAATTTAATGTATTTGGGATAGTCAACAAACAATTTTTTTAAATTTAATTTACTTTCATACTATAGTTTCCTATAATAATTCCCACTAACGATGACTTAGTAACCATCTGTACGTGTCATTAGATATTAATCCCTTTAAATCCTCAGCATTTGCGAACTATAACTCGTTTGATGTGTACAACAGTTAAGAATACTGTAAAATAAATACATTTAACAACGCGGTCTGAATAAAATCTTATTCGCAACATTATACTCTACAGACGTACATCGGCGACGTGCTGGTGAGTGTAAATCCCTACAAGCCACTACCGATATACAGCGAAAAATTAATGATGCAGTACTACAGCAAAAATGATGTTGAAGATATGCCACACGTGTAAGTGTTACATTTTGTACGTATTAGATTTAAGGTTGGGCAGTAATGGGCCTAAATATCATCAAAGTCTTAAATAATACCTAGAATACTCTTACATTCTAAGAGAGAGGTAAATTTCACAGAAGCTTAATTGCATAATATTTAAAAGAAAAGAACAAGTTTACTAAAGTTATATTTTTCTAATTACAAAATCTAAAAAAAAACCCATTCAAACCCCTCCCCCCCCCCATCACTGTTAAATCAGACACTAATTTTGTGTACTATACATATTTTCTAAGTGCAGAACAGTGAATTCTTTATATACTGTAATATCATTTTGTAGTAACAACTAACAGCCTACTCGTAAAAGAAAATCCAGTACAATATTATAAAAAAATAAAAAATGTATAAAATACAATCAAATAATTAAGAACACTGATCAAACATTTTTATACATTTTTTAGATATGCCACTTCAGCCAACGCATTTAAGTCATTAAAAGAATATCACCGCGAACAATGTATTTTGATATCCGGTAAGTATAAGATGAGTAATAATAGGTAATATTATCATCATCAATCTTCAATTTTCGGAAATCGCTTTGCTTCGTATGTAGCTAAATAATAGAAAATTTGGACTTTTAGAGAAAAAAAACCTAGAATATTAATATAATTTAACTGATAAATGTTAAAACTCTCAAGTAGGTAAAAAGTTCTGTTGTAGAAAAATAATTGCTAATATTTACCTTATTATTATATATCATAATACTATTCAGTAATCGTGCTTTCAATATATTTTATATGGTCTGTTTAGAACAGACAAAATCATTGACCATAATATCCATAGACAACCGAAATCATCAATCATTAGTGTTTTAAAGTACACACAATGCCAATGGTCAATGGATTTAACAGTGTAATCTATCTTAACCAAACCAACATTTTTAAATATTATGTCCAATGTCCTTTTTTTATAAATATCGCTTTTTCATCCAAGTTTTAAACATATACAATTGTTTATTTTTTTTTGCACTATACAACTAGTCAAAAATGTTATAGCTAATTTTTTACTACTTATCTAGGTACGCAATAATTATTATCAGGTATTAATATGTTGATTTAGGTGAATCCGGTGCTGGGAAAACGGAAGCGTCTAAAAGAGTACTACAATTCATTGCTACAGCGTCACGCGGTGTTGAATCTATCAAAGACAAACTTATAGTGTCCAACTCGGTTTTAGAAGCATTTGGAAACGCTAAGACCACTAACAACGACAATTCCAGCAGATTCGGAAAATACATGGACGTTCAGTTTGATCTTTTAGTAAGCGTACTAATGGGAAGTACACGGATGTTTTAGTATAATAATGAGCCCATTAATATTACAAGTATTTCGTTTCTTCTATTGGGCCATTCTATGTGAAATCAACATGACATTTTCAATCATATTTCAAATATCTCTACAATTTTTGATATTTATTTTAAATGCAACTTAAGTGTGTTACTCAACTTTGGTGCTCGAATGCATTTTTGTGTGCATTACACATAAATTACTAATTATTGAAATAATTAGTACATTACATCGAACACCTAACCAAGGTTCAACTAAAGTTTTTTGGTTTAAATGACTAAAAAAGGGTTATTTTTTTAATGTTTTACATAAAAATCTATGTTTTCTATTGTTAAAAATTATGTTTTATTCGTGTTAAATATAAACACAAAGTTTAAAATTCTATCATCACCTTTATAAAATAAAAACCCTCAGGACATTATTGTTACTTAGTATGAAACATGACTAGGATAATATTTTTTTAAGATATATTCTTCATTTTAAAACTTTAATTCGTCTTTAAAAATGTAAAAAAAATCATATATACTCTTCAATTTGGTTAAACGGTTTATCTTATGATGACGTCAACATTTTTAGACTTAAATAAACAATAAAAATAAATCAATTATTCAAATTTTGTCTTTGAATTAATTGATTTATTTTTATTCCTGAACTTAGGTTTTAAGTTTTTTTTAAACTATATTTTGCTGGTTGATGTTAATTAAACCCAAATAATATTACAAATCAAATAACGCTGATTGCTTAATTAATGAGCTGATTTTTGGATTCTACCAATACTTACTTATTGCATATTTATATCATAAACTCATACATTTTAGTTAAAATAGTTTTATTGTAGTAAAGTGACACTGTTATGGCATATGATATTTAACGTCACCTTTATTTATCATTTCTGTTCTTAAAATCGTATACCTAACTCTTAGATTCTCATGACAGATTATCAATATTAAAGTGCGGGTCGTAGTAATAGTGTATTAATATTAAAGGGTCGACCGGTCGGTGGAAATGTTTTGAACTATCTGCTAGAGAAATCCAGGGTTGTAAAACACAGATGTCATGAACGAAACTATCATATATTCTACCAGTTGATTAACGGAGCCGATGAATGGTTGACTCAATTACTTGAAATCGACAAGGGAGTCGATTATGTGTACCTAAAAGCAGGCGGTCACGCTAACGGTAACCAGCCAGAAAAAGAAGTTAGTTATACTCACGAAATGCTAAAAACAATATTACTAATGTTTCACTGAGCTAACCAGACATTTGTCATAGCAGGTCGACGACGATGCCATCAAATACAAGGAAACGCTGAAGGCTCTTCAAGTGCTAGAATTCGACCTAAACGAGAAAATGGACGTGTTAAAAATCGTAGCTAGTATTTTGCACTTGGGTAATCTGGTTGTCAATGAGTATGAAGGAAAATCCAAAATCCAAAACGACGGTACCACGCGCATAGCGGCTGAGGTTAGGTAACCCGATGTTATAAATTTTTCAATTTTGTTACATTCAAAATTTGACTCTTTGCGCTTCACGTCTATCATAGCACATTTAGGCTCATTTGGTAAAATAACTAATAATACTTTTAAAGTCGTCTACGCTAAAAAAATGAACAGAGAGTCTTTTTTACCGTTTTTTATAGGTATTTAACTCGACATATGTCTACATAAAAAATGTCTTTAGTTTGTAAAGTGAGGTCAAGGAAGTTATTTAATCTGAAAATGATCTAATCACCGTCAAACGCTTCGATGTAAATTTCGAGACTATAGTGTAAGAATCTAGCAAACTATGAACCAGGAAGACCCTTAAATTCTGATCTAACCATTTCGATGGAAGTTTAGAAACCATAATATACACAATAATAACACTTAATATCGACATTAAATATTATCATACTTCGTCAATAGGATACTATAATAGAATATTTACTACCCACAAAAAATCATAAGACATTCACCTCTTAGCAAAGTAATAATAAAATTATAAAAAAGTATTTTTTTTTACGACAAGATGTTGTCGTAAATGGTCAAGGGAAGTTAGGACAGCCAGTACGCCCAGTAGGAGGGATAATGAAAAAATTATTAGATCGGGTATGGTTTATTTTCCAGGTATTTCAAAGGGGTTAACAAACATTTTTAAAAATTACAGTGTAACTCTAGTCGCATCGAAAAGTACTACTTTAAAATCTTTGTTAGGTAGTACCAAAGATAAAATAGGGGAAGAAGAAAAATCCGGGATTTATAAAATACAATGTGAAGAGTGTGCTAAATGTTATGTAGGTCAAACAAAAAGAAATATTGGGGTTAGGTTTAAAGAACACATAAGGAACATCAAAAACCAAGAAGTACACAAATCTCCTGTTGCGGAACATTTATTGGACACTAATCATAGTATCAAATCAGTAAAATTACTAAAAAATGTAAATAACTCTAAAGAACTTAATATTAGGGAAGCAATAGAAATGTTAAATAATAGGAAAAATTTGTTAAACTGGGACTTAAGTCCATTACAAAACATTTTATTAAAATTTATAAAAGGTGTTGACAATGAGACATCATTTCCGGTGTGACGTCACACCCGGTATGATGACCTTGTATATATGTATAGAGGGAGATGTTCGCCCGTAATCGGTCTCAGTCTGTTGTTAGCGCTGAAGATGACGACATCGTTGTCGTAACATGTGTACGCAAGAAGTGTATAATTTTTATGGTTTAGGGTTCAAGTAGATTTTATATCTTTACTAATATAACTAAGACTATAATATAATATACTTAACTCTTAACAAATTACCGCGTTAATTCTTATCCGTGATTATTAATGTAAAATGTTCATGAATTGTATAAGACTGTTGCAATAATCGAACTTTTTTCGTTATAGCTACTTGGTGTGCCAAAAGATGACTTGGCTTTTGCACTGCTGAACAAGACGATAGAAGCGAACGGAGAAGTGATCCGATCGCATTTAGATGTGGCAACGTCAAACTATGCCAGAGACGCTCTAGCCAAAGCCATTTACAGCAGACTTTTTGAATGGCTCGTATCGCACATAAACAAAACTCTTCAACCAACACCTACGGTTCTCAAGAGAAGGCATCGACTAAACAAAACCAAATCCATCGGTATACTCGACATTTATGGCTTCGAAATTTTACAAAACAACGGGTAAGTGCACCCATCCCATAATAATTTCACAGAGCAGAATTTAAGACCAATAAAATCTTTTATTTATTAGGTTGTAGATAATTAACATTTTTTATTAAAAAATAATGACATAAAACATATATCGCATCGCATTCGCCTATCTCAACCGATGTTCGACTGTTGATTCAAAAATCCTTATATATTAAAACACCAACCCAGTCTGTCTGTTCATGAGTAATATTATTAAAAATTATCTTTAATTTAAAAAGGCCAATCTAATACAACAAGTAACTTTTGACAAATTAGCATTAAACTCTTTATGTTTCATTAGAGGACAAGGGTTCTAGTAGATCTTTAACAACTAATCCAAATATAAACTTATTAGCTTTAACCTAAAGCTATAGCTAACCCCTTAGCAGGACCTAAGTTACAGAACTCGGTACCATACATCTGAAAATCTAGATGGATATAATATAATGTTATAATATTTTTTTAGTTGAATTGATAGTTTGCTATTTAGGTTTGCAATATTCTTTAGAATCTTAACTTTTCGATCTTAGCTTTTTCTTTCTATAGACAAAACATTTTATTAAATTTATAAAAACTGCAATCACTTTTTAAAACGTTCAAGGTTTGAACAATTCTGTATAAACTACTGCAACGAAAAAATGCAAAAGTTTTTTGTTGACCTGACTCTGAAAGCGGAACAAGATGAATACCTGAACGAAGGAGTCGAATGGACACCAGTCAAGTACTTTGATAACGGAATTATATGCGAAATGATCGAAGACAGAAACCGAGGTATGATCCTTTGTTACTTAATTGTTATATGCAACTAATGCTATGTCGTTTTCTTTGTTTACCAATTCCAAGGGATTATATCGTGTTTGGACGACGAAAACTTAAGACGGGCCGACGCTTCCAATGGGACGTTTTTACACGAGTTAGCGGAGCGAATCAAAGACCATGAGTACTTCACGTGTTATCAGTTAGCGGACCTGCGCACAAAAAAGAAAGCCATATCTCCAATGGTCAGCAATAGCTATTGATGCTTTAATCTTATTTATAAAACAATATTTGTTAGAACTGAGAAGACAAAACAAGGTTTTCAATAATATTGGAATAATTAGATCATATTTGCACATTTTTCATTAAATCTCTCTTGTTATGGATACACAATAATTTAGAAATTATTCCCATATTGAATAATGAATTAAAATTAAAAATAACTGTACTTTACGATTAAAATCAGAAGTTTATACATTATTTTGGGGACTTCCAATTGAAAATAAATAGGTAAGTGACGTTCATTAAATAGGGCACAAAATTCCAACTAAAATACAATTTTAAATATTTTTAAAGAACATAACAATTCGATTCGTTAACATTATTAGTCATTTATTGAGTACATAAAACAAACATTACATTTTTAAAAACACAAATTTCGTGATTTTATTTATTGTTGACAATTTATATAAATATAATATAATCTATTTGCAAAGTCGTCCAGCCATGACCATATCCATCTTCATTTATAACCTCCACCTACTTCTTCTCGGCCTACTTCTACTTTTAAACCCTCGAACTCTTACCTATCCAACCCATTTTTCTATTTTATTTCTTTTCTATCATTCAACCTGCCCAAATCATTTATCGCTCATTTGCTCTTATAGACACAACTCAAAACATATCTGTGGCGGTTTGAGAATATTCACGTCTAAAGTTTTTTTTAAAAATCACGCTTTAAAGAAAAATTATGCATTCACTGTTAATTATTGCAATGCAGCTAAAATATTATTTATTACTTTTATAACATATTAATTAAGTAGATAATAATATAATGGTAGGGAAATGCATTAGTTTCAATAAATCGCGATTATTTTAAAATAAATGAAAATGGTTCTCAAGCAAATCTTATATGACAACTGGGTAAATACTAAATAATTAATTTTTTTTACTACCTTATAAGAAGACCTTAAAATCCAAATTTATAACTGATCATGTTGGCCTCATACAAATTGAACTATATTGATATTTAAAAAAAAAATAGAGTTTACAAAACATATTATTCGTAATGCTATTCAGCTATACTCTTAATAATATATTCTAATTATGAAATATATATTTTTTGTATTTACCAGGAATTTGAAATAGTCCATTTTGCTGGCACTGTAAGATATGATGCTTCCGAATTTTTAGAGAAAAACAACGACCCGCTGTTCGGTGACTTAAGCCAAGTCATGTCCAAATCTACTAATGAAATCGTCAAGGTTCGCCATCAAATAGTACTACCGATAAACGTTGACAAACCAAAAAAAATCATAAACCCTTTCCCCTAGAAAGGGGACAACATTTTCTTTATTTTACTTTTTCCTGCAAACTTTTAGAAATTAAGATCTGAAAATAGAGTGGAGCTAGATCTAATAAACATAACATAATATAACGTATACAATTTTTTCAAAAATATGTAATCAATCTTTTTTTTTTTTTTATTAAGGAAATACCAAAAAAAAGGGAAAGTTACACATTGACCGTAGTAAATTTCTAGGTCAACGGGTCTTGTAAAATATTTTCATTATTTTGTTAATTACGATTTAAGGGTAACTTTGACAATTATTTTGGACCAACGATCAACCTTATTCGTATCCACCCTAATAACAAAAATACATTTTTAACCCATTGTTGTCATTTGAAAGTTATTTTATCTCTTTTATTTATAATAATTCATATCGATCAGTGACCTTCCCCATCCTAATATTCTCCGTCTCCACTACGCTACAAACCCACTTTACTATTTTTATTTTTAATGAAATTATTAAATACTTTAAAATTTTTACAATATAAGCAATTTTTTTACGAATGAACCAATAATAATATATATTATACAAAACCCATATTCGTTTGTTTGCCAATATTTTATCATTTATATCTATTCTGATCTGATTATTCTGACTTATTTTAGCTTTCGCTTAATAGGTATGTACGAGAACCATCAAAAACGTTTATCAGTTGATTGTCTTAGGAGAATATATTGCAAACTGTCTTTTTTTGGTTTTACTCTTAAACGATCGGATTCCTAGTTCCTACATACCGATTGGTAATCAATTTAAAGATGTGATAGGCATTTTAGGAAATGTAGTTGCATTTTGTATACTATTTATTCTTTTATTTAGCCACTCCGTTTTTTCTTACGATTTTTTATTTAATATAAACCGAGGTTACCTATAAATTAAAAAAACAATCTTAAAAACTAAATATTGTATTTAAAGTTAATAAGTTTATGTCAAGTAAATATGATGAGATCAACATTTTTGTTCAGAATCTTTATCGAATTATTAAATTGGTAACGTATTCTATAAGTGTTGCGATACCTAGTCTCACACGAAATCTCAGTTAATCCGCCTCTATATGAAATATATTGCATAAATATACAACCTCTTAAAAACGGACTGTAAATATTTAACATATAAATCATATATAGATATTTGACAGTTATGAATTATCGCTATTAGTTGAGTACTCGCATAATATCGTGTCGTTTTAAAACGCGGTTTCAGACCATTTTTTCGGACTGTAAGACCCCGAACAAGAAAATACCAGAAACCACGCTGAAGCAGTTTAAGAAAAGTCTGAACCTGCTCATCGAAACGTTAGTAACAAAACAACCGTCGTACATAAGATGCATCAAGCCGAACGAGGACAAGGATCCGGGTAAGCTAGATCAGCTTCACTGTGGTACACCACATAGATTTTACTTATTGTTTATTTGGCGGTGAACTTTGATTGTAACGAACAAATATTTAGGAAAACCTTGCCAGCGAGAAATATATTTTAGTGGTTACGCGTAGTCGAAATAAAAACCCTTGAATGCATAAAATTGTGGATGTTTTTCAAATCGTATTAATGTGAAATTTTACCAAGATTTCAGTAAACAGAATAAACCTTTTGCGGTTATCATTGATTTCAGACGAATTCGACTGGGAACTGGTCCGGAACCAGGTAACGTTTCTAGGTTTGGGAGAGATACTGCGGATTCGAAAAGCAGGATTTGCGTTCCGTGATTTGTTTGCGTCGTTTCTCAAGAGATACAAATGTCTGTGTCCGGATACATGGCCTCACTGGAACTATACGTTTGATGCCGTTGACGCCGTTCGTCGCTTGGTCCAGTACATAGGTTTTACTGACAAGGAATACAAAATCGGAAAGTGCGCGTGCCCTATTTGACTTAACAGCTGTGGTTAATGTTTTAACGGGCACCCGTTTAAGCTAGCTGATCGTGACTATTTTTATAGGACAAAAATATTGATTAAACATCCGAAAACGGTGTTCGAGATCGAAGCTCGGTTCCAGAAACAAAAGAACGCAATAGCCACTATCATCCAAAAGTCGTGGCGCGGATACAGGGCTCGCAAGAGGTTTTTGCTGCTCAAGATCGCGGCCACGCGGTGCCAGAGGGCGTTCAGGCGACGGCAGCGACACAGGCGGTTGCTGAAAATCAAAGAGTATGAAATCGTTACAGGACGAGTAATATTGATACAGAAAAATGTCAGGCGATTTCTGGCCGCCCGGAAATACCGGAAAATGTTAAACACCATCGCGATCATTCGAAAGTATTTCGGCCGCGGTTTCGCGGTACGTGTGTAATTATTTTCGCGTTTGTTTTGTCTTTGTTTTCAGTTTTATCAAGGGATTTATCACCCGGAATGGACCGCCCAATGAGTACAATCGCCGGTTTATTGGATACAAACGAGCCAGATACCTCGTCGCGTTATCCGAATCGTTGCCCAAGGATTTGCTGTCCAACAAGCCGTACCCAGTTCCACCGACCTGTTGCTCTGAAGTGAGTCACAACGCATAATCTTCATGAAAGTAATCGTATTTCAATAAATTCATTTGTTAACGATTTGGATCTAAACTCGAATTCGTAGCCATATACGTGTTGTCCATAATCAACACTATTGAAACGTGCATAATAGTTTAGATTTTTAATCGTCAAGTGTATTATAGATCACTATAATGTAATTTGGTTCCTAGTTAATCATATTGACGTTTACTGGAATTATATCTTTGAAATCTTTGAATTATATCTTTATAGGCTTTTGAACACATAAAACGGCTCCACCGCGTGTGGTTATCGCGAATTTACCGGTTGAAGCTGGCTAAAAACCCGGTGCTACACGAACAACTGAAATTCAAACTTCTCGCATCTGAAATCTTTAATGGTAAGTAATTTGATTTTATTCAAATCAGAATAGCCGCTTTAATTAGTATTCCCTGCTGACCACATAAAAAACATACTTTATTGACTATTAGAAGATAAAAAGGTCCATGTATCGATTCATTTAAGAAGACCACAATTTGTTGTTTATCGACATTTTTATCTTGTAATACTAAACGTTCCTTTTAAATAACCAAAATTTAACTTCGATGTTTATACCAGATTTTATTTTATAACACATCATAACATAATTAATGGAGATTACAACAATATTTCTCACGGTCTTAATTGCCTAAATAGACTACTTGTCCGTTAATCAACTTCATTTATCATTGTGCTTGTTGTATTATAATTACTGTTAATGTTTAAACTAATATTCGTGTTTTGAATTTAGATTTGAAGAAAACAAATTGTTAAACCTTAAACAAAATTGTAAGAAATGTAATTCTGTAATAAAATCAGTTACAACCAAAATAGAATAACTAAATATAACTACACTATTTACACACCTTGCGTGTATTTACACTTGTTAGTGTAAATATAATACCCCATTCGAGTTTTAATATTTTTTTTAAATTTAACTAGTTCAGTAAAAAGTTAAAACTAGCATAATCTTAACTAATAATACTTAAATACTAAAAAGGAATACTGAAGTCTTATTATTAATATTTTACTTGTAATTAAAATATTTAATAATATATAAGTTACTTAACTTACATATTATATTAAACTCGATGAATTTAATAAAAAACCTTAATTAATTTAATGTTGTTGATACTATAACTATATAATATACAATTAGATGGCCTGAACAAAATTACTTTGTCGACATAAAACTATTGTTTTTATTTCAAAAAGCTAAGCAATACGTTGGTACGTATTACAACAGAAACCTTTTGTATCAATGTCACATAAACATTTTACGTTGTTTTCAAAATGACAAAAGAAGTTATTAAACGTCGAAAAGTGACGAAATATATATAATACTATAGTATGGGATCAATCTAATGTCAAACCATAGAAAAATTTAAATGTTTATCGAGCAGCTAGACTTTTATAAAAATAAAATTGTACTACTTCCATTTAAAATTTTCCTAACTTCACCAATCAATGTCGTTAACTGTGTTTTATGCCATCAGCTAAACTATCAATTTTCAGCTATAAGAAAACTATATTCAAATTTAAGTTAAACTAATAATGTCGTTATGACGTCTCTTATACGATTCAATTTTAAAAAACGTCACAAATTTTATTAATTTAAATAAGATATTAATAATATAATAAACCCCACTAAAAAACAAAAAACGTATTAGTAGATTTAAGTTTTATTTAATTGTAATTATACGATTTTTTTTTATTTGTGTGACATGTTCAAAATGTTGTACTAAAATAAACTAAAAACAAGTAGGTAACACAGTTTTTAAAAAAAGGCTCAATTTATACATTAAAGGGGTCTTACCGGATTTCCATCTATTAATAAATAGAAAACCGGATTTATATCGTAAAGTTGGCTTGTTGATGGGCCTATGTAATAAAATCAATTTATTATGTGCCATTTTACTAGTTTATCATTATACCCTGTTGTTAATTTAAAACTGGCCTTAAGGACAGATTGATAAAAATTAGAAATGGTCGTCGTTCATCTTTGACATTGAATAAATTGCATGTTAAAAACTGACTGAAGTTTTTATAAGGTATGTTGTTTGAGATATTTTCATGTAAGCCATTCTTACAACTATATATACAAATTGTGGCCTTGCTAACGTTTCGGAAGCCTTTCATTAACACGCTTATATTAGCTTCACTTGTATGTATGTTTGTATGTTTGTATGTAACTATGTAATTTTCTATCTTCAGTGCTGTGTTGCTTGCTGGTTACGTATTGTCCGTTCCGTGGTTGCCTGTTAACTGAAGCGATCATCTTGCAGTCGTAGTTTATATATGCCGATACGTGTTCTACCCCCGCTATTATTTTCTTGCTGCCTATCCCGTTGTTCTCTTTCCTTTCCATGGTCTCTCCTCTCCTTCCCCTGACTTCTGCTCCTGTGTTCATGTGTACGTTATTCTTTGGCTCTTCCTGTCTGTGCTGTGTATGAGAATAACCATAGGAACATTGAACCTCACAAACCTTTGGTGTTTGTAATTTCGGTGCAGCATCCTTTGGGCTCCAGAACAATTCTCCTAGTTTTATTACAGTAGAAAATATTGTTATGCTCTTATAGCTTATTTGCAATATTTGCTATGAGACCCGTTACCCCATTTATTGTTCATTTGAGACCACTTTCTTTATCATAGTCACCTGCGACAATCGGTCGGTTAATCGTGTTTTCATTACGTTTTTTACTGCTGACATGATAAATCGGTGCGCATTGTGTTTATTTCAGGCTAGGTTAGGTTGTTTTCCTTTTACATTTTCTTCATCCGCTATACGTACCACCTGAATGACCAGGGTGTAAAGAATTTCAATTTTATGTTTCAGACAATGATATGTCTAAAAGTTTAGAACTATCTATAGTGTTGCTTTTTTATGAACTGGCGAGGCGTCCCGAAAGGGCACCATGTTTTCTGTTTTATCAATTCAACTAAAAAGAACAATTGGCAGTTATTCTCTATTTCCATCGTAATTTTTTATGTTCGGCAACACCTAAGTAACGTCCACCCCAAGTGAATGAATGGAGAGCGGGTAAAAGGGAGGAAAGTCCACGGGAAAGGAGAAAAATGTAAGGAAAATTAGGAGGGGGAGAGTCTATGGCAAGGAGGCAGAACGACGAGAAAGGAGAAGCCGACGCGACGGTAGCAGTTTATAAGTATAGTTGTAACCATGAATCATATCAATATTTCAATTTGTGTGTTATTGGACACCCCTCGAGATTTGTTTATATATCTAAAATATGCCTTATACATTTGATGCTATTGTATATTAAAATAAGCTTCACATGCTAATATGTATTTCTCATCCAAAGAACTAAAACGTACGTATATGTGTTTGAGTAGGAAAAAAAGCTTCTTACCCTGAAAGCGTGTGCTACGGATTTCGGGAAGACCGCCACAATGTGATCACGGGATTCAAGTTGTGCGCATTGTCATCCGGATCGAGTACGGGTGCCGCCGCGGAATATCTAGTGAGTTTATCGTTAAAACCGACGATATCTTCGTACGACCGATTTATATACCTAACACAAAATATATATTTGTCAATGAAAGTACGCTACGTGCGTGACGAAATTCGACAGGAGAGGGTACAAACCTAGACCGAGGATACTAGCAATCACGAAGGACGCTCTGATGCTGGCGGAGAAGAACGACAAGATCCAGAAAAACAAAGATGTAGTTCCCTTACGACAAATAACCGGTTTGCACATGACCGACGGACTAGACGGTTTCTTATTGATCCGAGTGTCCGATCGACTGGAAACATGCAAGGTGAGAGCAATAACCGTTGAATGAAAAATTAGTAATTTACCAATATTAATACCCACCCTAGAATAGATTACTTATCAAAAAATATGGAGTAGCTATTCCAGAATTGCCCATGAAGTCGGCACTTTATATTTCGGTGTGTGAATAGTTATGCTCTTTGCTTTTATTTGTCTTATTTAGGGTGACATTTTATTGGAAGTTCCACACTTAGTAGAATGTGTGACTGTCGTCTCAAAACAAGTACCGGGCTTAGCAGAATTCGTCAACATGAAGAAAAGCGTTTGGTAAGTTTAATGTGTTGATTGAAAAGGGTGCTCAGTATTTTTTGATTTCTTAACGTATAACAATAGTAGGTAAGTAATTCGAATTAAAAAAAAACAGTTATAGGTAGTAAGCCGTTATTTTTAATTGAAAATAAATTATTAATTTAATATATGGACATTTTTTGGTTTTAACTATAACCTACACTTTAATACAGGTACTTAATGTAAATAGTGATAATCATTCGACATATTTTGGCAAATAGTATCCTAAGCTAGACTTTCTTTGACTTAAACATTATTTTTACTGTTAATATTTAGCATGCAACACCGTATCAGAAAATCAAAAAATCCTGGAATCGTGGAGTTCATTCTGGTCGGCGATTGTCAACAAAAAGGCGTTATCAGCAAAGGCAGCAAAGGAAACTTGACTATTACAGGATGACAGACGTTTCAACAATATTATACTTTTCATAATACGAACACCAATTACAATAGTATTAATATGAACGCTTTTAAATTGGTCTCGTGACTTAAAAATTTAAACGTTTTACTATTAAAAAAAAAAAATCGAGATGGTATTTTTGAATCTATCATAAAAGAAAGGTAGTTAACTATGTATTATTTTCCCTAGTATTTCGTTATAATAGTTTCATGATGATATTAGTATTATGATTTATATTACTTCGTTACAATGTTCAATGCACCGTGTACATATCGCCCAATCATTACCACTTATGTTCAACAAAATAATTCAACATTATATTTTATTAACATAAAAACTCCCCTCTCCCCTTATTTTTATATCAAAAAATTATAAAATGTTACATTTTAACTTTATAATAATAATAAAACATAATATAGTGATGTTATTATTTTTAACGTTAACATTTTCAAAACTGGGCGAGACACTAAATAGGTCATCCAGTTTCTTATTTGTCTTTTAAAATTATAATTTTTAAAAATGATACAAAAACTTAAATTATTAGCGTGTTTGCTTGTTTAATGTACTAGTTGACATCGTTAATTCAATTCAAAATTTGTATGATTTTATGTTTACTGTAGTTTTAAAATGATATAAATATAAAATGATCATTACAAAATCTGAATTATGTTTTAATTATTTGTGAAAATAATTACTAATAAAGGTATTTAATAGACCATAGTCCATAAGTTATCTAAACTTTACCTCTACTCCTCAACTTCGAATAAATTATTCACAAAATGTATATTATAGGTTCAACTAAATTTTAACTACGATTACAAATTCAATAAACCGTAAATACTATCATAAATAGAATGGTACAGCTGTGGCCTTTAAATTGTTAAAAATACAGTATTGAAATATTTTGTACCGCAACAATATTGTAATTAATATTTTCCAATATTATTGAACTTGATTTTATCAATGTTTTTTACAAACACTTTCTTAGAATGTTTAAGGCCTACAAAGAACAAACTTATTAGACAATAAAATAAAAAAAAAAGACATCAACAATAATATAACATAATAGTATGATCGTTTAAATATACAAACACAAGTACAACAATTCGAATCTTTAAAAGAAAGAATAGATTAATTGTAGCCAATATTTTAATTAAAAATGTAAAAAATGTAACATTAAATTTAAATGTTTCTGACTGTGAAAAAATATAAATTGAACTTTATTTACATCGATAAGTTGATTCAAAAATTACATATACATTTTACCATTTTATATTTAACTGGCTGCTTCGTCAAGCAATGATGGTAACCAAAATGCCATATTTGTACATGCAGAAGCCATCATCATATACTTAGGATTGAATTTTACACAGTGCACTGGTCCCGGATGATCACCGTTGAGAACACATATCTTATAGCCACTAACAGCATTCCACACATGAATACGGCCATCTGTGGAGCCGCTGAATATATATTGGGAGTCAGGACTGAATGACGCCTCGATTGGAATTCCTTTGTTATTTAAATGACCTGTAAATGTCTGCATAGGGGTGCCGTTGAAAGCATTGATAAGTCTGATTAATGACCCGTTTGTGGGTATAAGAATAGTGCGCCCATCTTGACTGAACTTGAGATCGGTCCAGTCGCATTCTTTTTCTTGTGGTAACTTAACTGTAATGAACGGCCCTTTGTCAAATGATCTATAAATAATTATAAACATTAATTTTAGAAATTAAGCATAAATTACACTTAAATTAAGCATATTTTACATACCTGACATCAAACAATTTAAGAGTTTCAGAATTAATACCGGCAGCTAAAACTAAACCTTCTGGATCGAAAGCAGCAACTGGTCGTCCAAGAACATTAATATACCCTTGACAGTTTGGTGACCTCAAATCCCAAAGCCTTAGACTTTTATCCAAGGAACCAGATACAAACATATCTTCAATAGGCGATACGCATAATGATACGACTTTCTTGGTATGTCCCGTGAAATAACGAATGTATTTGTTGTCATGCAGTGATAGATATCTATTGGTTCAATATATAACATATAATTTGTAAATAACAGTATGTAAAACCAAAAGTAATTAAAATTACTCAATTTATACAAAGTTAATAAAATACGGTATAAAGGTATTTCCCATTTTTTTTATGAAGTTTCGTCACAAATTCAATGTTTCAAAACTTATATTTAAAAATGTAATATTGAAAATATTTTTTAATTGTTTTTACAACATAAATAATTAAATCATATTGAAATATTTATTTTTAAATACTTTAATTAAGTGTTTTAAAATCTACAGAATCTATAGAATCTACAGAATACTTAAAATGGGTAATACAAATTGTTTAAAAATGTGAATAACGATAACTGATAATATTTTATAAAAACAAAAATAATTGATATACCTGATAGTATCGTCAACTTTGGTAGAGCTATGTATAGCAGTAGTTTTGGTGTGTGCAAAGTGAATGAGATCAACACCATACTTTTTACTATTGATAGTTTTAGACAGTTCACCTTTCTGGCAGTCGTATATGACTATTTGATCATCTTCGCTACACGATATGATGTAGTCACCGGCCGGAGAAAAGTCAAAACTGTTAATTTTGTCAGTGTTTTCACGATACACTTTAGCTACCTTAAAGCTACGGACTACATTGTCGACTAGTTTCATCTTCTCTAATCTTTATTATACTTAAACGCCAAAAAGATTAACTACAAGTGTTTAACTGCGGTGGTACGATGGTACCGGTCAATCTGAATAATTATCGGGTGTAGCCAAGTAATAAACTAACTACAACGGCAAGACTAACTGTAAAAGTCACGACGAAAACCACAACACGAGCATAAACGATAGAAACTGTTTCACTATAAGTTAAAAGGATAAAGCTAAAATTTTAACAAACAACAGTGTACCGTATAGTGACGAGTATGAAGCTAGCAATTTGTGATAACGATTTTCCGTAAGGACCGCAGTGGTTATCGACTGGTTCCCAAGCCATTATAGTATATTTTTTCGGGGTAACACAGTTACCACGAATGTTGCGTGCTACGATGTTATGTTACTCCGACATTTTTGTTACGAATGACAATTGCTTCGACGACAATTGACACGAATACATTTACAACGAAAATATGTTTTCGTTAATTTTTTTTATGCCACGATTTACAGTTACATCGAAGTTCCATTTGTAATTATTGCTTCGAATTACATTTACTTCGAATTCCAGTTACATCGACATGACTTATCAAAAAATCTTAATGTTATGATTTCGCTATTTTAAAGGACATTTACATTGATAAACATTATATGGACCTTAAATTCCATTTACACTGACATGACCCAACAACTAATTTATATAAAACTATAAATAATAAATTGATAAACTGTAAAATTGTAATACTTATTCACTCTGTTACTTTATCGATACAAATATAGTATACATAAATTGTTTTGACAAAACTTCATTAAAAAACAATATATTTTATCTGTGATATAAAAAAAACAAAGAATTGTCAAAGTCAGGATTATAGTGTCAATAACTGGTGCCATTACCCTAGTAAGAAATAAACACAATTTTTAATTTATATATTTATTTATTTAGTACAAATTTATAATTTTTTACAATATATTTCAAATAATGTATCTATTATTTTGTAAGAACACATGATTAAGATGGTTTCACTTGAAGTATACATTTTTTTGTAGTGAAAAAATACTTTACATCACATTTTTATAACTAATACTGTAACTGTTTAAATAATAAATAGCTTATGGTTTAATAGCTCTATTATAACTATTATTCTATCGTCAGTTCATATTATATCCACAATTTTTTCACAAATCCAATACGATGACATCAATAATTATCAATGAACCACATCAAAATCAATACAGCTTTTCACAATTTTTCTTTGGTTGTACAAATAGTTTCTATTTTAGATACTTACTCACCTAGTTTTTATTTATAGGTATACATTTAATTTGAACGTTCAAATCAACTTAATTGTATAATTGTATCTGCAGTCTAGAAGGGTCGATGTGTAACACAGGTATACAATTATGAATAATATTCAAAATAAATTACATATTTTGAATTATTTTGCTATAGTTCAAACTTTTAATAGTCTGTAAAATATATTTTGATATTTACAGCATTTGAAAAAAACAAATATATTATTTTATTATAATAACATAATGGATTTATATTATATTAAAATTAATTTTATTAGTATTACAAATAAATATTATTAAATGCACGTTATACAATCTACTGGGTTTATATAAAGTAAATAGCGTTTATATTGATTTCATTGATAAGACTGTTCTTCATTATACTTTCTTCGTTCTTCTTAGTCTAATTATATAATTGCAATCCATGAATGTAAGCTGAAACAATGTGTTGTAAATAGTTTAGCAGGTATCAACAAGGTTGAGTTAGTAGGTGTGTATAAACTCAAATGTGTATAGATTAAAATGTGTAAAATGTGATGCATGCATAGTACTGTTTATAGTTGTAAGGTACTTGTTTTATTTGTTGATAACTTAGGATAAAGAATATTTATTTTTCATATAAAACAATTTATACATAATTGTAGTATCGTAATACTACAATACTACAATTATTTAGATTTTTAAACTATCTCTTTTTAACTAGTTTATTTATTATTTGTTTGATTTTACCTAAGTGAGTTGCATAGTCATCTCTTAATGCTAATATGTCTTTATTCAAACCAGATATTTTAAACTGATTACTTTTAAAGCATCTAATATTAACCCTTAACCACTCATGTGAGTTAAAAATTTACCCCAGTTACATAATATAGACATGTGACTGATGTAAAAAGTTTACCTAAGACACACTTAATTGAAGTGTGACTGAAAACAGCAAGAGTAATGAAGTGTTAAATATTTATCAGTGTATGTATACGCTAATCAATTTTAATGCTAATAAATTATTTAAACTTTTACTCTTTCTTGTAATGGAATTGTTAGAAATATGATGAATAAAAGGTTAGGCTATCAAACACGAGCATGTTGAAGGCGCCCCAGAATGTTGGTCGTATTCAATGAAAATCTAGCCTTCCTTAAAACGTTTGAACCATACAAAAGTTACACAATGACTTAAAAAAAAATCTCCAAAAATCAACTCAAGTCTCCATAGTTTTTTAATAGTTTTTAAAACCTTTTCCAATTATTACAAAATATTTTCTATCATAGAATCGCGGTTTTGTATAATATTTATAATTTTGAACATGCACTGTTAATAACTAGTTTGAAATAATGACTTTAGTTATAAACTAAGTACTGAAAATTATCTCTATTTAATTTCTATAAAATTAGTGTGTTCTAACATTAATAGTTTATCGGTAGGAATTTTAGTCTGGGTATTTATTAAACACACCTTGTATGTAATGTATACTATTGATTTTTAATACAGTAGTTTATAATTTAAAAAAATAGTAACTATTGTTAATATTGAAAGATAAATTACACATGCAAAAAATGTATTTAAAATAAAAGTTTTTTTTTAGATACTGGTTTTTCATAAACTTTACAAATAGCAATAGTTTTGTTTGTTTTGTGATAGATTTAACATACCTTAGATGGACAATGTTCAAATCATATTGTATGAAACTATTTTTTTTAAATTTCATAAAGATATAATATCCAAAAATATGTTTAAAATAGTTAAGTACGCTTAAATTGACGCAACAAATACATGGAAATGTTATATCTATTATGTAGCTGAATGTTACATTAGTGTCTATTATTTTTAATATTAATATCTATTAACAATAATTCATTACCATGAGCATAAGCATAAGCCTATTGGATTCAGCAAATTAAACATATTATACATGTAGTAACCACAAAAAAAAGCAGTCAGAAAATAAAATTATAAATTGGTAGAAAACATTTCCTTGTAGTTTATATAGCCAATCTGTGAGTATGGAGTATGGAGTTAAAATACCTATACGTTTTTCTTATAAATAATTGTAGGTAAATAAAACATGTAAATCTAACTAATATTACAATATTAATTATTCAAATTCATCATAAAATAATACATAGGCTCAGCAGAGGTATTACGCTATCAACAACTGGAAATTATCATTTTATTGGTAAGCAAACCAAAATTATTTTAATGTAATAAACCACTATTTCCAATGTTTATTATTTCCATAGGATATTTACATTTTAGAAAAAATGATGGATGGAAAAATGGTATTTTTCAATTTTATTGAAATACAAACATTCCCAACGGACAATTTACCTCAAATTCACTTTTCCCAATAAACAATTTTTCCATAGGAAATGTGGTCGTTGGAAAATATATAAATTGGAAAAAGTGGTAGCAACCCGCTCGTTTATGGCTAACTTCATACTCGTAGATTTTTAACACTTAAAACCACGATGTAGAGAAGATAAGGTGACACCACTCAACTTCTTATCAGTAAAAATTTGGGGTCGAATGCTTCGGGCATTTTGGTAGTTCAGCTTCGCTGTACAGGTGGCGCCACCATTCGCCCGGAGACCGATATTTTCTATGCGGCTTATGGACAATAAACGTTTTATTTTTTATTTTTATGTTAATTATTCTTTATTTGGAGTTTTTATTATTTTTATTGTCTTATTTAGTAATAAGTAATTATTTTGTTAACTTTTTTAACGGCATTAAAGTAAATATTAGCACTAGAATATAGCTTTCATAATTAATTAAATTAAATTTATTCTGATCTAGTCTTTGTCCAGCACAATTATTTATTTATTATTATAGCTACTATACTAATATAAAGTAGTATTCCAATACTAATTAGTCATTAGTATACATGGCCATAATTTCTAAATTCTAGATTAGAGTAATAGAATAAAACTATAGTAGAGCAAATATTGCCAATAAATTATAAATTATAAATCTAAAAGATCTACATTAGTCAATGAATGTTATTTGTAAAAATGAATAAGAACAACAGTATTCTATAATTATATATGCCGCGGTTTATTATGTAGACACAAAATATAAACAATTATTTGTGATGCAAATATCATCTCTAGGAACACAATGCAGAGAATATGTCGCTACTTCGTCACTAGGCATTGCACGTATGGTTGGGCTTGAATTACACGGTAGTCGGGCTTTCGAAGATACTTAATTGGGGTTTATTAAAATAATTAATATCCACCTTACACAAGCGATGCTTATTTTTCGGGGGTAAATTAAAATAATCGGAAAGAATGTATTGTTATGTACAGTGGTGTATTACAAGGGAAGGGTTCGGGTTTAAACCCCCCAGAGCCAAAAAAAATTGTGTTTTAAGTAATATATTATAGGTATTTATTATATAACTGTTACAATGTTACTCTCTGAAGTAATTTAGAACTTGAAGTAAATAAATAATAATTTAATAATTATATTTTAATTATTAAGTGTTAAGGGGAATTGCGGCTACCTAAGTAAGAATTAAAATACCTTCGGAACTATAAGTCCAGAAATATCGTTATTCTTTATAACGAATTATTCTTTAGACCTTCAACAACTATAAACTCAATTTGAAAAAACTTCTCTGGTGCTTAAAATTCGATATAGGAAGGGGGAGGGAGGGGTTGAGGAAAATTTTTGTCTTGTACATAATACGTGCTATTATATTATATATCGTATAGAATAATTTCATATATTGTTATAAAAGGATAGTCATCGTTCGACTATAAACGTATTTTGTGGAATAGGAATTAGAATAAATAGTACATTTAATTAGACTACATATACGAATATTGTGGCTTTTAAAATAATATATAATCTATAGTCCTGTAATCAAATAAAATTACATGTAATATATTTTTATTTAGTAATAAAAATGACAGTAACGTATAATAATATGTAAAAAACCCTATTAGCTCCATGTAAAAGTCGGCCTCCGGGTGAATGGTGGCGCTATCTACGTGACAAAATTGTACTACCAAAATGCCGTAATTTCATGACCCACTGATTTGGTTGGAGTGGCGTCACCTTATCTTCTCTACATCGTGCATAAAACTATAAGTTAACATAACGGTAATTGATAAGCGCCGTCTACGTGATAGCTCAGAACTGGACTATAAAGTATAATTACAGATTAAATGCTTACTAATATATTTTCATAGTTAATATGTTAAAATGAATAAAAAATAATTTAATTATTAATATTTATTAAAAATTGCATTAAATCTGTGGGAATATTAACATTTTATGCCAAAATAAATAGGTAGGTGATCAACTTGTGTAAGCAATATCAACAAAATGGTTGCTCCCGAAATAAATTATACACGACCACTCGAAAACACTGGCAGCCATATTTCGCGGTTGTCAAAAGTTACTGACATACCTATTACTTTTCTCATGATATGTTGTGATATGAAATCTTGGTAATAATAGCGGGATTTGGTTAACCGTGCTATTATCATAAAAACGTGGTTAACCGTAAAGTTTATACACAAGTCTATGAAATAACTAATAAGCATCTGCAATTCAACGGCAAAACAATAAACTGAACATTTTGAATTTTAGGAGTTGTGAATTGCAAATTTTGATTTGACATTTGTGTTAATGAGCCTTTGTTTCTGTGTATGCGAAAGTGACATGCATAGTGAGTAGTCTTTAGAAATTTGGCATTTATTAAGAAATAGTTTTGTATTTATCAGATTAATTTTTTGTTGTATAATTCCGTAACCATCTAAACTACTTGGAATTATGAATTCATCCATATTTAGTAAGTTAATTATTAATATAGTCATGTTGTATAATAATATGTTATATAGTATGTTTTATCATATATATATTTAACGCATTTAAAAATACTAACAATATAATTATATAGCTAATATTATTTATATACATCATACTAGGTACACTTCCCCCTCTTTTCGTCCGAAATTTAAAACTTCAGTTACTTTAAAAATACTGACTTAGAACTGGTTATTGAAGAGTAACAATTTTCTGCAAATTATTTAAAAAGGGAATTAAGCTTATTTTTTCAATATTTTTAGTGTATCATTAAAAACCAGATGTTTCCTTTAACTTGAACATACTGTATACATTTCCATACATTTTGTCTGAGTAATTGTTCAACTGAGTGAGTTTCGGATATATCCACGTCGAATGTTGTGTGCCAACATTTAGGACTCTTTGCAGAGTCCATCTTCAGGGCAATAGTAGTCTCGACTGTTCAAATGCCATGACCATACTGAACAGTCGAGGCATTTAAACAGTCGAGACCACTATTGCCCTGAAGATGGACTCTGCAAAGAGTCCAAAACGTTGGCACACAACATTTGACGTGGATATATCAATCCACGAAAGTTTTAACGCATGAGTAATTGTTATTGGCTATAAATTTACTTTAGCGGACACCCTATATTTTGCTTTGAAACTAGATGAGTTTGCCAATTTTTGACTTATATTCAGAATACGCGTAAAATATACTACAAGAAAATAAAAAAAGGATGTCTATTAAAGTGCATTTGTTCTAGTTATTCCATATTAATCCTTCTAAGAGTAATACTGAAATATTGTTCTGCAATGCTCCATTAACATTGTTCCGATTCCTTGCACCCTGTTAGGTTTTAATATATATATATACTTTTCGTAAAGCTTGGTGTACACCAGATAATGTGTAATGTAGTATAGAAGTAAAAAAAAAATGAGCAATTTGTTGCTGTTTGAACAAAGTTTTTTTGGTAAAAATTATCTACCAAGTTGCTATTGATCTTAAAGGTTACAATACTGTAAAATTAATACTGGTACTTCAACTTTTATGCACCCCTTATAGAACTGTACTTGATAGGAACTTGAGCTGTGTGTATTTACATATATTTTGATAATTATAATAATTTTTTTTTTTAGCCTCAGATGAACTATTAGACGTCAGCGATGTTATAGATGTACTTTCAAGGCTTCAATTAACTGTCATTCCTCAAACCTATGTTGACCAAGTTCTTAGTAGCAATTACAATTATTACCAATTTCCCGATTCCTATGAAATGGTTGTGATGCCTGACATTGATTTTTCAGCCATCGTGACAGATGCTTGTCAATTATTGAATTCTTCTTTTCTACAAGAGCCATCAAAGCATATAGTATGGGACAAATTTATTGAAGAAGAAATACATCCAAAATTCTTAAGTTGTTTGTTAAACTGTTACATTCAGAATGGCATAAGAGAATTAAGTGATCCAAATTTCAGAAAAAATGCTTTGTTAGCCTCACGATTGTTTTTTTTAGCATCTTCATTTAAAGGAAGTAAAAATATTGGATTCTATCATGTATGTATGTTGAGTAAAAGTTCAGAATTAATTCGTTCATGTGTGGCTATGTTACGGAGCAATGATGGAATAAATAGTGGAACTAATTCAGAAAACCAACACTTACAAAATGATGAAAAAGTGGATTTGATGGTTGATATCTTAGCTATCATTAGAGATATAGGAGTTATGATAAAACGTTTTCAATTTTTTGATGAAATCACTTCTTTAAGTTCAGTTATAGACATAATGGTGGATGTCACTCGTTTAGAACGTATGACGGGTAACATTCTTGAACAAGTGCCTACCACTGATTTGTGCTATGGAACATTAGCTTTTAATGCATATAATGCTTTAACTTCTATGTTTAATGAAAATTGTGGTTCTACAATGAATGTAGGCAAACAGATCATGCATTTAATTTTACCAGGGTTATTGGTAGATGAACAACGGGAAATGCAATTGACGACTAAACAATTTAACGCTATACGCGATCATCATTTGTCATTTATAAGGAAAATTACAGGGAAATTAGATGCTACCTTTGAACCTATATTAGAAACATTGTTACAACATTTGTTACACCGTGGACCTGATCGAAGTGAATTAAAACCGAGACAATTTCAAATCATACTGGATGTTTGGAGATTTTGTCCTAATAACGTGCGTATTAAAATGAAATATTACCTATTTCGTATGGTTTATGATGTAGATGCTAAAATACGTGCCGTTGCGTTAGAAACATTATTTAAACTATTATCAGAGCCTGAGGAAATGGAACCTGATGACTCTAATTTACTACCATTAATGCCAGCTACTAAGCACGAATTTACATTAGGTGTTATTCTTTCAAGATTTGAAGATCCATTATTGAGTGTACGTACTAGAGCATTTTCCCTAATAGCAACTATAACTTCTGGCCCGCCAACTGCTACTGCTCATCAAACAGCCCTAATAAAACGTGTACTTGTAGATCCCTATTTAGATATTGAATATTTACATCAATCATCATTCTGCAAAAGAGATTTTCACGATTTTTACCAGTATCTCAATAATGACATGAAAAACTTTGATCCAAATTGTATAAATAATTTTACTATTTACCCTGGTGCAAAAATCTTACTATGGGTATTAAACGTACATGCCCGTGATGAGCGAGCACATATCCGTCGTCTGAGTCTAACGCTTTTATGCAACTTATTTCTTATTAACAAAAAGTTTATGGAAAAGTTTTATTTATCATTGTTATTGGAGAGTTGTTCAGATTGTTCAATGACTATTAGAAAAGTCGTCATTACAGGCTTGACCAATCTGATTTTAGCTTATCCAGACAATCAAACTGTTCTCAATCATTGGTTTAAAGGATTAGTTCACTTAGTTGGAGATCGAGATAAAAAAATTCAAGACTTGGCTGTTGAATGTATGGGCAAAGTTATTTTACAAAATATAAAACCATATTCAGCTAAAACCATTAAAAAAGAAGACCCATTAGATTATTTGCCTTGGAAAATTATAGATTATGCTATGAATGAAAGAGTTGGAAAATATATGATGTGTTTAAGTGAAAAATGGCATATTAATGGATTACTTACAGAACATACTGTTAAAGACATTATGACTTACATAGGTACTACCAATCACAAGTGGACAGCACATAGCTTATATTTATTACAATTGATATCTCATCAGTTGACTATTACAAACATGACACCGATTGTGCATTATTTTGAAATTCATTCGCCTTCGTGGTTTTCAGATGATAATGATTCTACTGAATTAACTCATGCTCAAATGGCTTTAGACATAATGTCATTAAATCATAAACGATTAGACAAAAATGTTAGACAAAGTCTATTGAATCAATTTGAAGATCTTTTGTTTAACTTTAAGGTACCGACCCGTCTCATATCTAAATCATTAGATATACTTACAGTCTTACTAGTGGACAATATTGAAAAATTAAATAAATTTATGAAAGATTTGTTTGAAAAAATTTGCTTATCTTTAGAATCTTCTGCAAATATAGACAATGAAGAGATTTTAACTCGTTACATGTGCATACTTGGTGATATTGGTTTAACACAGCATTTACAATTAAAACGCAAACTACAGCAATATTTATTACGATTTTTGCGTAATCGCGAAACGTCTATTTCTTTTGCGTTCCAGGCAATAATTGTTTTGACGGTTGGTAAATTGAGTATTGTCGATGAGCGATTTGCCAAAGAAGCAATATTTGAGTATGGATTAATTTTAAAAAATGTAGATTGTCATCCGTCAGTTAAAATTAATGCACTTACAGCATTGTCCGATTTGTGTTTACGTTGTACAACTTTAGTGGAACAAGCTATACCAGAAATGTGTGTTTGTTTGAAAGGGTCTAGTGTATCAGTTAAACGTGTTGCCTTGAAACTTCTCACTGGATTAATTTTGGAAGATTACATAAAACTAAGAGACGTAGCTTTTTTTGCATTGCTCTGCATGCTTGAAGATACAGATTGGCAAGTACGCCAAGAAACATCATCATTTATTGTCAATTACTTACTAATTAAAAATAAAGACATCATGGAAAGAAAACTTATAGAAGTAATTTTTCATTTTAATGGTTACACAGGAGAACGAGCTGGTGGTGTAGAAGATTGTTTTACGAGTCCCGAACTTGAAGCTTATTTCTCGATGGAGGGAGAAAAAAAGAAAACATCTCGTCATTGTGTTTATAGATTTATGTTAACACACATGTTGGATGATTCTAAATTAAAGCTCATGGTAAAAATTTGCAAAAATATTTTGGAAGAAGCTGCTCGTGAGACTAGTATAGATGAAAAAAATGAAGACAAAGAGCGTGCTATTCAAGTTTTAAAAGATGCTTTTTGGATTCTTAAAGCAAAGGAAATGGCATTGACATCTGGAAAACCACGTGACAATGGTAATGATGACGACCCAGGAACACTAGAAAAAGTAGCTGATCTTGCTAAAAAGCAATTAGTAATTGAAACTTATAAAATGGTTATCACTGATTATGTTATTCCAGCTGTGTTAAAACTTAAATATGAATTAGATAAAAACAGGAAGTTTGCAAGTTTTGTTCAGCATGAACTAATACCCTACTTATCTTCTTTAGTATCGGGAAAGTCACCAGTAAGAGCTGAAGTACTCAAATTAATTTCTCCCGATAGTGATCTTGCCTTTCAAATTCTTAATGATGCACAAAAACAACAGAAACAACAAAAACAAAATATTGATGGTGAAGATGATTATATTCAGAACGAGTCTGACGATGAATATGATGATGAACCAGACTTGTTTTTACGTGATTTAGAATATGTGACTTGGGCACAAATAATGGATATGCGTGATCAAGCTGAAGAATCTGGGATTGATCAAGCTGTACAGGAACAATTGGCAGAGGAGTTTCAACAACAAGCTTCTCAAATAGTCGAAGAAAGCCAAGAACAAGCTGCAGAAAATCTAAGTCAGTTGACAGGAGAAGAGACTGATTCGATTAAAAGAAAAATGTCTTCGAGTTTATCAAGGACAAGCATTAATCAAAATAGGAAAAATAAAACTGATGAAACAAATTTAAATAAAAGTGATTCTATAAATCAACATCAACCTTCAAATAACACAAATCCAGACGATGAGGAGTTACCTGGTTATCGTTTATTTTTATAATTTATACTGGTATATACCACTATAACTTAGTACGATTTGCGTTATGTATTTATTTACAAAGTTAGTGTACCATAATTTTTATTTTTTTTTATATGTATAAAAACTGAATATTTGTTGTACAAATCTCATTATTATTATACCTCATTATCTTTTAATTTAATTTTAAATGTCAGTAAAATTGATTTTAAAAACATGTTAATTAGTGTTTTACATTTAATTGCATTATTAATGCCTAATTACATATTTATATTAAGTGCATAATTTAAGTGTTCATATAAATATAGTAGGCATACAATGTAAGTCATAATATTGACAGAAAAAGTAATGCGATTGAAATTGAAACATTCTTTGGTATAAGCTATAATCATTAAACGAATAATGGGAGATTTACGGAGATAATATGAAGTTTGCTAGAGGGGTGTAAAACAGTCTGTAGAGCGAATAGGACGTGAAGAACCTTAAAACATTTATAAGGGATAATAGATCAGGACAGTCCATTTACCATTTGAAAGATTAACAAGGCAGGATAAATTTTCCATGTGCCAGCAATCGGCAAGTGATCGTAAGGAAAATATTGGTTGAATAAAAGAGTAGCTGTGAGAAAGGCACGAAATGTTTTGAGTGTAAGCAGCTTGGTAGAAAGATTGTTCTAGGACACGTTCTAACATGGATCAGGCAGAGGCGTAGATGGGTCCACTAAACATTACCATATTCCAATATTGAATGTAAAAAAGGTCAGTAGAGTAATTTGAGACTCAATGCTAACTGAAACTCAAGCAAAATTTTATTAATAAAGCCTACATGCTTCAGAGCTTTATAGTACTGTAAAATATATAATGTTTGCATGAGTATAAAACCTATATATCAGACTCATTCTTCAGAAGACAATAGTTAGACCATTAATATGGTGTATAAAGTTGATAGGAAAGCGCTTATGAATGGAGGTAATTACGACTTAAAATTGTGATTAATCGTTTTGACTTTTAAATAGTTAAAAATAAAAAAAAGAAGATGTGTAATTAACAATATTTATATTTTTTTATATCTAATAAATGTTTTTTTCCAAATATAATTTTAATAATTTAATATTAAACAGTTGTAACTTTCACTATGGAACATTAAATAGCATAAATGATAATTACATATTAGTGAGTACTTAATTTAAAATGTTTATAAATCATCAACTTACTATTTGCTTGTAAAACTAGTTTCTTGACTACAAAAATCAAATAAAGGCTTATTTCCATTCTGTTAATTCTCCATTCTTAAATACTAAACAGTCTACTGGCCATGCTATAGACGCCTTGTCAAATGATAGAACATCTTCATAATCCTTATTAGAATCCTAAAATAAAATAATTCAAAGGTAATAGAATATTAAATACAATTCATAAGCAACCCACTTTTTTTATGAACTTATTATCACTTATTGTTTACTTATTCAAAATATATTTTATTTTTATAATTTTAATGAGTAAGAAATGAAAAGGTTTAAAAAGTACATGTGTTCTATTAAATATATCAATATTTGTTCCTCATGAGTCATAATATTCGTTCCCTATGGCAATAAGTAGTTTTCTTTCCAAATCTATAGTAGTTATTCGTTCTGGGGCAAATAAAATATTATAATAATTTTCTTTTATTACATTTGTTCTGGTTAATAAACTTAGGAGTCCAATAGGTTTCATGAAAGCATAGGACTTTAGAAGAGAAGTGCTGCCTCACATTGTATGTTAATGATTTGGTAATCAACGTGTCTCTTTTATTCAGTTACCTTATGTTGCATCTTGTTACGTCACACTGATCTAGTGGATGCCTAGCTTTAAACATACATTTTAGTCTAAAGAATTATGTGAAGTATTCAATATTGAACAACCAAAAATCAGACAGAACTCGTTAGATTAATAATTTATTTTCATGATTTCAGAAATCAGTTCTCAATCCATACATTGCTTTATTGTAAAGAGGATTGTGACTTTAAAATTAAATATTGCAATAATATTACATATAATTGAATCCTCTTGACACTTCTAAGGTGGTTTTTTAACATTATTTATCACATACGTATGACATAAAAAAATTGCAGACTTTATCTGACCCAATGTATTTAATTATTAATTTATAAATAAATTAAGATAACACAATCTTACCTGAAATAAGTCTATAAATTGTAGTAAATCTTTGGCCAACAGCTCATTTGCCTCTACGAGTTTGGTAACACTATACATTAAAGTAGAATCTACTTGTAATTAAATATTACAATCATTAGTGATGGGAATTCTTTGAAATATAATATTGTGGATTTTAATGGTACTGTTTTTAAATTAGTTGAAACTCAAAAAATAAAAACCAGTTTTAGAATCCTCATTTTCAAATACATTTTACTATTTGAATTCATAAAATTCAAGTTCAAGTATTAAAAAAATTCCCTTCACTAGTATTTATATACACATTTAATAATACATTTTTAAAATATACAAAAGCATTTTGTAAAATTTGCAGATAACAGAACTATGTGGCTAGCAAACTCCACTTCACATCAGTGAAGTACTTACTTTTCATCTTTCCACATTTGATTGTCAAGAATATATTTACAAATATTTTTATTAACATCGGAATTGAATAATGGCAAACCAAAACAACAGTCCAGTAATGTCCACTTTGGCTGTTCATAAACTGACTCTAAATTCAGTGTTTTTTTTGTACAATGTACATCATTAAGTTTTTCTAGTTCTTCTTTTAAAAGAGAGACACCATTTTTTTGAAAAATCAGTGTAGGATCTAGTAAACAAATTAAAATAAGCAATATTTGAAATAATATGCAGTTTAATTCTTACTTGTGTGTTGTTCAATATTCATTACTTTCTCATGTTTAGTTGGTACTGTTGCACATGTAATGTAACCACAAGTATTTTCAATATTAACAATTTTTGATAACATTGTAATTACTTTTTCTTCATATAAAAATGAATAATCTAAAATAATTACTCAATTAAGTATTAAACAAATTAGTGTACAATTTATATCAAACAAATTCCATTACCATTTTTTAAACTATCAATTTTTGGAAACGGAATTACACAGGTATTTGGGTTACACGCCTACAAAAAAATAATACAAAATAAAATTATAATCAATCAGCCAATTAAGTATTATTTATGTTATTCACTTGTATAAGAATTGGTGATTCTTTTAACGTATCATTCACAATAGTTATAAGGTTTTCAATTGGTATAAAATGAGGATCGTGTCCCCAAGTTGTTACCATAACTTTAGAACAATGTCTAAACATTTTTGGAACATTCCATAAACGTACACCTAATTTTAAACCAAAACTTTATTTGTTAAAACATATAGACAACAATCGTACAGAAATACGTGTTTACCTCTGGTCAATAGTAACGATGGAGGTCCATACGTTGTTTTATGATACAAATAAAGTTTAAACCAAACTGAATTTACTTCAGGTATTGGAGGGCCAACGTGTGGTAACTTGGGAGAAGATAATAGAGGTGTTTCTTTATTGAGAGGTGCCATTGACAACATCAAGCTATTTATACAATTAAAAATTTAATTGGTACTTGTGAGTATAAAGGAACCCAGTGCCAAAAATCACAAAGAAAAAAAACTATAGGCAATTTTTAGCTTTATTTGTATTACTTTGGTATAACTTTTAAAATACATTTTTATTTTTAAATTTTAGTATAACCATAGAGTTATAGCAATTTTTATGATAAAATATAATTACAGAAAAAATGATGACATAAAGTAATCATATTTTGTTGTTGTTTGAAAAAAGAAAACTTTCTACCATCCACATAGGGCTTCATTTTTTTATTACATACCAAAGTAAATAAAAAGTTCAGAAAAATGGTCATATTTAAATTTGTATTATGAAATATAGTTTAAAATTAGGAAATTGAACACCAAAGCAACTTTAGAAAGTCTTTCTCTTTCAAACAAAAACAAATAGCAAAATCCAATAACTCAATGAGGCATCATTTTCTCTGTAAGACATATATTTGAGCAAAAAAGTGCACCAGCACTAGATACCTTAATAAAAAACTTACTTGTAATTTTTTTTTAAAAATCTAACACATGTATCGGCAGATAGTGATTTAAGACTTTCCCATCGAATAAGATCAAGTTTGCCAGGACAATTTTCTGACCTCAACGTTTTTACAGTACTTCTAAGAGTTAAAGCATGTTCGAAATATCGCCTTGCTTCACCTTCGCTTTCGCCAGCACTGGGTGTTTCATTTCCAAAAACACAACTACCAGCATTATAACCAATAGCTACTTTATCTAGTTCTTCTAAAAAAGCATTTAGTCCCTCGTCTGTAAGTTTACCTGCTTCAAACAATGTGACAGCATGATCTTTAAGACTCTAAAAATAAAAGTTTGTACAGTTAACTTGAATGATAATACAATATTGTGTTTTAAAACTCACAGGAGAAAGGTTACCCATCATTAAAAAAGCAGTAAGTGTTGAATCAAACAAAAAAGCCATCCTTTTTTCTGTAATGCTCTTGTCAGGGGATAATTCATAATTTTCTGGATAATTAGGTATTACCGTAGAAAGCTTATCTACTAATGGTAATGGCCCCGATTCCATATTAACTAAGTTTGGTATGCTTTTTAAATGTGACCAAGAAGAATGGTCTGAACATACCTTAAGATTTTTCTTTTGAGCAATTTTTAGTCGACAAAATAAGGAAACGGCATTTTTTACAGACTCCAATTCAATTTCTAGAATTGTAGCTAACTGCAAGTAAAAAAGTTTTGATAATTTACTTATACTTATTTATAAAGGTTTCCTTAAAATTAATTATATATTTAATGTACAATTAGTTGCATCTTTTGTTTTTTTTACAATAGTATAATAGTTATACATCATTTGTCAATTGTCACTAAACTATTTAATCTTAAACAAGTAGCCCAAATAGTTAATTATAACTTATTAATTCTTAAATTGAATTAAACGTTAATTTTATTTATATACATACTTCACTAACTGAAGTGTGTTCGTCTATAGAGACAAAAATTTTATACAAGAGATTTTCAAAGTTGTCTCCAAGAACCCTATTCATAACAAAACCGCCAAGTGTTGATACTATTATGTAATCATCATCGTGTATAGGTATGTCAAAGTATACAAGTCCTTTTCTAAAAATATTAATACTGTCTTTAGTGTGATAATATATTTAAAGAATTCACATTAAAATATTCAACAATATTCTGTGACATTTATTTATCATTCTTTTAAATTTTTTGAAATCAAATTTCACCTTATGTTTTATATCTTTTTTACTGTTGTTAGGTCTTAAAAAAAAATAATGGAATCAAATGCACAATTTTTATGAATAAATTTAACTAAATACTATTTATCAGATGGTTTATTTCACAACATAAAAAACAAAAAATATTATAGCCTATTCCAAAAGTTTGTATGTAAAATAAATGTTTTTATATTTTAGTTATTATTTTTTATTAAATAGGTAATTTATAATATTTATATAGACTAGTCATATAACTACTAACTACTTATTTAACTATTTAATTTTAATTTAATGGTAATTAAATAATTTTAGAAGCACTTTTGAATATTAGTGACACGTAAATTAATTGAATGACCCAAGATAATGTTGAGCTGTTGTTATTGATTTTAAAATAATGTTCTATGCAAAATAAATGTGTTCAAAACATTGAGTGTTTAAATATACAAATTTTGTTACTTGTAGAGACTTTGAAGTATGTAGTAATCTAAAGTTCCGGCCAGTTGTTGTCCATTATCAATAATAAAATCTATAATTTTTTTTTCTGTATCATTGATTGCCTAAAAATTCCAAAAATGTGTTAATACCTAATAATACATGTGTTATAGGCATATTAATGTATAGGGACAAATACAGGGTGTTCAATAAGGTACAAAACTTAGCCCGTTTGAATACTATATAAACCTGGTTTAAATCTAAACTTTAATTAAATTGATTATTTTATCATGAAATGTAGTTTTTAAAAGCAAATTTTGTTAAACTAAAATTTAAAAAAAATATTGACCAAGAGAATTTTGATTAATTAATTAAATTAAATTTAGCTAACCTTAATGTCATCTTCATACAGACAACCAATATCGACTGTCCACCACGAATCTACATTAATGTCTATCGGTTGAGGTGGTAACATTGGCCGTATTTCATGTTTTCTTCTAAACATCTTATTTTTTGTGCGACATTGGTTCATTAATTCAATATACTCATTACGTCCAATTCCTAAAAGCCGCAAACCTATATATGTTTATACAATGTATTTATTTTGTTAATACATTTTCAAGTACTAATATAAATAGTAAACTATAAAAGTCAACTATATTCTGTCCCATATAAGAAACGCAGCGATTTGCGCATCTCGACTGAGGCCACCTACGCGCCCAGTTGTTATTGAATAATGACCATGATGTCGTCTGATGGGTGCTGACAGCCGTACGCCATGTTGCATGTTGTAAGATAACTAGACTAAGTGTGGCGTGGGGATATGAGAGACATACTGAATTTCGTCATGCCTTTTTGCCTCTTACATGGGACAGAGTACAGTGTTACTTACAATCTACTGCCGTAAAGTTTGGTATAGAATCATAACTTTTATCTGATTCCATTACATGAATAACTATTGATATATAAAATTGGAATGGTGTAATTCTTAAGCCTTTAACAATAACATCTGATAAATGATAGGGATAAAGCATCAAATTTTCTCTGCTGTATGTCATTAAATCTTCGTAGTAAATTTGTTCATTTTTTATAACAGTTTTAACTGAAAACAAAAATGCGAAATACAGTTTTTTAAACACAATTAATAGGCTTTAGTACAAAAGATAGTTATTTACCTAAATTCCCTTTATATCGTAGTTGGTTTTTAATACTATACACGGATATACATTTTTTATACTCTTTTGCCGAATTTCCAACACACTGTAACACAACAAATTCTATAAATTTTTAGATTACATAATTTGTTTCATAATTTATATTACTGCATTATAATTTTATTTATTACAAAATAATATTGGTATAAATCTAGTGTATATAATATAAGAACGGTTAAAATTTAATTAGCAGTAAGGTATTTATATTTTATTATATGAAATAGTATTATCATTAATGTGTAATTCACTTCAAAATATATTATAATAATATTTTCTTCAATATTTTCTAACAAAATATTTTTTACCTGTTTAATAGATCCTGGTAGTTTTGTCCAAGGAATGTTTTGAAGAATACATTTTTCCATTTCTTCGTTCATTTTTAAGATTCAACGATTTAATAAATAATTCTAGAAATATTATTATTTTAGTTAGAACCACATTTTAGTTTTAAATTAAAAATACAAAATATAACAATATTTAAAACTATGGTATTCTTAGAACAGTTCGTCAAAGGAAAAATCCTTGCCTCAGTGAAATGGAAGGGATTTCTTTTTTATCAATGATAATCATCAAGATAGATAAACAATACCTATAATCACGATTGTAGGTAGACTGGTTGCCCTGGTTGCTATATAATGGTTGCCCTATAATGCTACCAAAAACTGGCGACAAAAATGTATAATTAATTGGTTTCCAAAATGTGAACAATCGCAATAGTCAAAATCATAGACCTATAAAGAAATGGACTGATAGTAGAGAGAGAGGTCCGAATATCGACATCGTTAAAAAGAGACAGAGAGTTGTTAGGTTGGTCATGGAAGAAATAGTAATATGATAATACCCGATAACGAATTTTTTATATTAAAATATTTTAATTATTCTTGTTAGTAATTAAAATATTGAATTTCGTTTAATTTCTTATAATGGTTTTTCAATGTGTCATTCGTTCGTGCAAAACAAAATCAAATAAAGATTGCATCATGCATCGGTAAGTTGAGACATTATTTACTTATATTATATTTTTATACATTTGAATATTGATCATTGGTATATTACTAATAGTAATATACTAATAATATATATTCAATGATTTTAATAATATTATAATTTGTTTCAAAGCTGGCCTAGAAATCATGAAATGCTTTTAAAATGGGCAAATGCGATACGTATGTTTCAACCAGACTTTACTCCGACGACGCATACAAAAATATGCAGTAGTCATTTTATATAATCTGACTATAACTTGAGGTTTACTGGTAAAAAAATGTTAAAAAAAGAAGCTGTGCCAAGTGTATTTAAACTGGGTATGTTCTTCCTTATACTTGTAATTGTTACCAAATTTATGTATTTTTTTTAGTTTTACCTATATAGTAGGTACCTATATGAAAGTAATTTTTTTTAGAGTAATTTGTTAATTAAATTTTACTTTTCTTATCTTATCTTATTTACTTATTATTTAATTTCAAAGAATATATTATAGAAGCATGTAAGAAATTATTCAATGTTGAAATGGTCGAAGTCTTTGATGATGAAGAAGGAAGAAATTTACTATAAATGCCAAGTAATTTAGAAAATATTGTGTTTTTAATTTTTTATAAATATCTAAATAAAGCAACTTCTAATGTGTTTTTTTTATTTTAGTGGATGAAGAAGTTATTAAAAAATTTGACATCTGATCACCTGTAAGATGAAAAGAAAGTTAATGAAAATTGTTTTTCATTACTCAAGGTAAATATATTATAATAATGTCAAATATATGTTAAAAAAACATATTTTTGTATAAAATTAATTTGATTTAATTTTGTATAGTTAATGCTGTATGTGTTAAATGGATTGTTTGATAAGTTACGTACAGTGTTCAACGTTCTATGGATTTGATACCATAGCTACAGGTCTCGGAATTTATGCAACCTGAGATCCAATCATGAATTTAAGTATCGTTGATCCGTATCCTTTGACTGTAATATAATGGCTCATCACAAAAATATTCTCAACCTTTATCTTTTTACACTGCATGGTTAACTAGTATATAGTTATAGCTTCACACATTTGTTAAAAATCATTGTACGGCTTTTGTCACTTTTACCCTAAAATATTTCTAATAAGAACATTAGATATCTAAAACTGATTCTATCTCAACTTTTTATCATTATTGGAACTGACTGTGTGTAGTAATTGTTCACTGTTTATCAGTATAAATGTTATGACATATCCATGGCTTTTACTAGTTTTAATACTAGAACAGTTTCATTGAGGAACAAAATTAATGGACCGTTATGTATTGCTAACAGTTTCACTCGTAATACCATTTTATTTAGCGATGAAGAACATTTTTCAAATAAAATATGGGTTATTTACTCTGTTTTAATAATGTATGAATTAGCATAATTTCAATTTTAGCTGAAATCAAAATATGTTGGGGCTTTGTGATTTATGTTTATATTTTTTATATAAACATATACTATTGGTGATTGGAAATAGCCTACAATTAGTTGTGTCATGTCTATTAATTATATGTTACCGTATAGTTCTTACTTTTATTTCATTTGTAAAATTATCACACCTTAAACAGTCTTAAGTAAATATATATATATACTATATATATCATGTTTTATTTTAAGGGTCTACCTAATGTAGAAACTGCTTAATTGTGGAACAAATCATCACGAGCTGGTGCATACTCTCTGAGTTACGTACTTTTGCTATGACAACGATTTGTATAAGCAGATGCAAATAATTATGATGATATTGGTCGTAACTTGAAAAGAAACAAATAAGTAGTGATTTTACAATACCTAGTGAATATGTTTAACTTAGATGCAGCTGTGATACAATAAATTGTCTATTGAGTTTTTATGAAATACTATTAGTCAAAGCATACACGTTTCTTAAAAGTAAATCGGAATGTTCATTGATAGAATTTGAATGAACATTGTAAAGGTTTTTAAGTATCACTTCTATAACGATATACTAATATACATGATCTATGGTTATAACTAAGTAAATGGCCATACGAAAGCTTGGATACCGCAATAATGAAATACATATCCTTAAATGTTTCACAACTTCGCATAACACAATGACATTATTCAAATCAAGATATAATATGTAAATTTGCCATTTGGTGTATTGTCATCAATATATTGTAAGTCATTATTATTAAATGTCTTATGAATAATTATTCCAGGCAACCTAACAATCATCTATCTGTTTCGTAAGGTTGTTCATAACGCGTAAGCAAAGGCGGGTATGTGAGAGGCGCAGTCCATAGCTTTATAGGTCTATGCAAATACACAAACTACATGTCGTGTCTTGTAAACCACAAATAAGAATTGGAGTTCACATGCAGTACGCCTGTAGTCGGCTGCTTTTGAAAATGTCCCCTGACTAAGAGGCTGCCATTTTGAGTACCGTTCATTGTCTTGTCCAGGTATTTATTAATTTTTCTATGACAGTGTTATCATCACCTAACCTACATTCTAATACCATATCATGGAGAAGTGCAAGATTTTTACTTTCTATGAAATGGTACATCATAATGGCTGTCTTGAGGTGATGACATTTATCAAGCTGATTACGACGTTCCTAGTTTGAGTCAATTTTTATGTACATACAACAGAATTGTTAATCGTAGTTTACAGTACAACGTCTTTATATGTATGCCAGTTTTGGAGGCCTTTTGCCCCAGTGTGCAACGTCCATAAGTTTGTTCGTTTTGACAACAAGTGTACACTTTTTTCCCACCGACCGTATAGAGTAGGTGTGATACCTAATTTTCGGTGATGGTCGTTATCGTATTTTTTATCGATTCTACTATCAATAGAAATAAATCATCAGTTGATTAATATACACCAAAATTTTTTGTTTTGTAATACCACTGACCACACCCCTTTTACTTGACCCAGACACTACACTAATTAGTGTACACATTTTTTTTTTAAACTAACAAGGCTCATATTTTCTGAAATCGTGTTATAAACCAATGGTTTTGTTTTCTAACTAGATGATGATAATAATATGTATCACAATACTATGTATTCAGGCGATAAGGATACAGAATTATGAGTGATAACAAGTCGAATCTCGCAATCTCTAAAAAAAATAATAACCAATAAATAATTCCTTACAATATTACCTACACAGCAATTACTAAATTAAAATTTAGCGAAAAATTGGCTATACTTTACCTCTTAATAACATATTTAATAGGTAATATGCTTTGCAGTAGATGAATAGCTATCAATAATAATATTTCATTAATCATCATTCATTTTCCATATTAATATTAAAATTTAAAAAAACATTGTATATATTCGTTAAATATAAAAAAGTTCCAAGCTTTTTGCTTTTGTTTGAAAAAAGAAACCGGCTGTGGCCAGGAAACTTCAATAACGAAGCTTAGGGCAGAATAGCATGTATATGATGTTTTCTTATAAACTTAAAAGTTGGTCATAAAACATAGTTCAAATGTTAAAAGTGGATAATTCAACTCAAATTAGGTAAACCTGAATTACCATAGGTCAGTTAATTAAATGTTTGCATACAACTTCAGGAATTCACTAATTCAAGTTAAGCTAAATCGGTTCAAACCACGCATGATAATTTAAAAATCAAGTCTACTTTACAATTTTACATTATTAAACTATTTATAATCACGTGTCCTTAAAATAAAGAATATATATTTTTTTTTATTCCAGTCCATATATATGCTTACAAATTAGGTAACTTTAATTTTAACACTACCTAACATATAAATCAAGTAGGTACATAATAAACTGAAATTTGATTATTCACAAAACAAATACTTATTATAATTATTAATATCATCAATAATGATGAAATCAATATACAAAAAATATTTAATTAAAAATATTGTATAACAGTTTTTAGCTTTGAAAATAAAATAGCTCATTAAAGTTATGATCATTTTTTTGATTTTACATACTTAATTCAGTAAACAAACTTAAAAAAAAAAACCATTATTTTAGCCTTTTTTACAACCTTTAAACACTTTAAACTCATACCCAATTTCATTTTCTTCCTGTAACCCTTTGGGCACATCAGGGTCGTCAATTTCTTGGAATACATCAGTATCAATATGAGGGAAAAATGTATCGCAAATAAATTCTTTATTAATTTTTGTAACATATAAAAATGTACATCTTTCATCTTTAATTGCTTCATTATACAAACCTGCTCCACCAATTACCCAAAGTCTCTCTATATTTTCTTTAAGTTCAAGTGCTTCAATAGCTTCTTTAAGGTCCTTATACAATAATATACCTTTGGGTACTGATTTCATAGTTTTAGAAATTACCACATTTAGACGATTTGTTAATGGTCTATACTTGTTAGGTATTGACTCCCAAGTTAGCCTACCCATAATAACTGCATTTAGCTTTCCTGGGGATTTTACTTTTGTTGTCATTTGAGTGAAGTAGTCCATTTCTTTTTTCAAACGCCATGGCAAATTACCTTTGTAGCCAATACCGCTATTTTTGGATACTGCCGCAATAAGATTATAAGACATATCCATTATATGGCAATATAATTAATGAAATCTAAAACATTTGAAAACATTTATTGTATTACAAAACATAACTTTTACAGTGCAAAAATGTTTTTAAAAAAATATAATTATTAAAACAAATACCTATAATACTTGCAGTTAGTAATCTTTTTATAATGTATGAAGTCAATAATTGTTTTCATAAAAAAATAATTAATTATGTATTACTAGAAAAAAGTGATTTTTTAAATAACCAAGAACCTTTATATAATACAATTTATTATTATGTTACAATAATCAATAAAAGTAGTGAGTGAAAGTCGCATTATGTGGTATTATAGTGTGTTTACACTTTTTTGTCATTGCGACACAACCTATCTCGTTTTCTTCAGTTTTACAGAAGAGTATAAACCCAGTTTCAATAGCCATTTAGTAACTTTATAACAAATAACAATGATTACATTTTTCGATTATAGCGTTATCTATTGACTTTGTCATACATTTGAGCTGCTTGCCAGTCGATTTCCCTCGCAATTTGAAATAAAACAGTATGGCTAACTTGATTTGGCCAAAAAAAAGGGAAATGAGAACGTGTTGCATCCACTGAACTGAAAAGTATCCTATAGGAGGGTTACACCTCAAAGAGCCACTCGACACGGAGGCACTCGACAAGCAGCCACTCGAAGGGGTACCAACATATACAATATTTATAAAAAATGCACGATTATTATTCGTGTATGTTGTGCGGCTAGTATTGTTTATTTAAAGGGGAAAACTTGTACATTTCATAACTAATGCAATAAGGCTTGAACTATTTTTAATTCACTGTGTGACCTGTCTCCTGTTTTGAGTTTTTTTATTTAAGTTATAATCAAATCAGTTTCTATTATTGAAATTTATATTAAAAAAAAACTGAAAGTATATGAAACAATATTTACAATATTATATTATAGTGATAATTCACCAACAATAAATTGTCTCTTGAGTTTGTAAAAAAAAATGTTTTTCAAAACATACTTACACGTTTTATAATAAGTAAAGCAGAATGTTCATTGATCAAATTTCAATGAAATTATACTTTTTTTTTAAATTATTTAATACCGATGTATTATACCTATCTATTTAAAACAATACATCGTGAATACCTCATACGAAACTATTCGATACCCGACAATAAAATTAAACACATTTACTTAAATACTTTACAACTTCCAATAGGCAATAACACAATAATAAATTATAGTTAAATACTATTTAATTTTGTATTATATATTATCATATCTGTGTATTAGTTATCATGTTATATATATGCCGAAAATAATAATTCCGAAAAAAATTTAGAACCAAAACATATATTAACCGAAAATATATTAGCCGAAAAATATTTAAGTCGAAAATAATGTCATCGAACGTATTTTAGCTGACACTTATTGTTTGAACAGAACCTTATAAGTTATAAATTATAATAGTATACAAAAACACTGTTACGCGCGCCGTGTGACCGCGTTGTGTCTACTGTCTACGCTATTTTTATAACATCTGTGATAAGTTCCATTTGTTATTGAAATATACAGCTATTTTTTATTTTGTGGTTGACATTTTTTTTCCATATATACTACCAATGCTTAATTGTTAGTATTTGTTTATACTTAGCTACACAATAGTAAATTCAAACAGGGACAACCTATGGTAGACTGGCGCCTTGCCGATGCTGAATAAAATGTTTATATATTATTAAGCCGGCAGTAGTTTTTTGGGGTCTAAAATAACCGGTATGGTTCTTTTGGATCTAGATATGATCACTCACCAGACTTATCACTAATGTCCAGCTAATATATAAAATAGATCACTCCAGTTTATGTGTAAACAAGGTCAGATACAAGGGGAAGGCTGGAGTTAATAGTTAATAGTTTATAATACAATCTATATTAAATTTATATTTATAAACACAGATTTCCTTATTTCACACTATTATATTATACAAGTTAAAAGTTAGCTATAACTTAAATTTAAGTGACATGTGTATTGGCGTTGTCGATTGCATTATCTAGATGTTTTTATACATGTGCATAGAGTACACAAGGGTTTCACAAAATGATTGATACTTAGTGTGTGATATTATAATTAACGTGAAGTGGGTCTCATACGGTTAAAAAGTTATTAACGAAACGTTAATATTACTAAGTTTACTATGGTCAAGTTTATACAAACTAACGGTTGGTTACCAACTGCGGCCATCCATCACTGATGTTAAATAATTATGAGATTCGAGCTATCAAAAAAAAAATATAATGGTTCAACACGTTGGCGGTGGCCGGTACTTAACAAAAGACTGCAAGGAAATAGTTTTTACTAAAAAAAATTGATGATTTTACTGTTTTTATCTATTTTTTATGTTATAATTATTAAAATTTATTTTATTATTGACCACGATTTAATAAAAAAAAAAATTGTTTGGCTTAAGTATTCTAACAGCCTTGACAAAAATGTATTTTCTAAAATGATTATGTACATGTTTATTTTTAAAAGTTATTATCAGCAGTAATAAACATATAATATTAATCATTTGTTGAATAAAAACTAATAGTGTACATATTATGAACACAACGGATTTCATACAAGTTATTTTAGTATTAAAGTTAGAAACAATTGTGCATTATTAAAGAAAAATACTAAATTAATATAATCAAGTTTATAAAAAATGTTTACTAAATTATTTCCACTTGGCTTATAGTTTTTAAATTTTGAACATAGTTGGAAAAATAACAAAATACAGTTAGAACATTACAAATAATTATGGTATAAATCTACTTTACCGGGCACCCTTTTTTTCGATTATTTTTTTAAATCGACAGTACTTTTAATGTTGATTACGAATATGTAAAGAATTTGCGCCGCTCGCACTTAGTTTGGAAGTTACAGACTTTTAAAGTTCGCCGAAATCGACATACGTGCGCGCCCGGCACTGCACGTCTACCCGCGCCCGCTGGGTACTTCGTCCGTCGATCGCCGCTTAATTATCATCGGATTCCTCGTCTACCTGCCTCCCGCCCGTCATGGTCCTTTTTTTTTTTGCATCATAATTTCATCACGCTAATATTTGACTTGTTTGGGATTTTGCTATAGCGAACAATGAACAATTTTTGGCTCGCCCGATGCACATTGTTGAGACTTGAGGATGACTTAGTAGTAAATATTAATGTTTTATCGCGCCCCGCTAATATTATAAAGTATTACGGGCTATTATAAAGCAATACATGTTATTCATTTTTTATAATTTGGTTATTCATTTATATTTTATGATTCTACATATATTAACACAAAATAAATATATAATGCTGTTTTTCTACAAACTCTGGTGAAAATTGTGAGGGACACACACACATACATTAATTTATATATATATATAGATAGTAAAAATAGAAATAATTAATCAGATAAAAAAATCCAATTTATATAGATGGCCTATAGCATAAGCCAAATGGGTGGAAAATATACACATTTGCCAATTAGCTAAAAATGTACTTTTTTTGGATTTTTATATCGGTATTTATCTAATTCTAACCCTTTGCTTCTGAGTTTTTAATAATTAGTTCTAAGTCAATAAAAAGTAAAAACCTTTATCAAATACTTTTTAGTTGTATATATAATATATACATGGATCGTTCATTCCGATACTCATGAAAATGCACACAAATTAAACAATGTTCAATAACTTCATTTGTTTTATATTTAAAATATATTTGTAATTTAATTGGAATACATGAAAGCAAGTTAAAATATTATTCAATTAATATCGTTGCAATTTACATAATTTTTTTACCTATGTATTATAAATAAGTATCAATAATATAAAAATGTATAATTATTTATAATAATAGAGTAAAAGTATTTAGAAATAATAATTATTATTAATAGCATGAGTAAACAATAAATCCTGTTGAGTAAATTGAAATGTTTACAATGAACATAGTAACAATGTCTACTATACAATAGGGGTTTTAATAAAAATAAATTATTTTCTACAAAATTACTGTTTTTATTTTTATTGATATACAATTTGGAAATTACATTTTTTGCTATTACTCCGTTATAATATGTGGTGTCGGCCGCACAACATACACAAATAATAATCGTACATTTTACATAAATATTGTACATGTTGGTATCTCTTCGGGTGGCTGTTTGTCGAGTGGCTCCGTGTCGATTTTCGGTGGCTGTTTGTCGAGTGGCTCCGTGTCGTGCTCCCTATAGGAGACTACCATTTTGAGTCTGATAATGTTATGCTCCATGAATTTTCATGGTTCAAATTATTTTTATCACAAACCTTAATGATAACAAACATGATCAATTAGCATTAACAATTAACAATTATCAATATTTATTTTTCGTAAATTGTTGATTGACAATTGTACTGTGTACATTTTAATTTCAGGTTTTATTTAAAACGCTTGTTAGTTCTTAATAATAATGTAGTTCTAATGGATAATACATTTACTATAGTAATTTTTGCGACGTTTATTATACTATACTACGACGTACTATAGTTTTTGTTGTATTATTTGTTTTATAAACATTTTATTTGTTACACTTATCAACCCTATTATTATTTGATATGCTTCTGAATATTCCAATATTTTAATTAGAGTACTCTAAATCAGAATTTACAATTTTTTGAAAAAAACCTAAAATCCGAAACTTCAGTCAATTCTATTATATTCTTGATTAAAACATTTTTGCTGCTTTTTTGTCATTTTCTTGTTAAAATGTCGTTTGGTAAAAATTGCGATGTGAGTACAGTATGCAGTATACTGTACTCATATCGCATATTTGTATTAGCCGGTATGGTTTGGACACCTCACCCTATTATAAGCGCTTAATGCCGAGGCAGGGATGGATCATGGGCCATGGCCAACAATGACATCCCTACCTAACTATAGATGGGAAAAAAATAATCTGTAATTACCAAGGTATATAAGACTTAAAGTTAGATTTCTAACAAGACTTTAAAATGTATAAAATAATATGGGACCCTACAAAATTTTTCACTCGACCCCAAAATGCATGGGGTCGACACTGCATCACAGTAACCATTAATGATATTTTGAATTTTTTTTTTTAAATAAAATTAGCCACGTTAATTGCGTTTTACTAGGGAATTTTTTTAAACGATACTATTCATTTTTATAGGTAATATTTTTGAAAACGGATACATTGCCTCTTGAAAGTCATCGCAAACTCTTTCAATAAGTGCTTTAAAATCCATCGGAGCGAGTAATAATCGCATTCTGAGAAGTCCTCTAAACATCATTTGAATATAATATGATCATTTCAGAATAAGAATGACAAATTGTACAACTAGATCTCTTATCTCTTAAATGAAATCATAACACGTTTTGGTAACATCTCCTGTAAAATTTTATACAGAAGGAAAAATCAGTTATTAATGTAATTACATTTTTTTCATTAAATACTTTTTACTTGGTTACCTATTTATGTAGTGTTTAGTATAGATTAAAATATATTTTACTATAGTTATTCTAATTAATGGTGCTACTATTGTCCATTACCACTATAACTATACAATGTTCACACACTTCAGCAAAAAAAAAAAAATTACACATGGTAATGTATAAAATGAATTATTACAGATTATATAAAACTGTTAGTTTTATCTAATCTAGTGAAAAGGAACAAGGGTATAATATATTAAGAGGACGTAATACTGTTGCATGCCGAGCGGTTGATAGTTTAGAAATAAGCGAACTTGTCAAAATGTAGATCGGTTTTATTAATTTATAAATAGAAAAGAACACTTAGGAAATATTTTAATACAATGAAAAGTAAAATTTGCTCCAGCGTATAGGTTATGTCTGATGCGAGTCCTGCTGGCCGTATCTCGTCACGCTGTCGTTTCCAGGTCGTGCTTATGTTGGACGCAGCATTGGCGGTCCAAAAGACTAAATGCATAATTATCGGCATGCAATAAACAATACATAGTGAATACATTAATATCAACACTATATATAAATACGGGATGTATATAGAATAGGGGTGGTTCTCACACAGGAGGTCAAATAGTTTTTATATTTTTTTACAATCATTTAGACCAAGTGGGTCTTGTTCCACCTTTTGAAGAGTTTCGCCGTGACGAAAATCACTTATAAATATAAGACTATTATTAAATTAAGGGGCAAGTATAGGCAACTTTTCAAAGATATAATTAGTGTTTACTTATTACAGTAGTAAAAAGTTAATTGGTAATTTATTTTTTCATCTATCACACCTATTTTTAACATTTCTCTATTTTTTATTATTATAAACCATTAAATGTTGAATTATTTATTAAATTAATTGAAATATTTAATTGGTAAATTATACATAATATCTAGTCTTACCTATGTGTAATTATTACACATAGGTAGTTTAAAATCATTATTTGTTTAATCCCGTTGGTTATTAGTTATTCAATTTCATAAATCTTATTTGTTGACTTAGTTATTGCTTTTCACCATTTTCTTAGTATCTGTATTCATTTATTGTGGAATATTTTAGCATAAATTGCTTTCATATTAATTAAGATCTCAAAGTATAAGCTAATTAATAATAAGCAGTGAATTTCGCAATTGTTCATAATACAACAGCAAATAAATAAACGGTTTATAATAAATACACATTTTTTTGTTACCATGGTATATTATTTATTACTTATATAATTATTTATTTACAAATATAAATAAGTATAATTATCTACATATAATTATATTAATGTAAAACCGAAACAATAGTTATGTACAAAATGCAATTTTTACAGTTATAAAAAATTAATAATTTATTTTAAGAGCTGGTTAATGAAGAGTACATCATTACATTTCATATAATATTTAAAATATACACTATGGTTATGGAAAAAAAGATTTTTTTTGTATATAAAATTGATAACAAAAAATATTCAATATAAAAAAAATTCACAGAAAGAAAAAACTTTTCCAGTTTTTTTCATTTTAGACATTTTTACAATACACATTTGTTTTAAGAAAACTATGATGTTTGAGCTATAATTTTAACATAATGTTTAAAATTACAAATGATTTAAGATATTTTTTTTTTAACAATGTCGCTGTCCTTAAATTTTTAAGATTGTCTATTATTTTTCTTTAAAACATAGACGTCAGTTAATTATTTAGAATCAAAACGCTTTATTAAAATTATATATAATTTTTATTATATATATAAAAAAAAAAAAATGAAAAAATTCTACAAATTAAAATCGAATATTGTACTCTACCAATAGATTATAACTTTGTTTTAGCTAATAAAATAGTCCTACTAACATTTATATATTATATTTAGATTCTATTTAAAAAATCTTAAAGACTAACGAAAAGTGAAAATTGAGATCTTTTAAGTTTGACTAATAGTCAATTGGATTAATTGTACTTAAATCTAAATTATAACTGTGTGTTTGACTACCATAATTAAGTAAAAAAAAAAAGAAGCAAATTGTGAGAAGAATATAGGATGATTTAATCTACCTATTACAAGCATTTTTTCAGAACTATTTTTGTCATGTTGTCGAAAACAAATTAAAACAATCACAGCTAAAAAACAACCCAAGGCTTATAATAACGTAAACTTTAAAAATAATTGGTAATATAACAAGTACAAAAAGAGAAAAATTGTTCGATTTTAATGAAGAGGTCAACAATAATAATAATAATAATAATAATAATAATAAAAAAAATACTTTACAATTTGCGTATTGCACGTTAAAACAAAATTTATCTTAACTTAAACTAGATAACAAAATTAAAATTAATTGACATCTGCTGGCCTTAAACACTATTTTCATTAATAATTTGGAGTATTCGTAGAACATTAGTTTGTATTAGTTCATTCAACAAGTTGAGGAAAACAACAATTAAATTATTATAAACATTCATTTTTATATTGAATTAAAATTATTTTTATAAATAAATTAAAATATACAAATTATAGGTAAGTAAATAAATAAATAGAATTTTATTTTTATTTTTACACATACGCACATTTACGATAAGACTGATCTAATTGAAATAAATTTGAAATTTAAGTTGTATTTTATATAAATATTTTTTTATAGTAGTCACCGAACTTCGCAATTATTGTTTAATGAAGCATCGGTTGATGATTGACTACTAGGAGGTTTCATCACATAACCTTCTTTACACCTAGATAATTTGAGTTTAATCGGAGAGGCCTTTTGAGGCTCCGATAATTCAGTAACTTCTGTCTCTGCTTCTGGAGCAGTTTTTGAAAATCTAATAATCAACTTTGGTGTGCTTTCTTTGGCCTCTATCACCTGAACCTGTGATATTTCTTTATTTGGGCGAGGTTTTTTCTTTCTGGATACTGATGGGCTTGATCTACGTTTCTTTTTATTTTTAGTTGTAGGAGTAACTATTGTGGAAGTAGACGCAATAGCATCTTCTTCAAATCTAGCAAATACTTTCCGTCTGAACTTCATGCTATCTCGTCTAAGTTGTTCCATAGTTGGAGCTATAAGATGATTAGATTCATCATTTTGCGAATCGCAAATTCGCTTTTTAGGTGGTCTAAGACTTCGTTTTTCTTCCATTGTTGTAACCATTGGCTGTTCACCACCAATTTTAATCTTAAGTTTTGGTGTAACAGCTTCACCTTTTCGTATATTATTCATGTAATTGGATTTAGTATCATCAAAATTATATTTAGTACGTTTCTTTTCCATATTTGCGTCAACTACTGCTTTGTAGTCTTCTTTGGTAGGAATTGTAGTCATAGAAGCCACTGCTTTTGGAATGGTAATGACATTTCTACTCAATGGTGGGGCAACAGTATGGTTAGTGGTTTGTTCTATATTATCTTGTTGATTACAATATTGTCTAAGTAGTTCTTTTTTCCTCATCTGTCTAAAGTTTGACGGAACACTCGTAACTTCAGAAGGAGCCACTGCATGATTTGGAATGTTAATGCTTATTGCAGAGGTATCAATTGTCGGTAGTATGGGTTGATTTTGAACATTGTTGTACTGGGCATTTAAGAATGGACCTTTAATCTTAACCTTCAGTTGATTCCTAGATTCACTCTGCAATACCATGCTAGAAGCTATTGGTTCTACGGGTTCTCTTTCAACTGGAGCTGGTAATTTCACGGTTTCCTCAATGTATTTTTCATCACCTTTTAATTTTTCTAAACTCTGCAAGTCTTCTTCTTCCTTAAAAGCATTAACAATATTTGTTTCTTTATCATCTACATTAGGAGTAGTTGTGTATATGTTGTCAGGATATGAAGTTATATTATCATACGAATTGTAAGTTCTCATGTCAACAGGTCCTGGTAGCATAGGTAGTAATTCCTCCATTCTCGTTTGAGTAGGAGGATCATCAGTCTTAGTTTCCACAATGGGAGAAGGAGGTTTTAATTCTTTTACACTGGCATGTTTTCTTCGATAATTATTAGGACTGCTTTGCATTTTAGGGGATACAGGGGACTTACTTTCGGATTTTACATCTGACTTTTTACGTTCCCGCATTGCTCGAAGGTTTTCCATAACACTACTTTCATTAACAAATTCTTCAACAAAATCAAGATCATAAGCAGTACCCGCAAGCTTACTGACAGCTGGATTATAATCCGTATGATGGTTTGATGAACGTCCACGACCACGACCCCGACCACGCCCCGAAGGTTTTATTTGAGTTTTTGGTCCTCGTTTGGTTTGTTTTTTTATTTCTGGAGAGCGATCTATGACTTCTGGAGATTTATATAATTGAGCTGTTACACGACTAGAAGACCTGGTCGGCTTGGAAGGAGATTTTTTATCAGTGGGCGTACTATTAGGATGTGGAGAACTAGTGACTGAAGGAGATGAAGCAGGGACAGATTGTGGGGATTGTTCTGGCATAGGAGTTGTAGGAAGGGCTGGTGATTGTTTAGGAGTCGGTATACTTGGTGTAATTTGATCAGATACTTGACTGACGCTAATTGGAGTTTGAACTAGTTCTGGACTAATAACTTTTTGACAAACCTCAACTGAAGTTGTAGGAGAATTAATTTTTAGTACAGGTGTTTTGTTAGTTAATACTGGTGATTTTTCTGATGTCACTGTTGTTGGCATTTTTATTTCATTATCCTCAATTTGGTTGGACACGGTTGGCGAATTAGTAACTTCAAAATGATTTTGAGCGGTTGTAGACACTTGCTGATTTGAAGGTGAAGGTAAATTAATTTGACTTTGATTACACATAGCTGGAATTAAGTTATGACTATTTGAAATTTGATTACTACTAGATATTCTAGTGGCTTGATTTGGTACATTTGATATTTGATTGTCTACATTAGATGCTTGGCTAATCGCACTAAGCACACTATGCATATCCGTCGGAAGAGACATGTTATTACTATTAGTGCACATCAGAAGATTATTGTCGTTATAAACATTTAAGTCATTGAAAGGATGAATAAAATTTTCCGGATGTGTCATTGGAGATATCATAGCAGCGGTAAAGGCCATATTTTGAGTAGAAGAAGTGAACGCAGCAGTGCAAGGAGTTTGTAGATGTAATGGTTTATTTAATTCTGGCATCAAAGTAGAATGAACAGAAAATGGTGTAGGCAAAGTAAATTGTTGAGGGTTGAACGTTCGAGGGGGTATAAATGGTAACTGATTTGTCGTGGGTGGATTTAAAATAAATGATGGATCTGAATATTGTGAATATGGTACGCTATCCATTTGCATAGGCACAGATGTAGGATATGGGTGTAATGATTGTAGATATTCAGTATTAGAAGTATTTTGGTGTTCCGGAGATGGTTCATTTGAAGTGTCAGAACGTCTAGATGGCATTACAACATTATCTGACCAACGATTAGCATCGTTAATATCTCGATAAGGAGATTCTGCTTGACTACGCTGACTGGGTGGTACCCATCGTTCATCCGATAGAGCACTCTCACTTCTATCTAATTTATCCCGTTCCGGAACTTTATTCACATCGACAACTTCGTTGGATTGTTGTTGAAATTTATTATAAGCATTGTAAAGAGTATTATCTGGTTTTAATTCAGATTCAGGTGGCTTAGGTGGGTCAAGTGCTTTTGGAGTTTCAACGAGTTCAATATTTTCAATGTTCTCGTTTTCTACAGGCACTGATTTCTTGGTGATTTCTAACCTTAATTTTTCAACAAGATTTAAAGTTTCTCTGGCTGTTACTTCTTTCGAATCGTCCTTGAACAAGAATTCGTTATTAAACGTAAACGATAGTGGAGCATTTCGTACATCTGTATCTCGAGTCAATCCAAATCCTTCTTCATTTGCGGCTTGTTCAACAGCTAACATATCATTATCAAAATCAAAATCGGGAATATCTTTGTTACACTGTTGTGGAGAAAATATTGACCTTTGACCTCCAGAAAAATGGTTGTTGAATGGAGTTTTTATACTTTTTTTACTGTCGAAATCCATATTGTTAGCTAATTCCCTTTCAATATCTTGTCTAGTTAAAAACGGAGTAGCCAATAAATGCTCATCTTTGAGATCGTTTAACCGATGACCACTTGGTAAATACAAGTTTAATTCATCGCTTTTCTTATTTTCTTTATCTGAAGTGTGTTGGTTATGTGTTATATTTTTATTTTTAACATCTTGAATATTTTTATTTAAACCATGATCTTCTTTGAGAATTCTCTGATCGCCATCATTACCTTTTAATTTCTTTTCAATTTCTTTGTTCTCAATTCCATGTGTGGGCTGTTTCGTTTCAGGGTCATATCCACTCGGCTGACCAGTTGATGTTCCAATGTCGTCACTATCGCTCGGTTTTCGATCTCCATCATTCCGGACACTAGTATCTCCACATGAGATGATTTGAAGAGTATCGCATCTATCACTTCCAATCGATTTTCTTCTCGATTCCTCTCTCTTAAGTGGCGGATCCTGAAACCTGTGTTCAGGCCGCCTGTCGGAAGTTTTAAGCTTCTTATCTGGCGCCCTGATCACTTTTTGGTCTTTCTCGGATTCACTACTAGAAGAGGAACTAATTTTAATTGGTTTATTTTCTGATAGCCAATTCTTTGTTTTAGGTGGGCTTTTAGTTTTTGTAACTTCTTTTAGCGGACTTACTCGGTCCAAAGATTTGGGTTTCTTCTCAGGCTCTGTATCACTATCAGAACTTGACGATCCTGATGACGTTGATGAAGAAGAAGAGCTTGAGGTACTCGATGAGCTACTAGAGGAACTACTACTTGTGGTTGAGGATAAAGACGATTTGGTATTGCGCCTTGATTTGTTGGTTGGTTCCTCCTTTTTGATAGTATCGGGAACTTTAGCTTCTTCAACAGGTTTGGTCATGCCACTTTTTATACCCTGAATAGCTTTTTTAGCTGCTTGTCTTTGAGGAACAAAACCAAACGAATCTTGTGGGTCAGACTCTTTTTCTACAGAACTTAATTTTTCAGTAACTTTATTTTTATTAACTTTTGTGGGTGGTTTATCCGGAGACTTCGGCACAACTCTTTCAGGCGATTTCTTGTGCGATAATAATTTTTCTGGGGATTTCTTATCGTTAAAACCTTCATCATGTCTACTATGTACCCTATGTATGCTCTCAGTCGCTTTTTTAGCTGCTTGCCTCTGAGGCACGATCAGTTCTGAAGGCACAGTATGATTACTCTTTATATCATCTTTTTTGGTTTTCTTATTGTCTTTTTCCAAAGGTGTGTCTTTGGTTTTTGAAACAATATTATTTTTTTCTTTAACGGCCTTACTTTTAGATTTTCTTTGAGAAAATTCTTTAACGGCAGCCTTTGTACGCATGTATGATTCTTTAGACGATAATTCAGAATCAGAATCTGAATAAATATTATTTACTTTTGTTGGACGTTTAGAAGAAATTTTAGGTAAAGTAACATCTCCACTGTCATCACTACCAAACTGTTTTTCAATTTGAATGAGTTTCTTGTTAGGCGAATTCCATTTTTGTTTTATTTTATCATTTTCTTCTTCTGTCGATGAATCAGTAGAGAGTTTTGTTTTAGACCGTTTCTTATTTAGCCTTTTTTCTTTTAATTTATGTTTGTTCATCACAGACTTGATTAATTTGGCTTCATCCATACTAGACTGTTCGCTACTAAGTATTCGAGATTCCGTGATATCAAGATCAGTACTACTAGACATACTAGAATATCGAATAGATCCATTTACATATGACCGCTTATATGGGTTGTCTCTGGATGGCCATTTTAAGCTAGTATAATTAGATTTATCTGGAGAAACAGCCCCAGCGATTCTAGACAACATAGTTTCAAAGTCTGTACTTAAATCAGGAGCATCTGGATAAGAATACAACCGATCATAGATGGATGGACCATGGTTGGCTTCTTGAACTGCTGACACTTCGGCTGAACTAAGATTAAGTTTAGAATCCGAAAGTACGGCAACTTGTTTGTGAAAAGTTTGTTCACGTAAACTAAGCAAGTTTCGAGACAGTTTTTCTCGTCTGCTAACCATATAGCATAAATTTCGTACCTATAACCATAAATAATTATTTTTTTTTCTTCTTTAAATCATATAAAAACAGCAGAAGCTAGTTATAACAAATTATAATATTCATAAAAAAATTTGAAATATTTGGCTTTTACTTAAATAAAATATAAAACATTTTTAAATGAGTTTTTATATCGACACCTAGGTATTTTACTAATGCAAATTATTGGACTTTACTAATTTTATCAGCACAAATGAGAAATTTGTTAAAATTGAAAACCAGCATATTTTACTTGATAATAATTTGTTATTATAATAAATAGTTATCACTATATTAATTATTATGTTTTTAGTACTCACCCTCTCTAGGTCTTGCCTAAGCTGTACAAACATCTTAAGTTTTTCTAAATCTGCTTGTTCTTGTTGTCTTCCGAGCAAATCACCATCGTCCGATTTTGGTAGTAACAATGGTCGATTATGACCAGATCTTCTTTTTAATACCCAATAATTATAAATATACAGAACGCCTTCACAATCAACATCACGGCACTGAGTAACATCAGTGACGCTAACGTGTTTCTCAAATTCTCCTTCTATTTCTTGTAATCTAAAATAATAATGAAACATTATCGTACTGGAATTACTAATAGTATCATTTAGTAGAGCGAAAAGAAGACCTATTCCCCAGTCGAATGGCAATTTAATGTTGCTATCTCTTCCGAAACAATTGGAGTAATCTTGATGAAACTTAAAATATTCATTGTTATCTGAAGCTAGTTCTATTTTCATTGAAATCGGGGTATTAGTTCCTAGAGAAAATAGCAATAATAGATAAAGGTTAAGGGCTGCAGTCAACGCGTATTCAACATATTAAGTTATTTCCAGGTAACGATTGCAGTGTCGCGTCGTTGTTGCTGAAGCCGATAATGATTATTATTGTTGTATATATTTTGATATTATAGGTACAAATCCACAAATTTACACAGTTTGTGAACATAATAAATTTACTTCTATGGTCCTTATGTGGGAGTTGGTACAACACAAATTCGCAAAGCCCCCAAATTGGTTCACAGCATGCTTGACAGAATATAAATTGTACTAAAATCTATCAAAACAGAGTTTGGTGCATAGAGCGAGTACCCCATGTTGACACGTCATCAACTGAGGTTATCAGGGGTCTAATTATGTATATAGTCAATTAAAATGAAATGGCTGTTGTAAGCCTATGCAACATAGGGAAACAGCCATCGCTTCGCCCAACTTTTGTCCACAGATACTCCTAGTTATATTGCTGATGACTTACTTTGCCGCTCTAGCTTGGTTTTTCTCTTCAGAAGTCATGTCTTTACGTTTTCTCTTTGTAGAATCTTCGTCTTCCGAGCCGGAATTTCGATCTTTTTTACTAGTAACGCTATGTTTTTGACAGTAAGACTACAACATACACATAAAAAGAAATCTATTAAAGTAAATCTAAAAAAAAAAATGTATTATTATTAACAACAAAAACATACTCGTAGTTTTACACCATCTTCCGCACTTTCGTCTTCGATAATAGCTCTCATTTCTAGACCATATTTAAAAGCACAAGTTACGTGGTATGCAGTTTTACAAGTTTTTACCGAACACTGAATACAGGCGCCTACCCGCTCTCGGCACAACACACAAATGAGAGCCCAGCGACTTGGCTAAAATAATGAAATATATCTTACTATTGTTGTATATAGTTAATTATAATTTTTACTTACAGGTATACTTGATATTTTTGTAATTGGCTCCATTTTTTCTACACAACCAATGCTGACTTCTGGTATCCATAAGGCACAAGAAACGTGTGCCCATTTATGGCCTGATCGTGTACATTTCATTGCACCATTTTTATTGGGACAAAGTACACATTCAGGGCGAAAACGCAAAGTACATGTTCGACATAACCAGGAGCCAGATGGAATAGTGGTGATACCATAACAAGCTTGATGAACACAAATATTGCAATTATCGCAAAAAACCATTTCATTTCCATCTTCAGAGTCCGGCTGAAATATTTCAAATAAGTTAACGAGTTAGTAAAATATAATAACAGTGTAGGGCAAATTGTAATCTGATAAATGATCAAAAAATAAACTATGTTTAATTTTTGAAAAAAAAAGACTTGTGATATTATATTTACTCACCGAACGACAAACATCACAAATGACATTTTCATCATATTCAATACCTAAACCTTCTTCTTCTTTAATGATGGCTTGGACTTTTTCCCAACACCTCATTTCTAATTCTTCTATTACCTGTTCAAATTGGTCTTCTTTTATTTTTGGCAAACCTAAATAATAATTAAGAATAATAAGGTATTACTAAATGTTATTAATATTGTAATTCAAAACAGTAGTGGGTACCTCCTAGGGCACGTTCTCCGTTACACAGCTTTAACCAAGCTGAATCGACATCATCCATATCGTACGAACATGATTTTTCTGCTTTTAAAGGTAAAAGCGATAATTGATGTTCATCAGCTTTAAAATGTTCATCTTTCGTTATGCGAATATACTTATGTTTTGGACTAAAATTAAAAACATTTATTTTAATTTAATATTCTTATATATTTGCTATTAAGGAACATACAGTTTAAATTCCAAATGTTGAGAGTGATAAATTGATGAAGGTGATCTTCTTGGTGATTTTGTAATAGTAGGTAAGCAGACAACAGGTACTTCGTGAACACTAGATCCCGGTAAAGAATCAGGATTGACTGGTACTTGCACACCACGTTCCCATTCCTGCTTCCATTGGTCGCTAATAATCCAATAAGCATCGGTAGATAACTGTTCAGAGTCAGGAAGTTTCATGGCACTGATTAAGTCTTTGCGAAATAACTAAACCACAAAACAAAAAATGCAGTTATTTAATAATAAATTAGTAACAACTAAATTGTTAAATTGAAAATATTTAACTTATTTTTAAGTCAATACAACAAGCAAGTTAATTAAAAAATAGTTGACTGAATAATAAATACTTCAGCTGGAGCGTCTGTAGTGATGCGGGTATTATAAATTGAAGAAGGTATTCTCAAATCTGATCGGAAGCCACTTAGTGTATCCATGGAGGACGCTTCTTCTTCTTCCTGTAACGTCGAAGGGCGCCCTTTCCGCCTTTTAGTCGGTACTAAAATAAAAAAAACTAGTAAATAATAGTAGTTAAAAAAAAAAAAAAAAATAGTAACACATACATGGACAATCATCTTTAGAGATTGGTTGACGCTTAGTTCTATGTGACATGCTGATTTTGCAAATGATAAAAAATTAACTCCGCTTTGTGCAGCATTGATGCCTAGAGAAAATTTAAATATCAATTAAACATCAGTTTAAATTAATTATAATTATGTTCACAATATCTGTTTAAATAAAAGTATCTGTAGTACATTTACTTTATTAAGTACTACCTCCTATACCTAGCTTTTTTTTTATTAATAAAGATTATTTACAAAAACTAGTGGTAACGGATCTAGTTTAGTTACCAGGCACCCTTTTATTCAATCGATAGTATTTTTAATGCTGATTACTAAGCTGCAAAAAAAAATTTGTTGGACATACTTAGTTTGGGAGTTATAGACATTTGAAGATCGCTGCAATCAACATATGCGGGCGCCCAGCGAACCTACTTTTCCCGGCTCATTGTGGTCCTTTTTTTTGCCTTAATACCTTTGTCTGATAACGATTATACAAAATCGAAAAATTAAGTGTAGATGTGCACCGGCGGCGCCCGCGTATTTCGATTTTAAAATGTCTTAACTCCCAAAGTTTGTCTGGCAAAAAATTATTGAGGGTTCGTAATCAGCATTAAAAGTACTATCAATAAAAAAAAGAAAAAAACAGGATGCCCTAAATCCGGTAAAGTAAATTTTTTCCCTATTTAATATGCTTTGTATGTTAGAAAAATATGTTTATTAGATTTCATTTCAATAGTTATTTAATTTATTAAATATTATCATGGAAAAACAAATATTATTACCACATAGCAGAGTCTGTAGAAATAATTTTATACGATACTCCCCGGATTGGATACCAATACTTCACTGAAAAGAAAACATAAAAATGAATACAATCAATAAGAATTTAACGTATGACAAACATATATTATGTTGTATGCTTATTATAAAATCAAATACTATTATAATAGCATATTTTTCTAATAAATGGATATCAAGATAACTATTATGTCACCTTTACAATAAATGTATTTAATAGACTGAGGGGAAATGCAAATTACTACATTCTACTAAACTATTATAATAAAAAATGTAATGATTTATATAATTTAATAAAGCAATATTTTATGTTCAAAATATCAATTTATAATTAAAATTTATATTACTAGTTATAACTACAACAAATATTGATTGAAATGATTAACAGTATGATATATTCTGATAGCGTAACTGAGTTTGAGCTGGAATAAATAAGAAATTCAAATTAATAACATTGTAAAGTTAGGTTGTAGGAATGATATTAACGCTTTGTTGCAGAAACACTATTTTATTGGATTGTACCAAAAGTCACATATTAACTTTAAAGATATTACAATTGACTTTCCTGTTTTTACAAGCTCAAACTCAGTAAAGCTATTAGAATATCCCACTGATAATCTTTTGAATGTACTAGTATCATACTGTTTATCATTTTAAGTAGTTACAACAAATCACATTAACTTTGGCTTGGTAACGTTTTCAATTCCGGAATATACTTACATAACTATGTTTAATTGTTAACCTAATAAATGTGATAGGAAAAAAAACCTCAAATTAAAAATGTGTGTTTTTTTTATAGAAAACCAAAATATACAAATTCTTATTAGTTAATTTAATTTAAATGTTACATTATAGAAAAATATAGGAACATACACATCAAATAATTACCCATGGAACAAAATATTATTCATATAAATTTGATAACAAAAAAGTAAACATGTTTAAATAAATCAAGGATAATTATCCTTGATCAATCAAGGATAATTAAAATAAAGTGGAAAAATAATGGGAGCTTATAAGAACAAAAACTGTTAACAGAAATCAAAATAAATTATTTGTAGAGAACAGAAGTGTACATATTACATTAAGAGAAGTTATCGCTATAAATTCTTTACTCATATTATGGATTGCAAAATTGGATACAATCTTATTGATAATTTCACTATAATTATTACTATTTAAAAAATGTAAAATATGTAAACAAATTACCAGTATTTAATTATTTTATTCATCAGAATATGACTTTTGACTGTTCGGTAGCGATACCAATGCTGGTGCATTCCATTTTGGCCAAACTATGAGTTTTCTTTTAGCCGCTAAGCAAAAATATAATAAAACTTCATTAGGTCATTATATGAGACAACAAACCTAGGGCACACGGGGCTACCTCATCCAATAAATGTTTTGACCAGAAAAGAAATTTGGAAAAGTTAATATTAAGAAAAATAAAACGTAGATAATGACAACAGAAACGCAGGCGGCCGGCAGATAGCGCCACAGAAGATGCCTGTGTTTTCGTTTTGATTTGATGGAAAAAGGACGTGAGAAAAAAATCGTTAACATTACCGATATGCAATTAAAAGATTGTTTGTGCAGCTAACAGATTCAAGACGGTTCCAGGCCGTGTACTTACGTGTGCACAACAGTAATCCAAAATGGTATGACTTCGTTCAACACGTCCCCATTTCGGCCAGAGGCCCGTTTACATCAACGATGGCAACGGCGGCGGTTTGGGTCGGGCGCGCGCGCGGTACAATGGACGACAACGGCGGACGGCACGAACAAACAACGAACGCACTACAAAGGTATCGACGAAATCGAATAATTTGAACGACGAGCGTTCCAATGGCGGTAAACTTGGATTGCAGTTGCGAAAATACAAGTTGAACGGATTTTCCACTTATCGTTTCATGCTCGACACTTGCGAGTAGCGATTGGCGATATTGGTATTGTAAAAAAAAAAACTCCTTCCTGCTCCTGATGACAACAGTGTGGCCAACTATGTCGTGGTCTTTCCCGCGTATTGTACCATCTTATATTGTAAGGGCAAACTACATCTAAAACGCAACAGTTTATTTGAAATGGTTAACTCGTTTAGTAAATTAATAAAAATAAAAACATCATTAGTCATTAATGTAATATTATATTTTTATAAAAAAAATAGCTCGTACATACATAATATCATCCCCATGATGGCAAACTGAATGTTATGGAAGGTCGAAGGTCAACGTCTGATAACAAATATAATTTCCATGTATACAATATTATGTAGTTTATTTTGATATTTTTATCAAACTAAAATCAAGAAAATAGTGGTTACTATTTCTATTAAAATGTTTGATTACTACTGATTACTATCGTTTGTATTGTATGTGTCAACTATAAGAAATCAAGAAAATTAAAACAAATCATTTTTTTAATGCTGTCAATGGTGGTACTGTAATTTGTAAATGTATTTAACATAGACATCGGTTGGCGCCATATTCTTCGTTCTATGATATCTATGTAATTATGAATGTTTATGTTTGTTTTGAATTATTCAAACTGACAAGAGTCAAGACAACGCACGTCGTACAGTGACAGTATAAATTGATAATAGTGTTTAGCGTTTGCTGTTTATCATAAAAGTTATCACTTATCAGCAAAGTTGGTTTTGTTAATAAGTTTAATAAATTGATACTTTTCAAAAACTGTTACAACTTACAAGTCGACTAGACACATAATCCTTTTTTGTGAAGGTGCTTGCGATATAGCGGTATAAGGTTTTATTTTTTTCGTATTTATTGGCAAGGACAGGCTGGCATTTAAGGTGCCTTTAATTCTAAATTTCTTAAGGGTCCCAAAAAAAATGTTTTGTACGTTTTGTATATTTCACGAAATTTTGCGGTGGTTTTTTCTAAGAAATCCCACATACTGTGTTATATGTCCGGCCCAGGGCCGTAACGCAGCTGTGGGTCATAGCCGGGCCGATCCTGTTTATTGGTGATACCTTCCGAGGACCTATATTACAATATTTAATATTAGTGGAAACAACCTCGCATTTTTGGTTGTCTTTCCTATATTTTATCCGTTTAATACCCAAAACGGCTACCTAAGTTCGAAATCATACATAATAATTTATGAAAAATGAAAATTTTCTTATAGGATATTCTACTAAATGTCGGACCAAACGAGTATTATATCTCGATATTTAAAAAAAAGTAATTGATGATAAGTGAAAACTAGTTATTAACTACAACTTTTTTCGTTTTTTATTGTTTAAATTCACCGATTTAATCTGATACGATTTTCTTTTTAGAGTACAAAAATAATTTGACTGCTACTAAACGTTCCTAAAATCGTATGTATAAATTATATAAGGGAATTTTTATTTGGCGGGGTTTTAAATCTACAACAAATTAACCTCCAACGCTCGCATATGCGGTTTACATTGCGATTTTTGGTACTTTTTAAATACAAAAATGACAAGACAACGATATGTTTTAAGACGCGACTGATTAGAGGTTAATAGTGTATAGTAATTGTGATCTAGAAAAAATGAGGAACAGCCGACAGTGCGATAACTTGGTTGAGGTTCGGTACATTTAACTCCAAAGTCCTAACATGCACTGTAAAACCCTATCTCTATAATAGTCATGACTCTGCCGTGCCCAATGCCTTTAGATTAGTTATTATTATGCCGTCGTAGTAAGCAGTATCTGTAGTATTCATCATGTAGTGATAACTCTATGTCTATGGTGTACGGTGTTCATAGATATCATAGACCTTATACATAGATTAAATATATATGTATATATTTAATCTATTTTATAACTCTAAGATATTTGGATAAAAGGGGACAAGTCTAAATTTGTTACTTTCGAGAAAATGTAAATTGAACTTTGAAAATTGTTTTGGTCTAATTCATATTGGAACAAAACATACTTGATAGTTGATACTAACTAAAATCACAGATTATTTGAAAACAGGCTGTTGATTGTTTACTTGAGGTGTAAATAAAAAATGAGCCGATAATGACTCTACTGAAACCAGTGTGGCCATGTTAGTCGGGACATAAATATCGAACATTAATAATATGTTTAATTTTAATTTAATATGGTAAACTATTTACCATATTAAATTAAAATGTATAATTAATAATAGGTTTTTATTTAAATTTTACAGGTCGCCTATATTAAACATAGCCTTAAATACTATACAGCATGATTTTAAATTACCCTGTTTATTTACCCCATATGATTTCGTATATAAGGCTAATATTAATTACATTTTTATTTATAGGGATTTTAAAATATATTTAAATATTAATCTAACACTTCTATCCAAATCTCCATTAGTTACTCATTAATATAGTATTTAGCGTCAGATATATCTTTGTTTTGTAGGCGGTGTGCGTATCCTTTCGTACAGTGCGTAAGATAAAAAATTAATTTTAAATTAAATAATAATATTATAGTATTTTATTATTATAACATTTATGGTAAATCATGAGAAACATTTTGTTTAAGACAATTACTCAACAAATGTAAAAGCGCATACGTTTAAAAACAAGTTCCAGACGGCCACACTGATTTTAGCGGGCCAATCATAGAGCCTTATTTTCAATTCTATTGTTATTTGTTATAGGCTCGATTGTACTATCTGTTATAATCTGGGCTAAAATATTTAACTTGTTTCAAACTATATTACCAACTGTATTTAATCAATGCTTATATAAGGCCAGCAGCAGCTGTAGTCACGGCTGACGTCACTTACAAGTTACAACTAGTCACTATCATGATTCATGATAATATAACTAAGTTAGTTGGTTACCAGTTATCATGGTTGCTAGTTTTATGTATATTTATATTTTATTTATCTTTGATAGTGAGTACTGAGTAGTGACAAGTGACAACTTTAGGTAATAAATACTTATGATATAAATTCTACTTATTATAGTACTAATGGTAGTGAAAACTTAAATATTCGTGCACTTCATCGTACACTTCTGTTCGTTTATTGAAATGTTGGACTCGCAGGATGTTAATCGGCCTGAACTCCTTGAAGAGGTACGGTTATTCCGTAATGCTCGAGAACGTGAAAAATATGACAATATGGCGGATTTTTATGCATTAGTTAATACACTTCAGCATTTGGAAAAAGCTTATATTCGCGATTGTGTTACACCAAAAGAATATACAGCTGCTTGTAGTAAACTACTTGTGCAATGCAAAGCTTCATTTAAACAGATACAAGGAGATGATTTCCCAACTGTAGAATCGTTTGTAAAAAAATACAAATTGGACTGTCCGGCTGCAATAGAACGTATTAAAGAAGACCGACCAATAACCATTAAAGACGATAAAGGCAATACTAGTAAATGCATTGCTGACATTGTGTCTCTATTTATTACAATAATGGATAAACTTAGGTACACAACAATAATTTGTTTTATATTTTAATTATATAGCTAGGTAGATTAGGTATAAAATTAACCAAATAGCACACATAAGAAGATGCAATATCCCTTTCACAATTGCTTATCATGCTATTTTCATTTAACAACAATAAAAGGTTAAGGGTACGTACTCTTAAAAAAAACAGCATTTGACACCTCTCGTTATAAATTAATATGTACCATTAAAAAAGTTTGTTTACGTTATTAATTACTAATGTTAAGATAATCTTAACTTGGTCCTATATTTTAGTTTTGTCTATAATCTATCCCATTTAAAAGCGGTATTGCGCTGAAACCAAAACGCATTACTCTCTTATGCGCCTTAAGAGTGACACGTTTTGGTTTTAGCTCAATACAACTCTTATATGTGATAGAGTATTAACAGTTATTGTGATTCATTATCTATCTAAAGTCAAATATTTTTATCGGACTGTGTCTTTGACTTTTTTCCTGGTGAACTGATAAGTTTTTAATGTTTGATTACAAATCTATCAAATCTATGATTGATTACATAGATCAAGTAACCTATGTAAGAAACAATTTTTTATGTATTATATTTTTTAGGTTAGACATTAAAGCAATGGATGAACTCCAACCAGATCTTCGGGACTTGATGGATACAATGAATCGATTGAGTATGTTGCCAGCAGATTTTGAAGGAAAACAAAAGGTTTCTGATTGGCTTAGTTCATTATCGTCCATGAATGCATCAGATGAATTGAATGAAACTCAAGTGAGGCAGTTGATTTTTGATCTGGAATCGTCTTATAATGCATTTAATAAACTACTCCATCAGTCAACTTAGTTGTGAATTCAAACATCAAAATTCTCAAAAATAGTTGAAAAATATGTGAAAGAATAACGCAATTTTTTTTTAATCAATAATTGATATAATTTTATAAGAATACAAATCCATACAATAAATTGATTATAAATGTTTGTTTATAGATATTAATTAAATTATAGTAGAATAGACCTTTATGAGTAATAGTAGTAACATTATGCTTATAATAGAAAAAAACTTAGAAATAACGCTAAAAACAGTCAGTTATAATAAAAGAATATTACTTTTATTGGCTTAATATGCCTGAAAATTACTGATCGTTGAAATGGGACTCTTCATTTTGTTCAGCTTCTGAAGCTGTGGGAGGCGGAGGTGACTCAACATTTCCATCATCATAATCAAAAATGTCATTAACCACTCTATTTTCAGGATCTACAGCTACAGCACCCAAAGGATTACCTCTAGCGTCTAATTCCAAAACTGGGTCTGCTGTTGCTTCTGCTAGATTGGTTACTGATTTTGATTTTAAACACTGAAACAAAGTTATTTTTGTAAACCAATGTAACTATAGTCGGCGACACGAAAACTGGCCCGTGACCGACGCAACTCTAGCGGCAGTTTCCCGTCAGTGGTTATCATAATAGCGGAAATAAATGGGTGGCGAGCGGGAAACTGTTCAGTTTAAGAACCCATGCATCACAGGCGGGATGTGGTGCAGGGGTGGCAGCACTCACGGGTCAGTTTTCGTGTCGCCGACTATAGTATAATAACAATAGAAATATCACCACTCACTTGGAAATCGACATGGCGACTTTTAGCTTCTTCTTTTTCCCATGACATATGTATAAATGGTCGTTGAACATAATTGTATATAACATCAGCTCGTCCTCCAGCTCTTTTTTTAATTTTTTCTTTATAAGTTGGATATCCTTCAATTCCTAAACGAATTTTTTTAAGTCCGCGTTCTTTCATTACTTGTTTAGCAACATCTCGATTTTCTATATATTTAAAGAACCTATATAATGCTGTACTGTTGACAGCTTAAAAAAAATTAATCGTTCATTTATTTTATACATTATATATATATATATATATATATATATATATATGGTTAAAGTAGAGAAGTTTATACATAGAATTGTTTACTTTGAGAATATTCTTCACCCATTTGTGGTGGGTATTCTTCATCCCAGTCCACAGAATCATCATCTAATAAGACAACAATGTGACATTCTCGATCACCTCTTTGAGCCGAATTCACCATTAGCGGTAGTATTAATTCCTCTAAAAATACTTCAAATTGACAACGTGCTCCTTCATTTGATAGCTCATGTAATAATCCTCCTAAAAAAAATTTGTCATTAAATTTCTAATTATTTTTTCTAGAACTTTTCCCCTTAAATTATAAACAATAAAAACAGCTTTGTATTTAGTATTGAGGGATATTTCAGTATAAATCCCTCTGCCACAATGAAAAATAATTACCTTTAATTTTGTTTATAATATAAATATATACATGTTTTAAGTTATGTAACCACTCAACAGAGCTCGGATGGTATAGATTTTGCAATTTTTGAGGGTTATTACAGCTGGCTGCTGCTATATACATTTATATTAGGGTGGTCTTTAAAAAGTCAAATTTCAGATAAGATCAAAAAAACTTTTTTTTTTAATAATTAGTTTTAACCTGTGCCACCCCATAAGGATTGAAGTTTAAATGGGAATGGTCGTTTTTTCCGGTAACATTTTATTTAATTTACCTGGGAGATGTCGCTTGAACCAGAAACCTAATATTTGAGATCAGTGTATCATAATTTTTAGTAACATAGTACAAAAATGAATAGACTCAGTTGGGTCAATAACACGATGTTCAGAATAAAGTTAACAGTGATGTAATAAGTTTAAATCACAATCCTAAATTTTTTGACAGTGCTGTTATCACCACATAACTTTATCTGCCATCCCTACCATATTCTCTTGGCATTACCCAGTGATTGGGCTGTTCTCTAAAATGTTTAAGTCAAAATTAAATCCTTTAATATAAAAAATAAAAACAACCCCATCTCTTTATGTTCTCTCTTGTATGAACATTAGCTAAAAAAGTATTAAAACGCGCCTATTTTTGGTTAAATTTTCATTTTCTGGTAGCAATTTCGATAGTTAGGAACTTTTGGGTATGATTTACGTGTTCGGCTGACACCAAGCTACAAAACCATCAAAACTTCAGCTCAAACTAACAAGTAGGAAAATAGTTGAGCGTTGATTTGTGCACAAGTGTCGAAATTCTATATTAAACCCCATTTAAACTTCAACCCTTGTGAGACACTGGTAAAAATTAATATTTATCAATTTTTTTTTGATCTTATTTTTATTGCATTAAAATCTTTTTAAGGGGCGTTGAGGTTAAAATTTGACCTTTTAAAGACAACCCTATTATACATACATATTAAAGTGACCAAAACAATTTTTATTAATTTTTTATGTTCTTCTCTTGACATTATGTTCCTTGGGGTGAAAAAGAATTTCCCTATTTTTCCACATTTTCAAAATAATTTTTTGGCTGCAAACAGCAGTTTACCAAAAAACAAATGTTGTTTCTTATTTTAATTTTTTTAACGTATAAATATAAATTTTAAATAAAACTCATACTGTCGTTAACAAAGATTTCCAATAATATAAGCCCAAAGTGACCCCAAGTGTTTATAATTTGTATACGATAAATTAAAAATGCCTACTCACGTTCAAGTAATAAAAGTCACTCACTTAAATTTTGGCATTTTACAGTTTTGGCATCAAACGGTACTAATAAGTAGTCACAAGCTTCACGAAGCTCTTGTACTGATATAGAAGATGGACAACGCATAACATTGCCTTTATAATATTCTAAAATGCATCTAAAAACGTTTGCTGAGACACCTTCTGCTACTACATATTCTCCTCGTTCATTTTTGTTTGTATACTCGTTAGAACTAAACATTCTATAACATAAAAATAAAGATAAATATTATGATAAATTCTCTATCAAAGTTTGAATAAAGGAAATGAGAAGAGGGATAAATTTTTGCACAAGGCAAAAGAAAAGTGGAATAATGGGTTTGGTGAAAAAGATGTACATTCTGTGGAAGTATTATTATACCAAATAGCTTATTCTTCTTTTAGCAATGGATGAAAAAAAAAGAAAAAACAGGATGATGCATCTGGATTTCTATTGTTTGTGGACAATGTAATTTAAATGGATGAAGATTGCAAAAATGAGTTCAGAGTTAATTTTTAATGGTAAGAACATGAGAAAAAAACCCAGGAATTATTTTAATAATTTCTAAAAATAATTTTTTTTTAAATCTTTTAAATGTGTACTCTAAATAAGCTGCATTAAAAATTGCAGGTTATGTGAAACAGTAAAATACTATTATACGACAAATAGGTAACAATTTATTTGATACAGAAATAGAAATGTATTTAAAATCAAAAACTTTTGCACTAAATAAAATTGTATTTCAGATAATTTATTATTTAAAAATGATTAGTGTTAAATTAATAAAAATAATTATAAAATTGTATAAAAATAATTATTTTCAAATAAAAAATGTACAGGTTGGCTTGAGAATAAGTAGGTTTAAAACAAAAAAACAGAATTCACAGTAATGTTTTGTTGAGTTAAAAAATCATTTACTTTTAGAACTGAATACTAAATATAAAAAGGAAGTAAGAAACCTGTAATGTTTAAAAAGAAATGGAAAATAAAGTAAAGAATTTAAATTATTTGGGATTGAGTTAGGTAAATTGAATATGGGAAGAAAAGTGGGGACAGAGAATTTGGCATGCTGACCAAGTTTGTACGGAATAATGAACGAAAGAATGAAAATATGTGTGTTCAACATTTAAATAACCACTTAAGTCAAATTATTTTAAATTACCTTCCAAGCATAGTGTTTGAATGTGCAATAAATATAGAAGGGTCCACAATAAACCTTGTATTATCAACTATTAATGTTACTCTCTCTTCTTTATTAGGAATATTTCTAGAGTTAGCTATAAGTCCTGATCCAGAAGCACTTTGAATACTACTAGAACCTGAAGAAGTCGAGTTTTGATTCATCAGACTTTTCATTGAATTCATTGAGCAAGAAAATCTTGTCATAGCTTTTCTATAATAAAATACAGTAAAATAATACATTTATATCTAATATTATAATTTATAAACTAAAATTAAAAATTATATCTCAATAAAAATATTGAAAATACAAATTAAAACACTTTAATTCAAAACATGTTAAGAAAATGTCTTATTCTCAATCTTTTAATATTATATATTGTATACATTATGCATATTAAACCAAGGCATAAATGTGCTTTACCAAACATCCTTATTTTGCCCTTTATTTTACCATCTTATAGTGTTTCATTTGCTAAATACAAGTCATAAGTCAGAAATTTGCAGACTCCTCTAGTGCAAATGTTGTAGTTACTTAGGTTTGAGAATTATTGTTGCTTGAGGCGCTACGGCTAGCCACTCTCAATGCTGCGCTGTGGCACCGTACAGTTTTAATAGCAGTTTATTTCAAATTTATTAATTAACTACCAGGGTTGTTCGGAAGGCTAAGTTTGGTCTTGTTAGGTCGCTGACTGCTTCCAGAGCCGCATCAAGTTAGCTTTTTTTATTCTCATAAGATGAGCTATATTTTCCTCTGGGGGTTTGGGGGCCGTGAGTACTTTTCCTTACAAGATAGCCATTAAGGGTCAAGTGGGCTCCCGGACCCAGTTGGTGTAGGGAGTTGCTATGTATGTAATGAGTTATATAATTGAAGCATTTTTTGGCTACAACTGAGTTAGTATATTATGATCATGGTAATTTATTGTTAACAAATTTGGAACCAACTTAACCTAACCTAATCTAACCAGCTGCCTGGTGCCGTGGCCGCCACAACTATCGCACACCACATACTGTTATACACGCGGAAAATTTTAAATTTAAGTATCTATAACCGTTGAACTAGAGTATTCCGCAGATTCGTAATCAGTGTTAAAAAACACTACAGGATGACAAAAAAAATCACTAAAAAAGGGTGTAGGGTAAAGTGCATTTGTTCCTAAACCAATTCTAAAAGATAATTTGAAATTGACATATCAGTAAACTTTTAAAATTAGATATTTATAAATGTTTGTTGAATAACTAATGTGTAATATTTTATAACTAGACAGTTTTAATATATCACATGAATGATTTTCAGATATATCCGCGTCAATGGTTGTTAACAACCATTGAGGCGGATATATCCGAAAATCATTCATGTAATATTTCAATCTGCGAAAGTTTCAACACATTCTTAGTTTTAATATATACCTGTTTCTCCCTGAAGTTGAATGTTGCTTTGTGATAGGAGTTAAGGGTAGCTGACTACCAATAGAATGGCGCTGCACTAAACAGGACTTAGGTTTTAGAGAACTTCCATAACTAAAACACAATCCAGGAGTACTATGAAATCGAAAATTATTCAAAAGTTCTTTATTTTATTAGTTATATTTATGAACCAGTTTCACAACACATATATTATGCAAAATATCGTTGAAAATCGGTTTAAGGAATAGTAAAACTGTGTTCTAGTGTTCACAAGAGTTAAAAGACAATCAACATTTTAAATGCATTAAGTATGACTGCAATTATTTGATATTGTTACCTCTAAACGATAAGACAATACAAAAATTATCAAGGATGTTGAAAATATATTATATCTACCTACTGTAGTTTTTAACTTATTAAAAATATCTGCAGACCTAGTACACATTCTTCTTAATTTAATTATGTATTAGTTACCTCAGTCTTGTCTTAAACACTCGACGTCTATGATCATCTGTATCGTGGTAGTCCTCGGTGTCACTGCTTGAGTCGCGATCGTAATTATGATTATTACGGCCGTCTTTAGATAAGGACATTTCCTAAACCACTATTTACAATTTATACTATAGTACCGAATCAATAATATGTTATATAATTATATACCACTTACATTGTTTTACCCATGAATAAAGCTCAATAAGTTGATTTTGTTCGTCTTCTTTGTTTACAGTTGCAAAACAATTATGACACAAAACAAGGCAATGCAATTCTGATTCGGAATTTTGTTAACACGTTGTTTTAACGGGAAATTATCGTTATTTTATAGATATGAAATATGCTACGTACCGACGTTGAAATGTTGAACTCCTAAATTAATTCTGATTTGAAGTTTGATGTCGCCACTCGCCAACTGATTAATCAGAAATTATTGGACTATTAATAGCCAACAATGTTATTCTTTATTTCTAATTTGATATGATATTGGATGAATTTGTTATCCCATAAAGATGAAATTGAAAAATCAACAATATGTTATATGTATGATGTATCACGTATGGCATTAGTGGGAGAATACGAATTTTGATAATAATTTGTGGCGGGGAGTAAAATCATCAAGATAGGCGTGTTATCTATGACTATGGTAACTTTCCACCTTATTTATTCTATAATGTTAACTCTAAATTATCTTTTTATTAAACTTTCATTAGAAAAAAAATGATACCTAACAGTCAAAGACTACACATAATTAAAATTCGAACGAAAAAAAATGTGGATCTATAATAGAATTTGTATAATTATTACGATGATACTTTTGATTAATTGAGGTTCTAATATTTTCATCCTTATGACTAATTGTATGTATTGTGTAATTTTCTAGTTAACGAATTGATTGGTAAACATATTTATGTTTCATGAATCCTTAGAGGTTTGATGGAATGGGGTCACGGATAAGGTGAGCAATAAAATTTATTCAAACTTTAAAATGTACTCGACTTTATTGCTCTAATTTTCAATATACAAGGTAATTTTGTATTACCTATGCCTCTGGATTTTATGTCTAATTTTTAATTAACAAATTTAATTCAAAAATTAAAATTAATTAGTACACGTATTAAATTAGTTAAAAGTAATTGTTTTTTATAATAGATATTATAGCTTTTGGATAGTAGAACTTAAAGTACATTTGTTCATGTATAATAACTGTAGGGTATAGAATTATGATAAAGGTTATCTTGGAAATTGGTTATTTGTAAAGAAGATTAGTACAATAACATGCTCAAAAAACTTTAATAAATAATATATAATAATTATATGTTATGGAATAATTTGTTTATATTATTATGTGTACATATTTTTTTAGGAATGATGTGGCACATTTATTCGAATGTTTTTGTGAAGTGGTAGAGCCAAGCAATGAAATTAAGGAACCATGGATTTTACAAAAATTTCCTGAACACTATAAACATGAAGATATACTAACTACCGTACCAAAGTTTGCATATCCTTGTGAATTTGATAGGCAAGTATATGTGCTTATTTATTTTTATGTATTTGTTAAACTTTAAATAATATAAATTTACTTGGAACTAATAATTAAAATATGATGTTCAATTTTAGAGAAATATGTTCTGTTATCATCACAAGTATTTTATATTTTATTTTAGAAGTGTCGTCCAGCATTTCTCGTTTGTTTTGACCAGCATTGAATCAAAATGGACTTTTGGTTTTTGTAGACATGATCCTAAATCTGAAACAGCATTAGTTGTGCTCAGTTATCTCCCTTGGCATGAATCATTTTATAAGTAAATCTATTTATATTATATACATATATATTTATATATACATATTAGGATAGTTCTTATTCCACATTTAAAAATTTTTTTTACCTGAGACCACTCCCTTAATTTCATTATTATTTTTAATAATTGGTAACTTAAATAAAATTTTGTATGATTTATTAGGAATTAAATAAAATTAATGAACAATATTTTGCCGATATCATGATTTAAACATATAAAAATAATATATAATAAATCACAAAACTATAAATAATCTACACTATTTACATATTTTGCGGTTACTCTCACTTGAGCAGATTCATTAGTCTGCCAACGTTTCAGAAAAATTGCACGTTCAATCGTCAGGGCTGTGGTTCGATGTTGCTCTTATCGTGTTTGCAAGCCCTGGGATTTCAATGTAATTTTTTGCTTTCTATAGTCATTTAAGTAAAAAATCAAGACAAATATCAAGTCTTAACAATAAGTTATTTGATTCCTGTTAAGTACTTTGAGCTATTTATAAATTATTGGTTAGAATTACCCAATTTTTAATTCAAATTATAACAGTAGGATTCTAAGGTCTGCCGTTAGTACTGAAGATGACAACATTGTTGCTGAAATATGTACCTATATGCAGAGAGTTTACTATTTTTATGCTTAAGGGTTTGAAATATTAATTTATTTATTATATATAACCATAAGTTGCTAAGTTTTTTCTAGAATAGGATTTTTAATATATTTATTACTTTTACACTTCATTATTTTATTTTTAAATCGTGATATCCTTCAAATTTTTAATTTAAATCTATATTTTTATTATAAATCTTTATATTATTTTCTAGGCTGAAATTCAGTTAAATTTGGAATACTTAGGTTTTTATAAATAATTAAGAAATTAAGAGGATTTTGGGTAGAAAAAAATAAAAAAAGTCAAAATAAGGACAATCTAGATATATAAAAATTGTTTAAACAAAATATTTTTAAGTATATTATACTATAAAATATTATTTCAGGTTTTTAAATTGTATTTCAAGTCTTACTAACAGCTCTAAGTCCAAAGATCTTTGGCCTTTTTTAGAACATGTGTATAATAGCAAACTACCAATCAAAGGATGTGATTTAAGAGTTACCAATGAGAAAGGAGAGGAGGTAAATTTACAAAATGCTTAATATTGGTTATATTTTAATTTATATATGTTTAATTTTAAATTTTGTGGTCCAGTTATTTATTTGTCAGTCGCCAATTCAGTTCCAGTTACCTAGCATTCCCGAAAATGTGAGTACTTAAAGTATAATGGCTAACATGTGTGGCGTATTCATATATAGAGTCTTACTTGTTACGTGTTACTTAATAGTATATTAGATTTAATTCTGGCAACTCTGTGAAACAGACATTTAACCCCTTCAAATCAGATTGGGTGTATAGAAATTTTACTGTAGGTCGGTTTTCTTCTTCTTTGGGATGGTTTTAGGCTCTATTATACAATACCTATGTAAGTTTAAAAAATTGATATGGATACACAAGTAAATTAAACGAAATGTTAATACACAGGTTCACAGATATTTGTGTGTTTCATTTCTTACACATTCTTGAAGGGGAATCAGTATTGATTATTCCTGTGTCCCGCTTACGCGCTACAGGAATTTATTCTTACTTTTTGTCCATTGTACCAATCTATCTCCAATAGTGGTAAGGAAACTGAAAATAGATTTGAGTTTGTGTTAAAGTTTACTTGAGAACAATCATATGACTTTTTTCCAAATTTAAAAGTTAACGCTTTTCAAAATTGATTTTTAAAGTTCAAAAGTTTGAAAGTTAAGTATTTAAATTATACTTAATAACTTTGTTTTTGTATGCTTACAAAGCATATTATTATCTGATGTTAATATAGTTGTTTATTGATCTTGTGATTTGTCCTAAGCTGATATTATAAGTTTATATGTTTTAGTTTTTCACTATAAGAATCAAACACCATACATTATTCTATTAAAGCATCAAAATGATTGTTTTTATCTCTTAATTATCAGACAAATGTAATACACAATAGATAGGTACATATAGTACCTATCTATTGTGTATTACATTTTTTTTTTTTGTGATTCTATTAGTTATTAGAAAAGGTTATGTTCGAATACGAAGAACTTATACTGGTTTTATATTGCATTATTTATGATAACCAATGACATCATTTTAGCAAGAACAGCATTGTAAGGTGACATTATTTTCAGTTGATAGAAAAAGATGGATTTAATCAAACAAAGGTCATATTGATTCAGAGCAACAAAAAATTATGTATCTATGTAATATGTATAGATGAATACAAACTGAGAAAACAAATATTGAAATAATATACTGGTAGTACTGCTAGTGTTTCCTTAGATATAACATGCCATTTTTAAACAAAGCTAGATATCATAAATTGAACATACACACTATTCAATATACACAATATACACATTATTAAACATTACTGAATTTTAATAGTTTATAATTATATTTACAATCAGTACTAAATATGATGTCTATTTTTACTAAGATAGTCCTATGAGAATTAAAATTGTTTAAATTGTAGGATTTGATTAGTTGAGTAGTTGGTTGCTAAATTGATATCTAAATTCAATTAGTAAATCAGATGTTTGTAAAATTATTTAAATTTTGTTTCAGAGAAATTTAACAGAATATTACAATGCAGTTGATAGTGAAAATATGATCAAAATTTTTGCATCAATGTTATTTGAACGACGTATTATTTTTACTTCTAAAAAACTTTATAGATTGAGTGCCTGTGTCCAATCAGCAAATGCAATTCTTTATCCAATGATTTGGCAACATATATTCATCCCAGTCTTGCCTCATTCTCTTATTGATTATTTACTAGCACCGATGCCCTATTTAATTGGTTTGCCACATTCTTTATTACAAGTAAGGAAACACTAAAATATTTGAGCTGTACTTACTTCGTTAATTTGATTCATTTTTCAGAATTTTAGGCATAATGATTTAGGTGATGTCATTATTTTAGATGCGGATACTAATACTATTCTAACACCTTTTGATGATATAGATCAACTTCCTACAGACGTGGTATATTATTCAAATAATTTTTTTAAATTGTTATCAGTATTATTCCAATTATACAAAATAATATTTAAATTTCAGAACTTTTATATTGCCGCTACGCACGAAAAACAGCATGAAAAATGTTATTAAAAAAGCAACGAAAAACAAAACTTTATCATTGATTAATAAAGGCATGAAGTGTTGTTTTTTGTTGACAATTAGAAATGTGCTGTTTTTCGTATGGAGGGTAATATAGTAAGTTACAAGTAATGATTTATTTAAGTTTAATATAAATTATATAATTGGTCAAATTTAATAAGAAAAATTGTATAAAATTATTGTATTTTGGTTTTTTTTGCAAAATAATGTTGTGGAGTTACAACAGATTCTTTACTTAAACAAATGATTATATTTTTAAAGTCGTTAACTTCCCTTTAATTGTCTGAAGGTGTCAAATTTGAAGCGTCAATTGCGTAATAGGGGTACACTTTTAGGAGATGGTGTATCAAGGTCATTTCTTCGTGCATTAGTTCATTTAATTGGAGGTTATAGGGATGCGTTGAAGTTTCATCAAGGGGAACGTATAACATTTAATAAGGAAGCATTTATAGAATCTAGATCCACAAACATGCAACCATTTTTGAAAAAAATGTTAGAATTACAAATTTTTCAGCAGGTTTGTTTAGATAACTACTATAATTTTTTTTAAATTTATTATTTATTTATTGCTATAGTTTATAGAAGAACGTCTAGAAATGTTAAACGCTGGATTGGGTTTTTCTGATGAGTTTGAAATGGAGGTGTGCAACTATCATGAAAAGTCTAGTAATAAATTAAAACAGCAGTACAAAGAATGGACGTATACAGTAAAACGAGAAGGATCTGCTTTTTTTAAATCTGTTAAAAATGTTGTAAGTTACAAAAAAAACTTTTACAAAAATATGGTGTGTCTATGGTAAATTATAAAATAATTTATAGGCTAATCCTGCTATGAGAAATGCTGTTAAAACGGTTAGTATAATTACTGAAGTCATGTTCAATAAAGTGGCTGACTGGACAGATTCTAGCCTAGCTGGCCAATTCAAAGACTGCCCATGAAAAAAAAAACTGCTGTATTATTTTTTATACTCTGGAAGCCGCCTAGTGGGCATTTGCTCTTACGACAGTCCGCCCCTGTTTTAACATATACCTATGAAATAATAATATCATAAAATGGTAAATATTTGTCTTATAATTGAATTTAGGTGAAAGAACGTGGAAGAGATGTTAGGTTAGCCTATAAAGGATTTCGATTGAAACTCAATGTTCAAAATAAAAATCCTCGAACTAAAATTAACACACAACCAAATTCTGCACCTAGTTCTCCGTCAGCTCAAAGAAGATCAACACGGCCTCACACAACCGCTTTTTCAACACCTTCCACTAGCTATCATAAAGAAATACCAAATGGTGTTCAGCGATTAAACTCTGCTCAAAAGTAATTATAATTTCTGTTTATTTTTGGTTTTTCTAATAACAAGAAGATTGGGCTAATTTGCTTTTATCCGGGTACAGGTTTTTTGTAAGAGAGTAAACTACAGACAAAAACCCTGTTCCGGGTAAGTTTAGCAGTATATTAGAATTGAAGGGATGTTTTCTTTACAATTATTAAATTACGAGTTGTAACACAAATATTATGTGGCTAGGTCAAATTTCATAAGCAAATTCACCATATAGTTATACTCACCATCTGATTTTTAAAATACATCATACTATGGTAACAAAATAATAACTTAGTTAAGAATTGTGAATTATATGAACTGTTCTCATAGTCTAACTTAAAGTTAATTTAAACAAACAGATAAGATTTTTCAAATGAGCTAACCAATAAACCACTAACTTCTATGGGGACATATAAATGGTAAAAAATGATTGACCAGTAATAATTTTTAAGCTTATCATTATTTTAGCGTGTTGTCAGAAGTACCAGGATCTCCGCCACTTCAACTGAACATGGATTTAATGGTAGATTTAGAAGATGTAATATTTAGGAAATTTCCAAAAAATAACACACCTAGTTCACTATCAGTAAGTGTAAACCTCGATTTTATAATACAAAACACTTAAAATCTGTTTTTATTACTTACAACTTTTTTTTAATTGAGTAGTTATAAATACAAAAAAAAATGTTATGTATGTTTTGTCTAATAGAATTTTGATGGAGTTAGTAGTGCAAGCGATAATATAAATGGAATAGGCAATGAAGATGTATTCAATACATCTTTTGGATCAGCACCTACTGTCTGTCCAATGGAAACAAAAGACTTGATACGATTAGACTCAAATTCCAGTACTAGTATAGACGATTTTGATCCATTAAAAAATCCAGCTGATAATTATGGTCTGGTACCCGGTGTAGGGCTCACCAATCCATTATATCAGTATTTTGTACCATTGAGTAAAGGTCAAAAAGAATCTCAAAATACTAATGATTTACTTAGTGAGTATGGTTTAAATTTTGATTCTTTGAGTTTATCTGGCCAACCAGGTGTCTCTACTATGATGGAAAGTCGATCTTCAGTTCCACCCTTACCACCAAAACCAGCTAATTTTAAATCAAATTGGACCAAATTTGAATAATTATCTTTAAAGAGTATTTAATTTACGATAAATATTCTACATAAAAACTACAGTATTTTTGTATGCCCCATAAATCATTATACTATAGTTAATTGAATTTTCTAGCTATAAAACATGTTATAATTGTTTTTATGTTTGTCTATCATTGTTAAATAATACCTAACTATCACTATCAAATAGACAGTTATTACGAGTTATTAAAATTTTTTACCTTTTATGCTGATTTATTTAACCACGAATAACAAAATGTATACACATGTATGTTGTAAACAGCAATTATTAAAACATTTCTATTAAAAAGTGTATGAGCACACAGATTTCTTATCCTCAAGATTAAAAAGTAAAAAACATTTTTTTAACTACATAAAATTGTTGAACCCAGTTATTCAGTTATAAATTATTTAATAATACCTTAATGTTACAACTGTAATATTTATACAAGAGAATTTTTTAAAGTAGCTATAATACATTTTTTTGAGTACAATACCAATAACGAAAAGGTTATTTTTAATTTTAATAAACTGTCCAATGGATCGTAAATGTTATTAGATTTGCAGGCATTAACCCTTCACTGCATGAATTTTTTTTTAACCATATGCTATAAATGTACTTAATATTACTTAAAAAAATTTAAATTAATTTTTTTTTAGTTTTGGTTTCATGGAAAATGCTAATTAAAGAATTTGGAACATTATGCAGTGAAGGGTTAAGTTTCTCATTATCTATTTTGACATGGCTCGCCTTGTCTCCGATATCTGTTTAATTTTAGCTTTTAATAAATAAACCATTTAATTATAATTAAGAATGGGGACGGACAGACAGCACAGCAACTTCTATCGTGTCTCGTCCTTAAAGATGAGCCACTAAAATATAAAATTACATTCCTAAAACTAAGATTACAGGTTACAATATTAAATAAGTGAATAAATCAGGAAAGTTAACTTTATTGTAAGTCTGAAGAAAAAACAATCTTTAATTGTTCAGTTTTAATTATTGATATATTGAATTGCAATTAAATTAGTAGCCCTTGTTGTTAGAAAACAACAATGTTATTTTACATTAAAACAAGCTAATGTAACAAAAAAAAATGTATATGCTCCTTAAAATAGATCAATAATTATACCTATAATATAAGTATAACAATTATTATGGAAGTTCTATTAACTAATTAAAGTCAATCATTAAAGTTTTGATAAACAAAATTATATAGAATTTATAAATAAAAAACCTAAAGTCCGCATTATGATTCCATTATCTTAAGGACTTCAATGGCTTCAGTAAGTCTATCTAATTCGCCATTAGATTGTTTTAATTTTTCTTCATTTGTTTTTTTTACATCTTCTGGGACTTTTGTATTATAGTCAGCAACAAGCATTGCTTTTGTTAATTTCTCCACAGTTTGTTGTAATTGATCGCTCTTCTTTTTTAATTTTTCTATTTCCTTCGGTATTTCAATTAGGCCCTAATATCAATATTTAAAATTATTAGACAAACAATCTTACTTTGTGAATAACATGTGAGAAATTACACTTTGGCATTTTGTAATGTTGCAACTCTCAGTTTTTTATTTTTACTTACTTTATTAAATTTTTATATAGCTGTATCTAAATTAAACTATACTTAATAAGATTTTTTAAAGAGATAAACACTAAAGCCGAATCACTCCCATCATGCAAATGTTTGGAACACTGTTTTTATATAACTCTGGTATATTTATACTAGGTTTTTAAAACTTAATATTTACTTTGACTTTTAATTTAATAAATTATTACACTTAGCAGAATATTTACCTTCAGCAAAAGATGAACTTGACACTTCTCCGATACAGAGAGAATAGCACATCCATTAGGTATCCGAGATGAATCTGTTTCTACCTTGCTACAATTGGCAAGCGTGATAATTACCATAGTGTACTTAGTTACAGTACTCAACGTATTTTCATCATTGCACTTAACGTAGCTTTCAGTTTTAGAACTTTTGGGAACATTATAGTCTGACAAAGCCGAACGAATGCTATGAACAATTTTTTTGATGAACTCAACTTCGTTCTCAACATTTAAATTGCGATATTGATAATTTTGCTACAAAAAGTAATTAATTATTATAATGCATCTTATTATCTCTAAAATTTACTTACCGTTTGCGGATACGGAGCTACAGTTATACTTATGTGCTTGGTAACCTTAGAATGAGGCAACCTTTGATAAAGTTCTTCAGAGATAAATGGCATAAATGGTGACAATAAAAGCAGACCAGTATTTAAGCAAATGAATAAAACATTTTGAGCTATTAAAATTTTATCTTGATCATTTGATGCAAATACTGCCTTAAGACACTCCTACTTAAATAAATATACTAAGTTAGTACAAGAAACTAAAATCTAAACTAAATGATTCATTACCAAATAAACATCACATAAATCATACAGCCAAAAGTTATAACATGCAGTTGTAGCAGTACTAAGTTCATAATTTTCAAAAGCTGTGTTGCAGAACTCTACAGCTGATGACAGACGGCTCAAAATCCAAGTATCCATGTTGCTTAGTTTTTCATTCTATTTGTTTTAGCATAAAAGATAATAAGTTTTTATTTAAGGCTTTTTTTAGTAAATTGTTGAATCTTTTAGTAAAATAACAAACTTGTACTATTGACGATGGTTCGAATCCTTCTTTAAAATACATAAGTGCAAATTTAATGGCGTTCCAAAGCTTATTGCAGAAAAACCTATAACCTTGTACGCGTAGAATATTCAAATTTATATCATGTCCTTTTAAAATAAAACAATTTTATTAAATTGATTTAAAGTATAACGCTTAAATATGATTACCATGAGACATATATGAACATAAAGCAAACCGTAACGCATCTGTTCCACACTCAGGAATTCCATTAGGGTAGTCTTGTTTCTGACCGACTTTAGCCTTGTCAATTTCTTTTGGATCAAGGTTGCTATTTAGAAGTTGTTCATTTAGATTTTCTAGTGATATGCCTCTTATAACATCTAATGGGTCAACAACATTTCCCAATGATTTACTCATCTTACGGCCATGAGCATCACGTACAATTGAATGTAGAAAAATGGTCCTAATAAAATACATTACATTGCAGTTACAAGTTCACAGTTAATATAAATATTTTTTTTAACTAACTTACTTAAACGGTAAACACTTCAATAGACGTTGGGATAAAAACACCATTTTAGCAACCCAAAAAAAGAGAATATCATAACCAGTTTCCAAAAGGGTACCAGGAAAGAACACATTCAAATCTTCAGTCTAAAATTATAATTACATTAACACATGTTGAATAACTAGTTTTTAGACATTACTTTATCAGGCCATCCAAAAATTGAAAATGGAAACAATGCTGATGAGAACCACGTGTCCAATACATCTTCATCTTGTTTAAGTGTAATGTTTTCCTTTGGTACATTAAACTTTTTGACAGCTTTTTCTAACGCTTCTTCTTTGTTGTGAGCGCTTACCCAGTATTCATTTTCATCTATCTAAAAATGATAAACACGTAACTACTTAACTTTTATTGTAAAAATGTGAATCAAATATACTCACTACATTTTTTGGCTGATTTTTTATAGTCACATAAAAAGCAGGGATCCGATGACCCCACCAAAGTTGTCTTGAAATACACCAATCTCTAAAAATAAAAATAATATGTTTAAAACTGATATAAAAAAGTTTAAATATAATTAGTCTTATATACCTAATGTTATCCATCCAGTAGAACCATGTTTTATTATGTTGGGTTGGTATAATTTTCAATTCCCCATTTTTAACAGCCTCTGATGCTTGTTTAGCCATTTGATCACATCGTATATACCACTGTGGTTTAATGAGAGGTTCTACAATATCTTTAGAACGACTACACATCGGGACAACCATTGGATTATCGATTGTTTCACGATAAAGATTTTTTTGTTTTAAAGCTTCTAAAACAGATTTCCTGGCTTCAAATCTTTTCAATCCCTAAATTAAGAATATATGACATATTATACATGGAAAAAAAATAACACAAAACCTTTAGACTTACATTAAATTTAGTACAGTCACCAATAATTAAACCTTCGTCATTAAATATTGTTATAAAAGGTAAATTAAGTCGTTTACCAACTTCATAATCATTAGGATCATGAGCTGGTGTAATTTTTACAGCTCCTAAAAATATACAAATTTTTACTTAATTACTTAACTAATATTTAGGTAAAATAAATTATTGGTAGTTTTTGTTTGGGAACTACTAACCAGTTCCAAATTCCCGATCAACAAAATTGTCACTTATAATAGGTAATTGGCGATCACAAAACGGATGTTGGACAAATTTTCCATGCAAGTGACGGTATCTAGGATCAGATGGATGAACAGCCACAGCTGTATCTCCCAGCATAGTTTCTATTCGTGTAGTAGCCACTACTATTGTTTCATTTTCGCCAACAACTTGATAAGCAAAAGATACAAGAACACCAAATTCAACCTTTTCAGTATATCCAGGTATAGATAGGAAAGTGCGTCCAGGCAACTCAACTTTATCAACCTATTAATTAAAGGTCTTTTTTACAAATTAAATATTTTCATAGAGTAGTATTTATTTAAAAAAAATATAACCTCTATATCAGATATTGCACTTTTTAAAGCACACGACCAATTAACTAGTCGATTGCACCTATATATGTCACCTTCTTCATGTAAACGAATAAACGCTTCTGTGACTGAATGGCATAATTTAGGATCCATAGTAAAACAAGCACGATCCCAATCAAAAGATGAACCTAATAACTTAAGTTGCATATAAATACGATCACCTTTCCTGAGATAAAATTAATAAAATTAGGAACACTTATTATGTCAATTAATTATGACTGTAGTGCAAGCAAATTGTACAACTGCCAATTTAATTTTTGCACCTTTATTTTTGGTAAAATTCTAATATTTATACCTTTTATTATCCATAATTTACGTAATAATAATTTATTTTTAGCAAAACAGTTGTAAGAATACTGTTGATTATTTAACGTATTTTAAAATTAATCTGATATTGGGTAAACAATTCTTAATAATTATTTTAAAATTAAGTTTTGACATAAAAAGGAATAAAAAAAAAAAAGTTACTGTAATTAAAAACAATTATTTTTTTTATTAAAAGATTGCAAAATCCGAGATGTAAAAGTCAAACAGTGTACAATTTGGTGTAAAATAGTCAATATAAAAACAGGGTGTTACATAAAAAAATATACTATTTTTCTCTAGAAATAATATAGATTTCATATTTTTGAATAATTTGTTCTATTATAGCTTCAGAGAAGAAACAATTTTTTTAACCATTGAAGAAATTATTAAAATAACAACTCACAAATTTAGAAAGAAATGAGAATCACTCGTTAAAGCAAATTACTAGTTTTAAATAATTACTATGATTGTTTGTTCCAACTATACATAAAATTCAAAGGTGAATAATCCTGAAATTTTAATATACTTTTAAATTTGTAATTATAGTTAGTGCAAATGGCTAAGCTATTATTAGCACCAAAAAGTAAATACTGGTAGGGAAGTAAGATTAAATAGTGCTGTGACAGTGGTGAATCTTTCTCCTTGCCTATATATAAGTGCTAATAAATTAATTACATTTTTTATTATTAATTATTCACAGAGGGATACCAACCAAATAATACTTCTAAATAGTAGTTTGTCTTTAAATAATTTTAGATTATTTTTGACATTTTCTTTTGAAATGTGGTTAGTTATAAAAAAGAAAAAATCTTAATTATTTTCAGTGAAAATGAGTATCACATTATTAATAAATTACTTGCAAATATATTATATTAAATACTAACTCCTCCTTCCATTCCAAAATTTTTTCTATAAATTTCTCACGTCCATAATCATGTCTAGTTTTTTTTTCTGTACGCCACAACTGTTTCTCAACAACAACTTGAGTTGCAATTCCTGCGTGATCACAACCTGGATTCCATAATGTAGTTTTACCATTCATTCGATTCCTATTAATAAACAAAAAAAATGAATTTTCACATATTCTGCTAGTGAAGGAATTACATGTTAGGTTTTATTTTAAAACTTTACACAAATGCACAAAAAAAAAAATGAATAGGGTTTAAATTGTTTATAACTTCTATAAGGGTTTGTTTATAGTATTTGCAGTTCGTATAAAATTATATTTAGTTTTAGGCTTTCCCAATATGTATAAAAATGTGCATTGGATTACCTAATAAATGAATAGAAAATTCACAATATAAAATTGAATTTAAATATTTATGAACTTAGTTAAATAAAATATTTACCAACGAGTTAATGCATCCTGAACGGCATTAGTAAGAGCATGACCTAAATGTAATGATCCAGTGACATTTGGAGGTGGAATAACCATGACAAACTTTCCTTTTGGATTTTCTTCGGATATGCTTTTTCTCTATAGATTTCAATATTCCATCATCACATACAAAATATTTTTAAAAAAAGGGCAATAGCTAGTAAAATATACACAGTAAAATAACATATAGACAATATTAGTCCTAAAGCCAATTCACCTTCTCAAAACAAAAAGTATTAAACAAGAATTATTTTTATTTGAAAATTATTTATAACTATAATTTAGGTTAAATTATCCAAGTATTATTGCCTTTTTTCTATATTAAATGTATTTATTCATTTTTTGGAGAAGAAACGTGTTAGTGTTTCTTAATAAAAATTAACCATGTTGGTCTTCGATACATTTTTAAAGAAATGTTAGTATGTGTAGTAATAACCCAAATGTGTTAGTTTTAAAGAAGAAATTTAACAGCGAAGTATACCTAAGGTGAGTTGCAATATTAATAATAGTTAATATTTATAAATACAGGTAAAATTAGATCTGATCTGATAAACATAGTAAACTACAAAAATAAAAAATATGCAATTAAATCAAAAACAAACAATATTATAATCACCCCATATTCTGGTTTAAAAAATCCTTGTTTTTCCCACCAGCTATACCAAGCAGCTTCAACATATCTAGGACTGTACGAATCTGGCATAGAACAACTAATGTCCTTTTTCTCACCAGGCTCAGTATTTTTCTCATATAATATTATTTCTTTATCTTTTTTCACTGGTTCTTTTTTCTTCTCTTTTTTCTAAATAAAAAAAAATAGTTGAATAATTAATAACATTAAACTATTTAAACTAAGAGTAATTTCAGGGGCCCTAATATTTTGTATGTTCTGTAAATATATTATAAAATAAATAACAGAGATAGATAAGTGAGCAAGTGAGAAATTATTTTAATATATCTTGATATCAACATTTTTACTTAAGAAATTTGAGAACTTGAAATTCAATTAGTCAATCAAAGTTAAGTACTGCTATGCATATATCCTATATAAAATACATACATCTTCTTTAGCTGCATTTTGTTTTTGATCTTGTTTTTGCTTAAATTTTTCTAATTTGGCTAGTTTTTTGGCTTCTTTTTCCAATTGCTTAGCAGATTTAGGTGGCGGATCTTCCATAATTGCTTTAGTAAGAAATAAAAACAAATTTAGGAAAAATAAAAAAACTACAGTGTTCTAAGCACACGTTGTATGTGTTACTGTTTAAATGCTTCGTTTCACTTTGTTATCTGATTTCTTGTCAATGAAATTTAAGATATTCACGGTATAGACCATAAGTAATCGTTGACCAACCAAAAAATAAAAAACTAAGAAAAGTGATAAATTGATAACAGCTATTTACAATAATTTATAGGTTAAGATTCATACTTTGTAATTTTTCAACTTGTCATTTCAAATTTTAAAATAATCCATTTGTACTTCTGTGTTGTGCATATCCAGTTTGTGAGTTTTAATTTTTGTTAATTGTCTACAATGGATACAATTATTGATAGAGGAGCACCGAAAACTCGCAATTTCGAGCCTTACGCAAGCAATGGAGGGTAATGAATTAATTACTTTATTTTTCTTCAATTCTTTATTTAATTAAAAATCATTTTTACAGCTCTATTGTTGCCATTAGTGGTAAAGATTTTGCCATTGTAGCATCAGACACTCGTCTTAGTGAAGGATATAGGATTTTTACACGTAATCAACCAAAGCTTTTTCAACTTTCTGACAAGTCTGTGCTGGGTTGTACAGGATGTTGGTGCGACACATTATCTTTGACCAATGTAGTTCAAACCCAATTAAAGGTAAATTTAATAACTTAATATTTTTCGTTGCTAAATCTATACCTATTAAGTGGTTAATGATTGCACGATTAAAGCCCTTATTGAAATTAATTAATTTAAGATAATTATTGATTTACTTGTTAACTCTTGTATGTAATTTGTATAATAATTTAGTTTTTTTTTGTTCTAGTCATATTTGTATGATCATAATACAGTGATGCAACCAGGTTCAATCGCACAGTTACTGTCCACATTGTTGTACAGTAGGCGCTTTTTTCCATACTATGTGTATAACGTACTTGCTGGTCTTGATGAAAATGGTGCAGGCTGTCTCTATAGCTATGATCCAGTGGGTCATTGTGAAAAAGTATCATATACTGCAGGTGGCAGTTCAGGTGTTCTCATGCAACCGTTTTTAGATAGTTGGGTTAGTAAATATTAATTGTATAATGTTGGTATAGAGAGAGAAAGAGAGAGATACAAGCATTATTAATGGCGAACTGCCAGATATTTGGGTTTCCCAAATGACACAGTATATAAATCAGACTATGATTAGTTACAATAATTAGATATGACTAAAATGTAATTATAAAATATATTAACCTAAGTAATATTCTAAGTATAAGAAACAAAATAAATACTAAGTACTGTATACATGTTTATGATTTATGCCTATAAGATTGAAAGGTAAATTTTATAGGTCGGTAGTGAGGCCAGCAATGTTGTATGTGTTGTAATGTTGGGCAGTAGATAAGAAAACGGAACAGAGAATGAGTGTAGCGGAGATGAGAATGTTAAGGTGGATGAGTGGAGTGACTAGGGAAGATAGAATAAGAAATTAATACATAAGAGGCAGTCTAGGAGTTGCATCAATTGTGGAGAAAATGAGAGAGAATGGGTTGAGATGGTTCGGTCATGTTATGAAAAGAGATGAGGCAGAAGCAGTGAGAGTTGTTATGAAGATAAATGTAGAGGGAAAAAGAGAAAGACCAAAGAAAAGATGGGTGGACGTAATACAAAGTGATATGATGCTAGCGGGAGTCATTGAACGAGATGTAAAAGACCGAGCTCTATGGAGGTGTAGGAGTAGAATGGCCAACCCCATGTAGTTGGTAATGTAAGGCGAAGATAAAGAAGAAGAGTATATGTTTATGATTAATATTTAATGTGTTTTTTACAGGGGCGACATTTCAGTTTTTCTTAGGGTGGGGCAAAATTTGTATCGGCCCTATGTTCATTTACAATTATAAATTTTTTTTCCAAAACACTTTTACAAAACAGTAATAACACAAATATTATAAACCTTCATACTTATTATACTTGGTAGTCAGTTCAGTCGGTTCATTATTAGTAAAGGTAGGTAATTGAACAAAAAACAGATAATTTACGGCCTTACGTTCCGAAAATTTGACCCGCCCATAAAAATCAAGGGTGGGGCAAATGCCCCCGCCTGCCCCCCACAAATGACGCCACTGGTCTTTTATAACAATTTAATTAACATATATATTCTTAAGAAAACTGAATTCTAATTTATTTATTTTAAAAAAAAAGTCTTAGGTAACTGATAGGTAAAAGTCTGATTTTATTGCTGTTTCAATAGGTAACCTATTTTACAGGCAACTAACTTAAGTTTTTTTTTTTAAGTTATTTATTTGTTACATTTAAAAATTGTATACAATGTGAATGTGTTAAATTTTTATGGACTGAACTATCAGTTTGATAATTTTCAGATCTATCCATGTTGTCATTAGTTAGCTGATATTTGAAACCCATTGCAGGGTCCACCTTCAGAGAAATAATCATTGTTTCACTGAATCTTCTCTAAAGTTGGCCCTGCAATGGGTTCGAATGTCTGTTAACTTCAACATGAATATATCTGAAAATTATAAAAAAAAAATTTTAAACATAAATATTACATTAATAATATTCTTAACTAAACCTCATAAATATGTGTAGAAAGTAATAACATTTCTAAGTCGCTCTGTAGAATCCAAATAATTAGTAGTATAAAAGATCGAACATTACATTCCTGGTAACACAACAACTTATTATAATTAGGGTACCTATTACTATTTTCATGACACTTATTATTTATGTCTACTGGCAATGATGATTACTATTTTTTATAAAATTAGAATTCTCGTATTAAGATATTACTCGATAACTGCCATATAATTTTACAAATAAGTTCTAATAGTCTTGATGTAATAAGTAAAAAAAATCAATATTTACAATAATAGCAATTTACCAATATATTAACAAGTTTTACATTGTTGTTATTTAATTTTTGAATTCCGTGTTTAATATAATATCATGAAATAAAAATATATCCTTTTTTTGTCAAATACAAATAACTGATGGTAATTAAATTTTTATAAAATTGCTGAGATAAAGTATTCTAGAACTATTTTTTTAAATAATAGTGATTATATCAACTTAAATCACAGCAAGTTACAAAATTGGTTGCATTGGAAATCACTACTCCATTTTAATAGATAAATGTTATATTATTGCTTAAAATTTAGTTTAAATTATTTTCTAATTTTTACAATGTATATTATTATATTGACATTATTTTATTAGTTGGGAAAACGTACAGCTGATAACCCTGTGTCTGAAGAAGAAGCGTTAAAGTTGGTAAAAGATGCATTCACAGCTGCTGGAGAACGCGATATTTATACCGGAGATGAAGTTGTGTACAACATAATTAAAAAAGATGGAATTCAATCTGGTGTAGTTCAGCTTCGTAAAGATTAATTTTTTTATTTACATTAAATTTTTTATAAATCTACATTATCTAAAATTTATTTCATGGTTAATATTAAATACAAGATATTAAAGGCAAATACTTGGTATTATTATTTTTTTTTTTTCTTAATGAAAACCCCAACATTTCTTTTGATTATGGGACCTATTTGATATTTAATATATTATTTTCTATCGACAGATTATCATCGTAGCTTTTATAATGGTCAATTTATAACCAAGTTCAAATAATTAATAAAGTTTTGTGACCAGTGCAACTATATCACTTAATCGTTTTTTTTTTTTCCAAAATAATTTGTGTTATTTACTTTAAGTTTTTGGAAGTTGTAAACAAAAAAAATATCAAATATGACAATATAAATGTTTTGTTTTAATTTCTGTAGAATTAAAAACATTTGAATGATTGCCTATCATACTCTGTGTGTGCCTATCATGCGTTTGTTGAATCAGCACATTTAAATGTACAGTTTATAACTAATGCAATTTGTTATACAGTCATGTATTATTAGGCGCGGGTTGTAACAATCTTTACCCTCGCTTACGTTTAACATCTATTTCCCACCGATCGGGGCTTAAACGGTTTAGATTTGGATTTTTTGGACTTATAGCTGGATGACGACCTAACGCTACCAAACAAGTTGGCCCCAGAAAGAGGTGCAGGTTGCCATTTTTCCCCCAGACAGTTGCCCGTCCGGGGGAACAACCCGCCAGTGGCCGAGATTCGAACCGGCAACTGAGTATGATACACTGCCGTTTTATCTCACTCCGCCATGCACCATAACAATATTCACTCTCCTTAGCCTTTTATTTATTAAAAAAAAAATTAAGTAATAGTTTGTATTAAGTAGTTAAAAATTTAGGGATGTATAACTAAAAGGAAATGTTTTTATAATTTGTTTAAGCGGTCATCACTGTCATGAATCATGACTTATCATATAGACCATATTATACATACCTATAGTTGTTAGGTACTTTTTCGCTTTCCACTTATAATAAGAAAATATTATCCGTATCTGAAAATCAGCTTAAATTAAAAAAAACCTTAGCCAGTTACATTTACTTTGTCTACATGTTAACAAACAGTATACTATTATTACTGCCCATTAATTTTGTAGTATTCACCATAAATATAATTATACTCTGTTATAAGTCACTAATACATATATAAAACATTGCAGCATTTATACAACATATTTTCTATATTTAAGTCAACGTTTAATTATAACACATTTTACAATGTGAACAAAATGTACATAATAAATAACAAAAATAATTACATTGAATAAACACTGTTGTGATATTTGTAAACAAGTTTTTCAAAAGTAAATTCTATCTTGCCATAAAAAATAGTATTTGTGACTAGATAGGTTAATTTTCGTCCGGATCAACTTTCCTACGGGTATCGTTTTCAGAACTTTCCTGGTTAGATGCTGGTAAATTATCCACTTTGATAATATCATCATTATCTTTTTCATTCAATTCATTGGAAACTTCTTTAAGCAAATTCAAAAATGATTCCTTGTCAATTGTATTGTCATCTGCTTTCCATTTTAGTATTTCAGTAACCTGACCCTACACCATACAACAGATATCAAGGGGAAATAGTTAAAATACAAGTGCACCAAACATATAAACATACAAGTATGTAGGATTTTTTTTTAAAGGGGCTTCTACATTAGCATTTATTAAGGCGCATTGTATAGGCAATTTCTCACTAAAACAACTTTAAGCTAACGTTTTTAAACATATATTTTAACACAAGAAAGAGGTATCTTGTTTGGATATTAAATTTTTTTCTTAACTTTAACGCATATGTCATATGTATTTTTTTTTTTTAAAAATCATATATTTCTTTCAACGTTTAACAATGGGTTCTTAAAAAAAATCAAATTTAAGTTTTAAAAAACATTTGCATGACATTTACAAGGTATGGATCAAGGCACAATGTTAAAATTATATTTAGTTAAAAAATTTATATGTGAAAAATTGCAGTTTTAATTATTTTTATAATAATATTGAAAACAAAATAAAAATATATTTCAAGCAAGTAATTCAGCAAGGTTCGACTCGAGCAAGTATTGAAAATTCTACGTTTTTAAAAACTTGTCGGATTGCACGTTTAGTAAGGTTAAAAATAGAAGTTGTTTTCGAGAAAAAATATGCAGATGCAGAGGACCAATAACACTTAGATTCTTGGTGCCTCTTGCAAAAAACAAGTCAAATACTTTGAATAATTTGAACAGTAACCAGGATTTTGTATCAGGGAGGGCTAACCATTGATTTACCAAGTGACAAACTGCACTGTAATTAATAATTTAACTTCCTGAAATGTCAGGGTAGGGCTGTAGCTCTCCCTCAATATCTCCCTTAAATACACTAATGAATTTTAAATAACCAACTTAATCTTAAGTAGTAACAAATCATAACTATATAAAAAATGTGTAAGTTATATAGACAAGTTACATGGTAAAATATAAAAATACTTACTTATTTTATTAATTTATTACTAATATTATGTCGCACTGACATACAAATTTATAGACCTTTGATGAGTAGGGACCATATTATATAATTTATAAATACATATTATAATATGTAAATTAAAAATAGTACACTTGTTTCTAAACTTTTGTTAAGGTGTAGTGTCAATAGCACCATAACACTATAAAATAATATATTTAACTATTTTTGAACATTTTAATAGTAAAGTACACTTTTGGTAGTTATTTTATTTAGTTATATAACTATTTCATGTAGGGAATTTATATTTTCACACATAATAAAAATTATAATATTATTTGTGTAAAGGTATCCTATCACCTTTTTTTTTTTTTTTTTTACACATTGACCTTATTGCAATGACTAGAAATTATTGTTCAAAATATCAAACAATATGGTTATGTAAGCTGCATACATTGTCATTTATAATTTCTTGTATAATAAATATTTAAAATTATAATTAAAATTCAAAAGACTGAAGATATACATATGAAACATCAACTTGATTTTAATTTCTAAAAAACTTTTAAGTAGTAAATAATTAGAATATTAGTTGTTTAAACATAATTTCCTCAAATACCTTAACAAATGTAAACAAACAAAATCAGATAAAGTAATAATTAAAAAAAAAATTATTTAACAATAGTAAAGAAATTAAGAGTATCACATTCAAATTGGAATAAGGATGAAAAAATAATTAAAAACGAGTTAACGGCCTAACCTATGTCTATAAACGAATAAAAGTACAGAAAATATCAATTCCAAAATAAATGCTAATATCATGAAGTTTAGCTGTACCTGTGTTGGATCATTGGACGCCAGTATTTCCCCAAGCATCTGTTTTAATTTATTCATTGAATTATTTATCACAGTTTCAGTACTTTGTAAAGAATCAGCCTCCATTTCATTTTCTAAATCATATAATATAATAATTATTAAGTATAGTTACTAATCAATAACATTCATCATTTCAAAATAATAATAAGTACCTTTAGGAAGTTCACTAATTGTTACAACTAAATCTGGATCACTATTAAGCATATCTAGTAATGGTCGAGCTTCAGAAGCAAATAAAAATACCATAGGTATGTTAACATCATCTAGGCCATCATCGGACATAGAAAAAGCTCGGGATGTCATCACTGACGAATCTGTGACATTATCAATTACAATGGCTCCTAAAGCACCAGCTTCTTGTAGTTTACGGGCCTGGGGAAATTTCGTTAAAACAGAATATATTAAACATAGTCAATTTAGGTAGATATAATTATAGTTGTGGAATTTTTTTTTTTTAAAGATATATGTGGAAAAAATTATTTTATCAATTATTAGCATTGTGAGCTGGTGATCGAACTATTGAAACAAATTCCAAAGAAATATTTTTCAAGTTATTATAAGTATTTCATGACACAACCATAATTTTATTTAATTATCTTTAAGTAATACACTATTCATTAATATGAAATAATATATTATATAATAATATGAAATCATTTTTGAGAACCAAACAAAAAAACTTGTGATAATTAATATTTTCTAAAATATACAACTTAAGCAAAGTAATTTAAATTAAACTAAAAGATAATAATTGTAATGTTTCATTAATATTTGTTTAGTGTGAACTAATAAGTATTTTTTAAAAATCTACTTAATAAAAAATTAAAGTTTGTTTTTTAATTATTCATTATCATATATATAATTTAGTGTACTTGGTTGATAATATGAAAAATTAAAATGATTAATGAAATACATTTTATTCAAGTTAATTCAACAATTTTAATTGCTCTGATAGCATATTATAAATAATAAAATCAGTGGCGAGGCGTGGGTCTTTAGTTCGGGAGACATTGAAAAAAAATGGTGTTACGTGACTTGACAGGGGGACTGCGCCCCCTTAGACCCCCTGTAAATTTTATTTTATCAATACTGTAAAAAATAAATGTTCAAAAACTAATAAACTAAATGGCATAGGCATATTTAAAAACGTACAACACGACAATCGATACGACATACATCGATAACGGATAACTGATACCATCTACCAAAACAATAATAATATAAACGGCGGTCGGTGAGACATGTCTCATAGCGCAACGATAAACCCCCGCCGTTTTCCATTTCCCCCTGCATACCGCACCCAGCAAAAGAGACAACTTTGAAATTGTCTCATTTATTTTTATACTAAATTTGGATAGACCAGGTGGCTGGCAGGCAGTGCGACCGCCCGCTGATCTGCGTCCACAACTACTCTATTCTAAGAATACTATTACAAAAAAAATATACTTTTACATTAAAATTGGTTAAAACATTTTTATACACATAAATAAATAAAACCAAATTTTTTGTCCGTATTATAAGTGAGTAGACATTGTCTCTTTGTCTCCTATGACGCTTCGCCACTGAATAAAATTACCTTTTCAATGAACATACAGCCACCTCTCTCTACTAATACAATTTTTTCCTTTACGATATTTGAGTTTATTAAGGTTTCACATCCTTTTACAGGACTAGCAACAGCAATGCGAGCCGAAACCTATAAGCAATTTTATAATTTTTTCAAATATTAAAACACATAATTTAAGTAATTGAAGTTACCAAGACATACTTTGAGTCCAAGATTCAACTGAAGTCCAAAATTAGCAGCACCAGCATACAAAATAACTTTTTCGCTTTCTTTGTTTAGAAAAGAAACTGATTTAGCTAAATTAACTTTATCTTTTTGGTTAACGTCCTTCATAATTATGTTAAGTTCAGTTAAAAATTCATGCCCATCTATTTGGTCATTTGGGTTACTCTCCTAGAATATCAATAAGCCATTTGAAGTCTGATATACATGAAAATAAACTGAAATTAAGTAATGTAATATTTTTACATGTGAAGTATTCATAAAAAGCAGTGGAAGACCATTTGGAAGTTTTGTTATCACAATGCCCATATTTTTAATTCTCTGCATGTGTTCCTCATTACCAAACTGTAAATCATATTATATTTACAAATAACAATATATTAAGAATCATACGTTTATGTTATTAGAAAAAATAAAATTAAGTTAATTACTTGAAACACTTTTGCAAACTCTCGAGCCCGAAGTCTTGATTTACGATTAGGACATAGTCCATTAACCATATTTTTTAAAGGCTTTCTTATAGATTCAGTTAGCAAACTATCAAAACTTGGACAAGATCTTTTTGGCAAATCAGCTTCATCATCTAAAATCTATGTAACAATGTATAAAATATATAAATTTGTAATTTAAAATAATCAACTAAATGGAAACCCGACACTAAGAGACCTAGAAGACGCCCTAGACAAAGATGGATGGATAGAGTACAAGAAGACTTGAAACTTCTGAACGTAAGGAATGCAGAAGAATGTGCAAACGATAGAGAGGGTTGGAGACAATATGTTGTTGCGAAGATGGGCCTTAAAGGTCTGTAAAAGCCCAGAAGAAGAAGAATTTAAAATAATCTTTTAAACACTCATAAAATGTAATAAGACCAATCACTTTAAAAATATTTTTTTCTTAAGTAAAATTAGATATATTTACTTTAGAAAACTAATGAAATAAAATTCAATTTTATTAACAACTTTTACAACAACAAAAAATTATAATAGCAAGGTTGTTAGTGATACCATAAAAGTGACTTCAGGTCAACCCTGAAACATTTTTTTTGCACCTTTGAAAATGGGTTTTTTGAATTTTTCATATTAGAAATTAATATTATAAGATGTTACATTTAAAATTATGTAATATTATTGATCGTGTAGGGGCTGCTAAAATATCGATTGGTTGCTTTAATAAAAAAAATAATTTTATACAGTAGCTGGATTAATAATAATATTGTCAAAATATCATGTACAAAAGGAGTTTCGCAAGTATGATTTTGTTGAAAAAAGTGAAAAAAATTTTTTTAAGTTCCCACACACATAATACTTATTATATGTAGTATAAAAAAAATTGGGTAGCTAATTACACCCAAGCCCTCTCCCATTTGTGGCTATGCAATTTGATGTTAACAACTACAATAATTTATCTATCAAAAATATTTAGTTTTCAGAAAATGAGAAACAAGACCTTACCTTATCAGCGTCAGTATAATTTTGTGGCTGAACACTTAAATACAATGGTAACAAATGTCCTTCAGTTGTGAACAGATATTCATCAATATTAATAATGAGATCATCATGTTCAGCAAAAATAAGATACAAGTACTTAAATGTTTCAGCTAAGACAAATGAATCCATTCTAAAGATTAAAAAAAAATTGTATATATAAAAAAAACTCAGTTTAACTTAACCATCCTCTTAAAGAATTTATGACACGCTATTTATTACCTACTAATTTATGAATAACTTATACATACAATGTTATCCTAATTTTATGTTACAATAATCTTTTTTTATGAAAAAGTGGTTTTAACTAAAAAACTGTTAGTATCCCAAAATTGCGGCCGCAACATAAATCTATTATTAACAAATTTATGGATACACCAATATTTACTAGTTGACTTTCTAGCTAATATTTTGGAAATCAGGCATTTTCTAATTAATCTGTTAGTCCACACGCAGCACTAATATAAGATACATTAAACCATGACTACAGCCTTGAAGATGAAAGATGCAATTCAATTTGTAAATATGGGTGTATACTCAAATTTTGTAAATAATGCATTAGAAATAATTGTATTAAAAATCCCCATACAAGTTTTATCCAATTTATAAAATAAATCTATTTATATTTTATTGTATAACAATAATAATAATTATTGGTATCACCAAATTTCAAATGGTTTGAAATTTTTAATATTCATTTTGAAATCAACGAGTGTTGTTATAATCCTTTATAAATACCAGATTTGATGAGCTTTTTACGAAGTATATAATAAGCTTAATTACGTGTCTTCATTTGCAGTTGTCCGGACGTCCTTAACAGCAGCAAAGCCACATTTAACTCTAGCATATTTTTGTAATGATTGCAATACTTCTCGAGCAACATTTAAATAGTGAGGATCGCCCGTAGCTTTGTACAAAAAATAAGTGGATTCCAAAAATTCTGGTCTTAAAGGGTGTTGAGCCCAGTGCACCTAAACAAACCATTAATTTTGATTAAAAACAATAATACAGAAATAAAAGTACTAATAATATAATAATGTCTTATAATATTAACATTTAATTGTATATCAATATATGTATAGACACAAAATGTAATGATATAAATATTATACTATTTATTAGAAAATTAGAAATGATTTGTAACTTAATAAATCTCTAAAAGTAGTCCATAGTTATTGTAAAAATGTTAATAATTGTACTCACAATCCAACTACACAATTAAGTTTTTTTACGTTTGTGTGTTTGTATCAAAAAGAGTGTATCATTTCAACATTGACTACGGGCCTAATTAATGAATTTTAAATAATTTATTATTTGATGCGCTTAATACAAATGTATTTAAATTAATTTTTTGTAATTTAAATAAAAAATTCCCAGATTTCGTTTATATTGACACTTCAAACAAAAACTACTATGTTTCAAGTTGCGAATGAAAATAACACTTCAGCTTGGATAACAAAGGGTTTAAGTAGCTAAAAAGTGCTATTTTTTTAAGTAATGTCAATATAATGTAAATTTATCTTTAGGTTGTAACAGGCCCGTAGCCAGAGGGGGTGTTATAGTTATAGTAACACCTATAACACCCCCCCCCCTGGCTATGCGCCTGGGTTTAAATAATTAAACCACAATAACTGCCATAAAATAGTAACTAGATATTAACAAAAAATATAATACTACTAAGTTGCAAGTAATATGATTCATTAATTTTTTTTTAGTTTAAGGAATAAATACTTTTTAGTTTTTTTTTAATTTTGGCTAATTAACTATTATTTTTTTACTAACCTGGAAATCAGTAGTAAATGCTTCAGGTATAAAATTATGTCTTTGTACAACTTGATACAGCATTTCATGTGTTTCTATTGCTGGTTTTATATCACCACTGAGTACTTGCAATCCTGGCCAAAAAGCTAATAATGCGTCCATGAAATTTTTGGAATTTATTTGAGGTCTATGCATATGTACGTCTAATAACATTGGTCCTTGACTTATATACTTCATAATTGCAGCATAATGCTATAAAATTATTATTTATACTATTATTAATTGTATAACCTCTTCCCCCTATTTATCCAAGGCACCGAAGTCCGCAATATCAAATGATAGGGATTCAATTAAGGCTGATTCAAGTAGGTATTCATTTTCTTTACAATGAACCCAAAATAGCTATTTTTGATAATTGCACCAGACATGCTCTAAAGATTAGCTAACTATACTCTGTACCACCAGAGAGAATAGTGCACAGAACCCAAAACACATTAATCCTGACTGCACAGGAGCATATTAATAGAGAAACAATTTTACTAGATAACCAGAATTCAAATGAAACTATTACATAGAACATTAGTTTCGATCTACTCAACCACAGGCGATTTTTAAATTTAATAAAATAGGAATAAAAATGTTTGAACCTTATTAAATCTTGACAAATAGCGGCTCTCTCCAAGTAGGACGTATGCTTTCAAACAGTACTCATAATATGAATCAATACCAGCACCAACGCCTGAATCTCTTCGAATCCAGTCACCAGAATCAACATTTAAAACTGTTCCCATAAGATTGGATGAACGGTGTCTAAGACTCCACAAGCTATCCATGGATTTATGTGCTTTTTCCTAAAAAAATATAAATTAATTATATTTATATAATACAAAATATTTATAAACAGTGACCAAGATTCAATTATGAGAATGGTTTAATTAGTTTATAAAAGTTTTTGGATCTTAGTTTACCAGAAATATTTATATTATAATTTCTTGTATTATACATATTTAAAAACATAAGCAAGACAGCTGGAAAGATGCGTTATTGTAATATTAATACATATGGGGTATTCTAAATTAAACCTCGCATGACCTCCTCAAAATTATTCGGAAATTTTTGAAATATTCTTTTGGTCTAATATAAGTCATTTTTTTTTTTAATTTTTATCACTTATATTTATCCCTAAAATAGAGGTTTTTTAAAGTTATTTTTCCCAAAAAATCGATTTTGACTAGTTTTAAAATTCTAAAATTTTATCATAAAACGAGGGACTCAAATCAAATATGTTGGTCTAATAATGGGAATAGGCGAACATTTATTTCTAAAAACCTTTATTTTAAAAGTAAATATGAGTGATAAAAATTTCAAAAAAATAAATTCCTTATATTAGACCAAAAGAAGTTTTAAAAAATTTTTTTCGAAAAATGTAGAGGAGGGTGATAGCTGCATAGTTTGACTCTGAATGTCTCATATACATATATGAGGAATGAGGGTTATTAATTAAAATTCAAACACTTAAAGCGTAAAAATAATATTAAAAAATATAAATTGACAACAACATTTGTGTTACAAAAAATGAATAACACATAGTTTTTTATTTTAAATAAAATATGACTATAAGTTATATTGTGATCAATTTGAAAATTAATGGTTTAGGTATAATAGAAAAGTTAAGAGAAATGTGTCAAGTTTAAAATAAATAATTAAATTAATTATAAATCAATCAAAGTTATGTAAAATATTGAGGGGCAGATTATATATATTGTATGTATTATTGTGTACCTCAAAAATTGGTATAGCAGTCAAACGAGATAAAGCAGCCATTTCTAAAATCATAGATCCAGCACAAGCTGTACAGGTTTCTTGGAAATAATGTAGTTGATCCTTTTTAATTCCATACTTTAAATTTATCTGATACCCAGAAATAAGAAGGTATAAATGCATGTAAAATATAATATAAATTAAATAATATAATATAAATTATTTATACCCTTGAATATGGAATTCCTGTTGTTGTGTTAAAAGCTGGTAATAATCTGTATCCTAAATCTTTAGCCATGTTTAAAAGTTCTCCGTTATACCATTGCAGATAATTTGAATTCTCTTTAAAATATTGTGCAAAAATATGACCAGATAATAAGCCTCTGAAAATTAAAATTGGAATATATATTACTAATATAGTAAAAATTTGTCCCGCAATTAGAGCCAAGTCAGTCCATGGATAACTTGGGTGTAAACCATAAAAGCCAAGAAACACCTAATATAGTAATATATTACTAGATGGAGAATTCTATTAGAATTCAACAAAAAATACATTTTTATATTTTGTAAACAATAATTTATATTTTCCATAAATTAAAAATATAAAAGTACCATAAGCATATTGTTAAACAATTTAATGCTAAGAGATTTAAATTCCAAATCATAAACTTAAAATGTTTAAATTATATTAGTTTTTATTTTAGACTAAAATACTTATTTTTTATATTATAATATTAATAGCATAATCATAAAGTAAACATTTTTTCATTTTAATAAACTGATATTACTCAACAACTATGTCCTTTTGTTTTAAAAAAAAGATGACCAAAATCAAATATTAAATTTAGGTAAATAAAGCATGCACAGTGGAACAGGGCATACTAAAGATGGAGCATATTGGGTCCGAGGAGATTATAGGTTTTCAGGAAGTTTTATAACTAAAAACCCTTTGTTGTGAATCTGTAGATGGTAGGAATTTATAATACCAATAATAGTATTGTGGATACAAAAATGAGTTAAAACATTTTTTTTAGTATCGGGCACAATTAGGGTTGATTGTATGTTCCTAATAATTTGTTGCTGTTGTTACAAATAGATAAATCAAAAACATAATGAAAATATTTTTCAGACACCTGTTGACTGTTGATTTATTTTCATACAGCAACCTAGAAATTGAAGGACACTCAAGTATATATATATTTTTTCTTTTCTTTAATAAAAAAAAGTGGTTAAAAATTTTGTTAAAATTCTAAATGTTATAACCCCACTCTACCTTTACATCTATCATCAGACTAATTTTCAGGCATTAAGCCCTAGAACTGCACCTAAAAAAAACGCAATGAAGAAAAAGTTTTTCCTCATTCTGGGAAAAAAGTTTTTGATATTTTTTTCATTCTTTAACGTATATCAATAGTACTATACCTAAAGAATATTCTATACAAATTTGGAAGTGATTTGACTATTTTTAAAGAAGGTATATGGCACTGTAATTTTAAGTTGAATATATGTAATTTTTTTGGATGTTTTTTTGTTTTTAAAAGTAGTAGGTGTGAATTTTTACATATTTGGCCCAATAAAGTATGTTTTTAAGTAAGATTTCTGATCTACAGACTTGCTATAAGTAATATGATGGAATCAGATCAGCAGTTAAAAATATAATTTGAGTTCACACAAAAAAAAAAAAAAAACAGCATTGTATACAATAACTTCTCAGCTCCGCATCATAGCTAAAAGGAAGTGATCCCATAGATCTGTATATTTAATGTGCTCATTGTTATAATTATTTTTATTATAGGCCTATTAGGTAATGTAATGTAATAAACATTTTTAAAAATCTATATTTCATGATTTCAAAAATAATAGTTAAAAATAAATACTTACCCTAAAACCCTGATGTTTATCTCAAAAACTGAAACTACAACATCTCTGTCGAAATATACATCTGCAACAACTTTTGATACGGCGTGGTCAAACTCTGGTATATCGCCAAGTACAACGAGCGTATCCAGAGTGTCAATTAAAGTTAAAGAATAATTTCCTAAAACGTCATCCATATCACCTCGATTATTCTCTTTAGTGCGCCATCGGCCTTTGCAACTTAATGGCATTAGCTCATCAGCCGGATAAGCATTGTCCATATAATTGTTGTAAGCATGGTAAAACATTTCTTTTGCTTCATTCATCAATCCTCGTTTTTCTTCTTTACTCATAAAAGGTCCTGTGAATGGTTGATCACGAGAAGCTGTGGCAGACGCCACAAGGCCAACAATACATAGTAACAGCATCATGATAGTGATTTAGGAGCTGTCAACTTGATTTGAGGATAAATGTTGAAGTCATATTGAAAAGTAAGGTATTAATAGCTTACACTGTAAAATTAACACTTTCTACATAAATAACTACGTTTAAGAATCTACACTTCTTTCATTAATATTTTCTAAATATTAACAGTAATACTTAAGTACTACGTTACAAAATAATAATCCAGAACTATTGTTGATAAGTTTTAAAGAGATTAGAATACAATACTAGGCTACTTAGTACTTCATTTTATTTAGCAGACTAATTACTACTACGTATACATTTTATAATTTATTATTTGCCTGTATTTATGATGTGGATTATCTTTTTATTCATTTAATATTTTCATTAACAAAACTACAAGTAGATAAAAACCCAAAGAAACCAGTGTGACCGTGTTCGTAAACATAAATTATTAGTTATTATGTTATGGTTATTTTTAAAAGATATTTTAAGTAGACTCCAATAATTATACATTATTTATATTATAATACATATTATGTATTTGTAATGGGAAAAATGACAATTTGTAATGATGTTTACAATAATATTAGAATACAAGCAAAAACTAAAAATATATTTTGATCGATACACCAATCAAGTATTGAAGAATCTATATCTGATCACGCGTTTCGGAATTCGGAGTATGGTTAAAATTAGAAACTAGAATGAGTTGATTTTGATAAAAAGTACGCAAGTGTAGTGACATCTTAAGTATACTTTAAAATCAATGAATTATTATTAATTTTTTTTTAGCCTTTATATTTACCCGTATAGAGATTTTAAAGAGGTTGATTGGTTCTGTATAGGGTTACTCTATGGTATGCTTCAATAAATTAATTTTTGTTATGGATTTATAAATTTTAAAATGGTTTTGAGCCGAATATTCAACGTACTTAATTATACATCACACGAAAGCCAAACAATATTTACCAGTGCACTTATTAGGTGAATTTTTTTAACTGGAATATTATACGATTATAAACTAATTGGAAAATTTAACAAAGAAAATCAATTAAGGATTATATTTTAAAGCTAAAATACACTGTTTTAGTGTCAAGTACTTTGTACTTTTTTTCCTCATTAATGTCCACTTAAAAGTTGAAAATATTTGATTTGGAAACCTATTTTATACAGTTCCTTATATTAATTTAATACGAAAAAATTGAACTCCATTTAAAGTATCTTTTTTTGCTCAATCAATTTCATTAAAAAAACTCATTGTCCTAAAACCAAACTCATTTCTAATACATTATTTCACTCATTTTTCTATAGGCAGCTGCCTCGTTTAATATACCTTTTCAATGGCCCTGTTTAAAATAATAACAATACAAATTCAATATAAATAAATGAATAATAGCAATTAAGTATATTTACTAAGTTTCAATAATATCGTATAACTTAAATAATAAAATTAATTCCAAATATGTGGAATTACAAAATATAATTTTATGTTTTATAATTAAAAAAAAGTAGGGGATATCCACATAGTTTATATTTTATAATATTATCAGTGACAATGTTCAGTGACATCAACAACAACAGATTTTTTCCAACCAAATAAAAAGTATCCTAAAGTAGCACCAAACAGAACAGCTAAACATAACCATATGTTATAAGTCATAAATATTAACATTAATAAGTAGCTTATAGATATCTGGATAATGTGTAGGAGTGTTTGAAGAAAGTGTGTTGAACTTAACATTGTTGGTCTGAAAAAAAAAATATTAAATCAGCAAAATATTATTAATAACTATTATAGTTAAATCTTAATATATATATAATATAATAATAATATAATATATATACATAAATAAAATTGATAAAATAACTATTTATTATACTCAATTTATAATGAAAATAAATTTAACTAAAAATTATTTTTCAACAAAGCAATAAATATAAATAAATAAGTACAATAAACACCCAAAAACTAAAAAAAATCGTACAAACTAAAAATGAAAAAATCACAATAATTGGACTTAATACAAGAAAAATACAGATAATTTCGTTTTAAAAAAATTAAAAATATTCTTTAAGCAGCATGCATTTTTAAAATATTTTTAGAAGTGTAGCAAATTTCCTTTAAGCAGCTTTTAAAAAAATATTTTATATAATTTATTTACGTAAGGAATAACAATGTAAATTTAAATTTCATCAAAAATTAAAATAAATAAATGTTGAATAAATTAAATTTAACCAACAATTAAAATAAAGTGCAGACAACATAATTATTATTTTTTAACTATGTTTCCAACCCTGATTAATGATTTGGCCTCTCTTGCAATTCAAATTCTTGCGACGAGGGCCCTTTTCCTTTTCCGCCTCACATTTAGTAAAAAAATGTTGAGTTTTTGTTCTACCATTGCTTATAAATAATGGCTCATTAAAATTTAACGAGTTACAATTAATTTTGTTCCTGTTAGGTTTGGAAACAGTGAAGGAGCAAATTTTTTCACTAAAATGTTGTGGTGGTTAATCCATCTAGCAATGCTGGTTGCAGCTTAAACTTTGAGCGCTTGTTAAAAAAGTATATTTTCGTTCGCGTGGGGGCATTTATACTGCTTTCAATTTTTTGTGGGAAAATTTACAATTATATGCATAAACAAATATAATATGCATTTGATTTCTCAATATAGAAGTCCTTAATACAATGATTTTGTTATTATCTAAAATATATTTAATGGATCTAAGCACTGAATTAATATTATCCAGTAATTAATTAAATTCTAATTCTAATGTATATTAACATAACACACAGATATGTCTATTGTTACTAATATAATTAATATACTATTTTATAAATTATAACAAAAAAAACATGCAGAATTGTTAACACCTCTCTATTTAACTTACAGCGGTTGTTTAAAAAGCACCTTGCCAACTATTCTGTAAATAAAATTAGTATTTAAATGCAAAATTATGTTTGGTTGAAAACCATTCTGGTTAAAGGTCAGCATATACTTTAAAATTAATTTAGTGACATAAGTGGTGAAAAAAAAGAAAAATGTAATTAAGTTTTAAAGTTTATTTAGGTATAAAAATAAAGTATTGACTTAATATTTGGCATCTGCTTTGTTCCTAATATAATATCTTGTGATATGAGTATGAAATCTTTTAATATTTTAATTTTAATGCCTCCTTTTATATTGTGATTTGGGATGACATAATTATAACTCTACAAACAAATGTATACAATGAAATGAAGCAGAATAACTTTTTAATCGTTTTTTTTTAAATTCAAAAATCAATAAGCCCCTTTATTTTTTTCTCAAAACATAAATCCCAGGAAATCTTAAATTATTACTATTACCTAATCTACTTTTGTAAAAAGAAATATATTTCTAAGTTAAAATATGTAGAATTATAAATTATCATGAGAAAACAGCAAACACATGTTTTTATTTTATGATAGTTTAAAATAACCTATCAAACAATTCATTATTATTATTAGTTAAATGTCATTGTTTTTAATTACTTCTAATAATTAAGGCATGTATATAAATTAGGTAATCTTACTGTGAAACAGGATCACTTGGTCCTTTTTCTAATGGGATTTGCACTGATCTGTATTGTATAGCATTGTAAGATTTCCAAAATAAATATTCTCTAAATAAATAATAAATTATTATCATAAAAAAACTGATAATTAAAATACACATTTCAAGTAAAATGCAATGGAACTTACCTAAAATATTTCAAACCTTCATACAAAGTAGCCATCAAAAATATTCCTACCATGGAGTATATAAGACCGCTAGTAGTATTAAATTTCCACCAATCAAATAAGACAGTTTCATCTGTACCAAAATGAAAGGACATCTATAAAAATAATTAAGGGTTATTATTGATTTAAATAGTAACTAAGATACTGGTTCTATGTATTTTTAAAGGTTAGCATATTGTATACAAACATATTTTCTGCTAAATAAATTTCTTGGACAAACATATACATATTATTTGTTTTAGCTAAATATGGCACATTTTGTAGAAAAAAATGTAATACTTTTTAAACTTGTAATTTTTAGTTTTCATTAGATAATATTATTTTATTCTTTATAAAATAAAAATAAAATTTTTTAAACATAATTAAGTGTTTCTTCGCGAACTATCCTCATATAGAGGGGAAATAAATATTAGGTCTCCTGACACTCGAGGCTCTAGTTAAACCACTATAGAGCTCAAGAGGGGGGAGGATAGAACGCAGGATATATAAAAAAATATTACCATCCCTCTAATACTTGATTACAATAATTAATCTTAGATACAACCCATTTAACCTAATGCAAGCTTTAAACCTTAGTATCTACCAGTCAATTTAAATAATGTAGTCGTGTAAGAATTAAATAATCAAGTTATAGATTCTTTATCATAACCAACTAATCTAGGTATTAATTTAATTTCATAAAATCATTCTGCCTATAAACTAATTTATAGTGCCAATTTTTTTTAACCCTTGGGCACCAGCTCCTTCTACTAGATACTCTTACCCGCGGAAACATGCAACATATAGTTCCTTCGTGAGAGTGCCCGAGGGTTATGTACAATTTTTGAAAATAATACTTACAGACATCATGTGATGCACCATATTATGGTCCGTTCCATTTTCTGAAGGAGTGTCACAACAACCATTTCCAACAAGTGGATTCAATGTTGAAGAATCTGTTTCATCCATATGGTGGTGATTATGGTGATCCATTTTTCAAAACTATAAAACATCCAAAATATAAAATAGCTTGTATTAACTAACTAATAGTTAAATGTATAGAAAATCGTTTTTTCTAAAAAAGATATAAATATTTAAAAAACTGTTAAACTTTAAGAAAATATTTGTAAATACTATTGTTTTGTATAGTAGGCAACTTTTAATTGAAGTAACATATTGGTTTTTTTTAATACTTGATAATATTAAAGAACATAAGATAAGAACTACTCAAAAATTGAATTATTCACACCTAGATAGTTAATATCTATAATATTAATATTTACCTAGTAGGTACTTGAGAATTCTATGCTCTCTGATAAGTCTCTGGTTTTACTATTTTAGTAGGTATTCAACTGTTAGTTAATATTTAACTTAAGCCGATTAGTTATAATTTTAAAAAAGCATAGAAGCTAAAATACAAATAAATAAAAAAAGTTATAGCTTGTCAAATTGATTTGTTGAATTGTTATCTAAAAAAGTATTGTAGCAGTATAACAGGAAACCATTTTTTTAAACAAAACCACAGGTTGTTTATTTATTCTTTGAATATAATGTTTTCTGGTTAGATATTTTATTAATTTGACAATAATTTATGATTATTTCTACATAATATACTACAAAATAATAATGTAATAATTTTACAAAAATAATACATTTTTTTTTTTTATATTGCCTTGATATCTATGGTTATTAGCTTGGTTAGGTTTATGTAAATATGAAACACGTGTAGTAGGGACATGACATTGGCCCTTAGTTACTCATCCAGATTTAGGCAGTGATAGACTCAACTTAACCACACGTGCCATGGAAACCTTTACGCCATGCCATACCCCTAAGAATAACATATATTTTGTTTTAAAACTGAAATTATTAAATAATTAAATAAATAATTAAACTTAAAAAAACAACTATTATTATTTAACAATAAACACTCTATACTTTAAGACAAGTTATCAATTCTTTTTTTTAAATATTTATAGTATTTTCATACAAATATTATTCTCTAAGCAGTAATTTTATAATTAAATTTAAATGTCCAAGTAGTTATTTAAAATATTGATTCCAAATATAATAAACTATGATTAAGTTTAATTTGTTTTTAAAAACCTGCAACAATGGTTAATATAATTTATAACATATTAAGTTACATACTAATTAGACATGATTAAAACTTTCATCTTTTGCAAAAAATGTTAAGCAATTTGTTTTTATTATAGATACAACCCAAAACATAATTTTTAGGCCACATTAAATAAATAATACAGAAATAAAACCATAATACCAAACCACATATAAATATCAACTTAGGAGTATTTCACTACTTAAATACTTTTACTAACCCAATTTATTTATTATGGATTTTTTGTAGCTTAACGATCACTTGTGGTCATATTTTTTTTTATAAAATTACCACTAAAATGAATTGAATATATGTCATATAAAAATAGCATACTATGAAGAGTAACACGATTAGGCTTTTGGGAATCAACATTACTTATTTTAGATATTTATTGGAATACTTCAAAAGAGAGACAGTGGAGGCCTTCAAAAGCAAAATATGGTCCATAAGCTAAATTCCAATACTCTATTCTTCCAATGTTAAATTTCTAAATAAACCTCTAAAGCTTCTTTTTTTCGGGATTTTGCCAACAGGTTAGGATCAGATTTTAACTATTGTATTTAAAACCAAAAGCAAGTAGTTATTAAATATATTGGCAATAATTTCCTAAATTTACATGTGCAGTTAAAAGCCATTTAAAATTAAAGTAGTTTTACTTTGTATCGTAAAAATATCTAAAATTAAATTAGAACTGAAGCTTCACAAAATAAAAAAAATGTATATACATATTTGCTGCCGAAATACGTATATGCTATAGAGGATTATTATTTTGGCTGTGTTTATTTAAATATATAACTATTTTATAATATATAACCACAAATGTGGCTTACAATTTTCTTGCTTATTTATTTTTCTACACGTAAACAAAATTTGTTTTGCAAACTGTGTTACATTTTATGGGATTCCTTTTTACGGAAATATTCTAATGACATTAAATACAGATCCAAATTAAATACTACAAAACTCACTTTTACTATGCTCCGTTTTTTTTAATTTTAAAATCATTTCCTGGATGTATCTAAGTAAAAAAGTTTTTTATTTAAATAATTTTTATATAAAAAATAAAAACGCAGATAGGTTTGGCCAAAAATGATAAACATATAGGTAATGGAAGTGATGTTATAACCCAAGTCAATAAAAAATAGAAATATGGTGTAACTATGTAAGAGACTGTAGAAATCAGACAAATGGAATTAAATTGAAGTAAGAATGTGATTAACGACAAGGTATGCTTGAGACATACCCAGACGGATCATTTATATTGACATTTTCGGTTGGTGGCACATTTAGGCATTCGAAATATTTTCACGAGCACGACACGGCACATCCTGCAATGAAGTTAAAATAATGGTACAAAACGAACCCACAGCTCCTTTATCAATGTATAGATTAGCAAAAATAAAATGAAGTGGTGACGGACTCGAGAAATTATAATAATAATAATGGCGAAATATGAAAGTTAAGTCGAACTATATCGATTATCGGTACTTAAAACTTGGTTACTACTCGAGATTGTTGTATACTTAACGAGTAAAAAGCTAATGTAGATAACTTCTAATCTATTATTTCAAGATATTATTTCTGAAAAGTATATACTAAAAAAAGATACGTCAGGTACAATTTAAAAAATATGCGCGACATAACTAGATTGAGACCAACTAATTTTTTTTAATTTCAGGGTCCAAAAATATCAATTAAGCATAGTATACGACCCCAATTGAAGGGGTCCGTGCAAAAACGAGACAACTCCAATTTTGGCAAAAATGGGTTTTTGGCCGTTTCCAATTAAGAAAAATTTGACGAGTATATCTGTGTAAGAACGAGACAAATCCGACCACCGGTAAAGGAAATATAATGGAACTGGAGCTGTCTGGTTTTTTTTTCCATTGAAAAACCAGATAGCTCCGGAGTTATCTGGTTTTTGCGCCGAATGTTGTCTACACTAAAATCAGTTGTCTTAAAGTAAGAATAAATAATATTAATAATTTTTTGATAAACAAAAAAATTGAAATAATAAATACAAAGTTCGGGTCAAAAAACAAGATAGCTCCAACAATTTTGGGTTAATTTTAGCTCACATCTCAAATCAAAAACCTTAATCAAATCACGTACTACGTCATCTTTTTCATCATGGTCTAATATATATTAATTGATATTAACATTAGTTTTAACTTAAACTCAATATTTTTAAAATAGTTTTTTTTGTTTCTTGAAAAGTTTAAAAAAATAGAGTTGTCTCGTTTTTGCACGGACCCCTTCAATTATAGATAGTCGCCATATTTGAAAAATAGCAGTTAATTTGTATTTTCCTTAATTAAACTTACAATTGAAATGTGTAAAACGATTGTTCGATATTGAAAAAATTTTAATTTCGGAAAAAAACATTTTTTTAATTGGCGAGGAATTGTTAATTATACTCATAACACAACACTCCAGCATAGAAAAAGTAGAAGAATAGTGTTGTTTTTCGATACGCACATGAAACGTGGGGGTTTTTGGGTCGAGGTACAAGAATTTTTTTTTTTTACAAAGAAAATATTAGTTACATTTGTTCCGTTTGTTTATAATTACCCTCACTTAACCCTATGAGTACTAAGCAATGCCCACACAATATACATTATAACAAAATGTCATAGCATCAATTATAATTTAACACAGCGGTCTTCAACCTTTTTTTACGGCGGGCTGGATCTGAGATACGTTTCTACATGGCCAGCTATAATAGTTTGGGAGGCGGGGACCAGGGTATTTACCAGTATACATTTTTTTATTATCAGAACATATAAATTTATATTATCTATAAACCTTGGGCCGGAATCAGTCCGCGGGCCATAGGTTGGAAACCCCTGATTTAAATTTAATTTTGATGCAATGTTTAAATGCAAAGTAATAATTGTAATTAAAAATTTTGAGCAAATGGTAAAGTAACAGTCTTTAATGAGTGGATACTAAGTAGTAGGAAAAACATTATCTATGTCTTAACAGTAAGTTTTTGGGATTTTGAGACTAACCCTTAGGAAGTAGGAACTAAATTTTATTTACGGTAAAGTTGTCAAGTCTACCAAAATTGAAAAAAAAAAAAAAAGATAAATCAATAATAATGAAATTTAATACATACTTAATATCGAAAAATAGTAAAAAAGAAGTGTTCTATAATAATATAAAAAGAAAAAATTGCTTAATTTATCAGATCTAAAAAAAAAATGTAAGTTAGCAGTAGCGGTTTTTAATAAACATTATCATAACAAAAACTGTGAAAAATAGGAATGGGCATTGCAAACAAAATTTATGAAAGACAAAAATAACCCATCATTGGTCAACTAGCTGTGGATTAGTGTAGTTTATTTAAATAAATTTACAGGGGTGGTTTTGGACGATGCCCATTTTATGTTTTACTAATATTTTATTATGTAACAAAATAGTTTAATTCTTAAAGAATGTCCTAATAACATAACCTTATCCAATTTAGAGCGATGAGTTATCAGTTAATAATATGATAATCAAGCTATTAAAGTAAAACAAATTACTAATTACTAATTACAATGATAACACTATTTGTAAGCATTTATTTGTTCACCATAAAACTTCTACTAAAAAATAGTTACTAAAAGAACTTTACACTAGGATAATTTAGAATACTTAGTAAATATTTTAAAATATAAATTTAATAACCTTCTTTTTTTTATAGTTTTACTTTAATTTTTTTATATACTGGAGGAAAATAATGGTCTAAAAAAAACATTAATTTGAAATTAAGTGTTAAACAAATTAATATAGAAATTATCTATATATAAACATAGAATATATTTTCATATTTCATCAAAGCTTAATGGGCATTTAGAGCCCAACAACGCTGCCATCATGAGATGATGATTTCTAGACAGATTTGCTATCCGGAATGGGTCATTAGACTGTCGCCAGAGAGGGGGATGGCGATTCCTATTCATCGGACGATTGCCTGACCGGCAAATGGAGCGCCCATGACCAAGTGTCAAACTGGCGACAGTAAGCTCTAACACACTGTCGCCTTATCAACTTGGCTACTCCTTTTCCTATTGTCATATTTAGTTTGGTGAAAATATTATAGTTCTAAAAACAGTATGCTTGAGTATTATTGAAAGTGTAGAAGCACATTTGCTTTGAGGGACCATTTTAAGTTTAGACATTCAAGTATGAAACTGTATATAAAACATAAAATGAACCAAATGAACGAAATTATACTGTTAATTATAGGCTTAAAAAATATCTTTATTATTTAATAATTGTTTATGACTATTTGAGTCTTAAATAAACATGCCAACTATTTTTAACCGAACCTATAGATTATATTAATGACAAAGGTGGCACATATGCAACTTGCACAGGTGTCATAAGTCATAGGTGTCATAAGTTATGTATTGATACAATAATAATAATAATAATAGCAATATCAATATCAATACAATAACATACAACATACAGCCCATTGGTTCAAATATAAGAAGCATGAGATTCATAGTTTTGATGTTAGAGAACATTGAAGTCAATTAAATACATGCAATGATAAGGTATTATGAATTTTAAAACATTGTTCCTATGAAATGTTAAAATATGCACTTGAGCTATACCTGCACAATACCATTGATATAGGAATTGCAGCAATGTGTTTTTTTTATATATTTATAACATTTATACTGCTACCCCCGCAAATAAGCAGAGAATGAATATAATATGTATTATACTTAATTGTTATGTAAACTCTATTAATTTTAGTATAATGCAGAGGATAGTAACAAAACCAATAGTTTTTATTTAGTGTTCCTCTTTAGTGTCTCGTATATGTGCAAGTGTAGCACGAAAATGGCATTTCCATTTCACATGTAATTGTGGGTGTAGCAGTGAAGGATTAAACCAATTACGTTAGGTTTATGCTATATAAAACAAATTTTACTATGCAGTGTTAAAAATAACATACTTTAAATATTTTTTGAGGTGATTTGACTGAGTTTTCTTAGTGTTAGTATCATTAAAACACTAGAAACTAACATAAATTACAAAAATACATAAATTAATTTTTCTCATTTAACCATTAAAAAAAATCAAATTTGTATTAAATTTAATCCTTTATTTAAAACAACTAAGGTTTTTGAACTATTAACAATAGTATTACATTGTTAGTAACATACAAATAGGTTCCAACATTTTTTGTAGTGGAACCCTTTTTAAATAGTTTGTTAGAGAAGTTTCAAGTTAATAAAATTATAATAGTTTAAAAATAAAAATATATTTTGGACTCCTTATTACAATAAAAATTAGGAGTTAACCAGTACCTTGAAACAAATGCTAAAATCTGGCTGTGATTTGTAGGTAACTATAAGTATGAATCCTTTATACTAATAAAAATCTGTCTTGAATTAAGACTTGTCTTAATTAAATTATCATTTTTATTTTGGTTATTTGTTTATCATTCACTGAGATACTGTTCTTTATATTTTTACCCCTGAAATTGTTACAATGAAGTAAGTCTTAAATCACTATTTACAATCATTAAAAAGGTTTTTTACATAAATGATAAATATATTTAGTCATAACTTAATAATAAACCTAATTTATTAATATTTATTTAATTTAAAAATAATAAGAGAATTCCTTTTATGAAAATAGAACAACCAATAATAATAGTTATTATACAAATTTGAGCAGTTCTACTGAACTTTAAAATATTAAAATTACCGAGTCTGTGAAATCCTTAAGATCTTCAATAGTCGATTATGTTGTCAAATTGTTATTACGCAATGGATGTGAATGCAAGTCAACAGCAGTCTGTGGAATGGAAAACTAAGAAAATAACCTTCACTCAACTCAGATACATTTCTTTTTTTTGGGCTCTGGCGCTCATGCTTCACGCTTCGACAATCGACATGCCACCTCTTTAGAATGACTGTCGAAGTAATATTAAAATACACTCACTTTCTATAGCACATTATCTCAACGATAGATAAATGTTATCAGTTATCACTACTCAAAACTTAACCAAGGGGGAAGATAATGAGGCAAGAACGGAATTAAATAGGTCAAGTCAACTGCAGCTGCTATAGGGTACAATGAAACATCGACTTTCGACTTATATAATTCAGAAAGTAATGCCGTATCACAGGATATAGATTAGTCTACTCTGTGACCGTATTATGTATATTATAATACAATGTATGTATGAATGAGATACAATTGGATACACAGAGTAATATTTATATTATAGAGGGGCGGCCGTTCCCTCACTTAGATTTCACATTGCTTTGACAAGTAACAGGTGACTTCTTTTTCCAGTTGGTTAATAACCATAGATGTTTTTATTATCTATGTTATTAACATAAAAGAAATTACACCTGTAAAAATTATGTACTGATAACCTGCCACAGAAATCTCAAATCAGAATGGACACTTATAACAAATTACACGAGCAGCATATGCCCAATGCCACGCAACGCCTCATATATGTGTATTTTTCATATATTATACATATCGTCGCTGATACTGCTACAGCGCGTATCTCAATTCCAAGTATTTTCAGGCGAAGCAAAATAAGTTATTTAAATGAATAGGTTTTGATATAAGCTGTGTTGTCATTATTATGATTTACAGTGCAACCACGATGTAGAGAAGATAAGGTGACGCCACTCAACTTCTTATCAGTAAAAATTTGGGGTCGAATGCTTCCACCACAGATATATATAATAAACTAGATTGTTAACTGTATATACCACCAATAGAGAAGATTGAAGCAGCCACTTTCCGCCATCCTGGTGGGAATTAGAACCTTATCACGCGGGAATAATATATGTTTATAACAATCACATATATGTATATATATATTTTATTGATATAATAATATATACATATATATTACATGCATTGATAACACACCTAAATCCCACCAGAATGGCGGACCGTCGACTTCAATTCTTATCGCTAGTTGGCAATCTAGTTTATTATGTATATCTGTGTATATAATTTTATTATAGGTATATGATAGACTGTGCTACAACCGTGGTTACAAACAAGTGTACTCAAATTAGTTGATATCAGCTAACCTTAAATTTTTAAATGATAGAATTAAAAGGTGAACATAAATCCGTAATACGGCATGCTAAAATAATGTACTTAGTACTTACATACTACTGAGTTCTGAGTAGTAAGTATGTGCTGCCGTCTAGACAATACAGTATAAAAGAATATAATCCTGTTGTGTATTGTTAGTATTTAGTCGTATGATAGTGATTATTGTTTAGACATTAGTGTGCAATTTATCTTTCTTTCATTAATTAACATTAGTATTTTCCTAGAAAAGAAACAAAGATATCATCACCATGGAAGATGAACCATTGGTATGTAAATTATATAGTAATATGTATACTTTGTTTTAATGTTAGGTGCAAAAAATTGAAAGGATAGGTACAACATGAAAGAATCGTAATTTCTAAAATATCTTATGTTAGACAAGGTAATCATTTTCCTTAGAAGTTTGATAGTTACCTATTATATATTGGGTGAAGTACAGGAGAAGAGTGTAAAATAATTGCCTGGACAAGATTTTTTTGAAGAAATGATATATTAAAGTTAGAGAAGATATAAATGAACATGTAGAAGTGAGCTTTATGATAGGGAACTGAAGAAGTAGAGGTTTGTTTTGGTATCTAGAATGAAGTGATAATATAATTTTGTATTTACAAAGGTAAAATATTATGATCTGGCTGAATTGATTATAAATGAGGAGAGCATTAAAAAAAATTGATGAGAATTCAGAAATGAGAGAATTAGGATTTTTGTCCGGTTTCTAAAGCACTTGTAGTGTTGTTTGGCAGTTTCAGTCACAGTTTTTAGGTATTTGTGAATAGAGTGATTGGAAACGTAATATGGGGCTTTACAAATAGAAAGTAGGGCTTTAGATTGGAATCTCTGGATACAGTTAGTGTTGGAGACAATAAGTTAGTTAGTTATTACTTATTAGGAATGAATAAATTAGAGATGGAGGTAAAAAATCTGTTATACTTAGAAATCAAGTGCTAAAAGTAATGAGTTAACAATTTCAATTTTTTAGGATAAGTTTCATTATTAAGAATGGAATAAGGTTTAATATTTTTAGGCTTTAGATTTTACTATCCACTTAATATTCAATGAGTATTTTGTTAATATATTAGGTACACTGTTAATTATAATTTAATAAAATATATTATATTTAAAATGTTTAGGAACATCAACCCGAATTGCCTAAATTGTCTAGAAAAAAGCCAAGAGGGCTTTTAAGACAAGAAAAATTAAAGGATCTAAAAAATAAAAAAAAACAGCAAAAAAAGGACAGAAAGTTTAGAAAAGCAAGTGGTGATCCTAAGCAGATACCTCGTACAATTGAAAACACAAGGGAACACGATTCAACAATTTTCCATTCTGATGATGAAGACTATGACACTAAGGCTGAAGATCTAGCTGCTGAATTTGAAAATGACGAGTTTGCCGAGTACTACACCAAACTTTATAAACCTAAAGTATTAATTACATATAAAGAAAAACCTCTTAGGAAAGTTAGAGAATTTGGAAAAATTTTAACTGAAATTATTCCTAACTCTGTTAGAGTGTTTCGTCGCGATGCTTCAGTAAAAGAAACAATGCAAGCTGCTATTAATAAAGGTTATACAGATTTGATTGTTTTAAATGAAGACCGTAATGAACCAAATGGTCTTATACTTGTACATTTGCCTAATGGTCCAACAGCTTATTTTCGTTTAAGTAACGTAATATTTCCAAACAAACGACAACGTAAAGAATTTACTAATCATAGACCTGAAGTGATAACTACTAATTTCACAACTGGGTTAGGTAAAACTGTTGCACGGATGTTAGGCGCTGTTTTCCATCAAGATGCAGAGTTTAAAGGAAGACATGTAGTTACTATGCACAATCAAAGAGATTATATATTTGTCCGCCATCATAGATACAAGTTTCTAAAAAACAAACCGTCACTCAGGGAACTTGGACCTAAGTTTACTATGCGGTTACAATATATTCAAGAAGGTTTATATGACCCAAAATGTGGAGAATATAGATGGATTATGACTGATAAGAGACATAAAATTGAAACCAGTCGCAGAAGATTTTTTTTGTGATTATTTCTATTTGTATTTTTATTAAAGAATTTAAAATGATTATAAAAATTGACAAACTAAATAAAAAAATGTAAAATTATGAATACTTTTTTCAAATATTTCTAGGTATTAAACTTATTATAATTCTAGACATACTTTATTTTAAATGATGTTATGAAAAAATTGTTAGAAAATCACCTGTCATAATAGCAAATAGTAACAATTTGAATAGTAAATTGTTTTTTCAGACATTTTACAGGTAATTTGAATCACTAAGTTTGTTATACTATTAGAAATTTAATCAGAGTAAAAATTAGTAGATTATAAAATAAATATAACATTAGGTAGTTAATTTATTTTATTTTGACAACTAGCTTGTCTCATTAGGTTAGATTTCATCTTAGAGAATAGAAAGATAGGCTAAATGTTTTTTTAACGTGAGATGAGATTCATGGTGAGCTTTGCTCTGCATATCTCCTTATTTTCTTACTTTAAATGTATTCTATTTTATTACTTTCATCATGCAAATTAAATATATCTTTAAGTTGAACCTCCGAAATCATCATTATAATATTTTAAATGTTAGTCTTGCATTTATAATTATTTCAAAAATTTTAATGAATATTTATTGTTAGTATTAATATGTTAAATAATAATAGCTTATAGATTACTATAGCTATATATTTTTTTTCAATCGTGGATTATATTAAAAATTATTAGTTTTAGTAAGTATTACAATTAGTGAGACACTTTTAAATAGCATGTGTTGAGTAGTAGCGATCACTGTATACTGCATAGTATATACTATAAAAAGAATACCCTAGTTAAAAAAATTGAAGTTAAAGAGATTTAGTATGAAACTGATCATTGGGAAAGTGTACAATGGAAAAAATGGCCCTTCGTAACGTTAGAAATTTGGGAAAATTGGTGTTATCCTCAATTAATTATACATATAAAATACATACAATCATTCTCGATATCGGCCGATTATTAGTGGTATCGGTTTATTTTGGAAACCGATACCAACAAAAAAAAGAAGCATTCACAAACTTAAATGGGTGGTACATTATACTATTTAATGTTAATTGGTAAGGCTGATTGGCTTATATAATCTACTAATACGATTCATCTATTATTTTTGTGTAATGAGCTTTATTATTTTTTATGTATCATATTATATGTTCCATTTTGCTGATTTTCGGATATATCCACGTTAGTATTTTTAGGTCGAAACGTCGACCTACAAATACTAACTACTTTAACGCATTCATATATTATATGTTTTTCATTTGTTACCTATGTTAAAAAAAAAAACATTGTATTATTAATACATCTCTCATTGTATATAGTTACTAATTACTGATAAATTTATTTTTTACGATTGTAATTTGTGTATAAATCCGTTTTTGTTTTTACAATTGAAGGCATAGAAAAGAGATTAAATTGATTCAAGAGGTCCGTGCAAAAACGAGACAACTCCAATTTTGGCAAAAATGGGTTTTTGGCCGTTTCCAATTAAGAAAAATTTGACGAGTATATCTGTGTAAGAACGAGACTAATCCGACCACCGGTAAAGGAAATATAATGGAACTGGAGCTGTCTGGTTTTTTTTTCCATTGAAAAACCAGATAGCTCCGGAGTTATCTGGTTTTTGCGCCGAATGTTGTCTACACTGTAGTCGACACATGTTTTTTGTAAAAGTAAGAATAAATAATATTAATAATTTTTTGATAAAAAAAAATTGAAATAATAAATACAAAGTTCGGGTCAAAAAACAAGATAGCTCCAACAATTTTGGGTAAATTTTAGCTCACATCTCAAATCAAAAACCTTAATCAAATCACGTACTACGTCATCTTTTTCATCATGGTCTAATATATATTAATTGACATTAACATTAGTTTTACCTTAAACTCAATATTTTTAAAATAGTTTTTTTTGTTTCTTGAAAAGTTTAAAAAAATGGAGTTGTCTCGTTTTTGCACGGGCCCCTTCAATTTTTATCTAATAGTTAATACCATTGTTTTTATAAACAATAAACACGTTATCATTTTTTGGAAGAACTACCCCCAACTCGTTTATAAATATTATACATAACCCACAGAGACAAATTTTAGTTCTGTACGCCAACGCGGGACGGGCGCTAGCCAATCGTTTTCAATGAAAATGTTACTACTTGGCACTAACGCCCGTACTGTGTCGGTATACAGACCTAAAATTTGTCTTGGTGGGATTGAATTCTTATAAGTTATATAAAGTATTTGGGATTCCATATAAATGAGTCCTATTTACATACTTATTATCTCAACATCTGAAAAAAAACCTTATATTATTTTTACAGTATATAATAAATTGATGCATGTTTGAAAATAGGGTCCGATGAGTGGTGATATGAGAGAAGGAAAGGCTCATGGGCTATGCGTGAAGAAGTTGGAAAGTACGTCAAAATCTTTCAGCAAGCATCTCTAAACATACCGTGGCCTTAATAAATCTATCCGTCCCTCTAAACTATACTTCTTAAATTGCATTAAAAAACAAATGTAAAACCACATTCTTAAATCCTAATAATTATAGAAATAATATACATACGATTTAAGATTAAAAACATAATTTATTTTTGTTCGCTAATTAAGGCGTTGCGTCGTCTGCAACAGTGTAATGTCAAAAAAAGTAACAATGACATATCATATTATTTAAAAATATTTCCAAACCATTTTCATTAATATTTAATTAATTAAGTTTTACATCTTTCATTTGATCAAGTTTATTTTGATCAAGATTATTTTTATATTAAATAATTGTTTGAATAAAACGCATGTGCATACTGGACGAGCTACTAGTAATATTATAGTACTGTAGTAATATAGTAATATACACCCTTCTATCAACCACAATAACTCTGTCAATTAATTCAATCTATGCTAAATTAATATTATTAATGTAAATCAAATTTTGTGTTCAAAGAGATCCTTTATTATATATAATATATAATATAATATAGGATCTCCTTGAACACAAAATTTGCAAACCTTTGCTGACTCTATGTGAGTTTTTAACTGCTGAAAACAATTCGTTTCTATGTTAACTTCTGCTTGTTGTTTGAATAACAAGACGTAGCAATTGTATATTGACAGAATATTAAAAGTCAATACTTAGATTTTAATATTTTCAGCGAACAATATGCATTGTGTCGAAGCGTTCTGCAGATATATTTTACGTTAAAACGATTACTTTTTCGAACGACTTAAACATTACTGTCATGTTCTACCATAAGTTTGGACGTAACTTCAAGCTATTTAAAAAAAAAATCCGAAGGCGATCAAAAACTCAAAAGGGGTTTAGCCTGGAGACTTGATGGTAAGTATTTATAAGAACACTTGGAATTTTAAAAGTTGGTGAATTAATTTAAGCATTTGAGAGTCTAACAGGGTGATTTCACATTTGGGCTTCAGAGTAGGTAATGCAAAAACCCAGCATGCTGTGTAGAAATCTCTTAATATATAATAATTTAGATACCAAATCTAAAGTCCAAATCCAATTATTACTAAATACTATTTACTAATATTATGTTAAATTTTTTTTTTAGATTGCAATTATTTACACGTGGCGGTCGATCATACATTTCCTAATAAGTATAAATAATACGAAGTTACCCGTAAGCAAAACATGTAGTAATTTATTTTAATTATTAATAATAATTTAATTGTAGGTATACAGCTGTAAGGGTCCGGAATTAACTACAGACGAAATAATTGTACTTAAGTTTCTCTGCTCAGTAAAATTCTTACATATTATATATAAATTCAAAATAAAATAATCGAAAAAACATTTTTTTTTATAAGACTGGTTTGTTAATTCTAGACCTTTTTCTAGTGCTTGATAACCTCCTTCGTACTCTCTTATACGCAAAGTCTGTCGATACCGGGATATTTTAGTCATTAAGTTAGTCATAAGTTATGCCCGGATCGGCTTCGATGCGTAAGTCCACCATTGTCTGTTGTGTGGCCGCCCAGTCTGTCGATACCGGGATATTTTAGTCATTAAGTTAGTCATAAGTTATGCCCGGATCGACTTCGATGCGTAAGTCCACCATTGTCTGTTGTGTGGCCGCCCAGTCTGTCGATACCGGGATATTTTAGTCATTAAGTTAGTCATAAGTTAGTCTTAAGTTATGCCCGGATCGACATCTATGCGTAAGTCCACAATTGCTTGAAACGCCCCTAACACACATTTCTGGTGGTTGTACAGTAAATACAATTTGAGCATCATCGTAGATGGAGATACCACATTAAAAAAAAACGAGCCAAATACTCTACCTCACAGGTGGTTTGGAAACGAGTATACAATCCCTAATACGAAGTAATTGGTAAGCAAAACATGTAGTAGGTAATTTATTTTAAATATTAATAATAATTTAATTATATACAGCTGTAAGGGTCCGGAATTAACTACAGACGAAATAATGGTATTTAAGTTTCTCTGCTCAGTAAAATTCTTACTATTTAAATTCAAAATAAAATAATTGAAAACATTTTTTTTTTATATGTCTATTTTGTTAATTCTAGACATAAAAGACATAAAGAATAGATAATACAAATAATTTTCGATGAAATTTCGGGGGGGGGGGGTTTGAACCCGGAAAACCCCTCCCCTGAATACGGTCATGGTTCTTTATCGGCAACATATATCGGGTATCGGTAAAAAAAAGGTATCGGCCCATCCTTATTATTTACTACTAAATATTTGTTTACACGTTTTGTCCATTTGTGGTATAAAATATGTGGAATTAAAAACAAAATATTTTGATTTTTGTTGGTGGTCACACTGTGAAATATCATCCTTTTGCGCATCAATCATCGGGGGAACGGCAGCTCTATATTACCACAGATTATCTAAAAATGAATTTCATATAATCTGTGATACTACTCGGTGATACCATTTAAGATGTTAAATAGGGGGCGTGGTATCAAAACAGAATACATAAAAGCAGAATGGTCATTCTCAATGTAAGCAAAAAAGTGACGACCTATTAAGGTGTAGCCCAAGGTGGATCTAGATACACCTTGGTATAGCCTTAAGAAAACGGCCGCTGGGCGCTGCGTTTCTGTGTGATAATTATCTTCCCCTTAAAAAAAATATAGTGTCCGGGTCCTTGTATCTAGTATCGATCCTATTTTATGTAAGTGATAAAAAACCATATGTCTATGTAAAAACCAGCTGTAGTCTGCACTCTGGAGGTGCAGTATAATCAACTGTTCAAGTAAAAATTTAGACCTCGGCCTTTGTAAGTGTAACGAAGTGTAGTACTATTATTATTTGTTTATAAACACAACGATATGAATATAAGCAATTAAGCATTTTATAAATAATTGGATTTATTATTATAGTGTTTACTCGTAAAATATAATAATAAGAGGCTTAAAGAATTTATACTTGTAAAATGTAATGCCTATACTTTTAATGATTTATGAACATTCTTAAAATTTATCTATTTTATTTAGTTCCCGATAATAAAACAACAAATTGAAAAAAATTGTAAAGGTATGTAGTATTATAATACTATGTATAAATAAAATAAATTATAATGCTAGCCTAATTATGTTTTTAATCTATAGTAAAATGTATATTATGCTTTTTTTATTCATTATTGATTATTTATTATTATTTATAGTAGGTATTTTTAACTGTTAAGGAAATGTTTACTTGTTCAATTTGTCAAGAAGTTTTTGACGGAAATAATAATTCTATTTCTACTACTACATGTGGACATGTATTTCATCACGGATGCCTTGATACATGGTTAAAAAGGTTATTTATTTTAATTTTTAAGTTTTATATCAATTTTTTATTTGAAACAATTAAAAATAAATTTTTTTTTTTTTATGACAGGTCTAAAAGTTGTCCACATTGTCGTGCACCTACTGTTAATGATCAGCTTATACGATTATTTTTACAAAGAGACCCTAATGCTCATTTAATAGTTTGGGATAGAAAATTTGATATAGATTTGCGGACATTACGGTAAAATATAATAATAATGATAATTGTCATTTTAATTTAATTTTCTAATATGATATTATATTACCCTAATTCTTCTTATTCACTTTATGTCTTACAAATGGAGTTAGCCAGACAAATCTATTCTCTCCAAAAATGTCTATTTATGTCTTTATTTATCACATAGACTTCTTCTTTGGTTTACCTAAACCTCTAAATTCTTTGATCGTAATCTTATTAATTAATTTAAATATTTCTCTGGGTGTTGATAAATTGACAGTCTTGAATGAATCTTATTCATTTGAGTCTTAAATGAATTGAATGATTTCAAAAGCGGTAAATTGAGTTTCAAGTATTAAAACAAAAACGGTAAAAACATTTAATAAAAATGTTTAAACATGAAATTCATGGTTAGACTTTCTTTTTTCATACATGCAAATAATATTTTAAGATGAATGATTAAAACATAGTTATTGATTGTTGTATAAATCATAAACATAATCAAATGTTCAAGGATATATATGTCTTAAAACATATATTGCTGCAGATTCTGTATTTTCCCCCAATATTTTTGGTAACCTGAAATCATAAAAAAATAGTTGTGAGCTGTTTCACGTAAAGCTAAATACTTAGTATTTAAATTTTTATAATTCCATCAAAATATTAATTGATAGATTAATATTTGAATATTATTATTTTTATTATTGATGATGCTATCAAAGTATACAAATCAAATATTTACATTCAAGTAAGAAGTAAAGAGTTAAATAAAAAATCGAAACAAAATATTGAAAAAGAGAATATATTAAGAGAACAAATGACGAAGTTCACGAAAAAAAGTATTTCTAGACTTGACCTAATTAATTCTGTATTATTTAAATATTTACTTATTAAATAACTATTAATTTATATTTAAAATATAGAACAATATAAAAAATAAGATAAATAGTGGGTAAAAAATTAAATGTTAGTATTAGTTGTATACTAAAAAACAAAAATGTTGCAAAACTTTTTAGTCTACTTCCGTTGTTGTGTGTCCTGGGTAATTTGAATAGGCTGGATTATTTTATTTTTATTTGAAATTCAGTTTCCACAACCCTTTTCCCAGCTAGAACTGCGTTTATCTAAAAATTTTAAAATAATACTTTATTTATGAAATCCGATTTCACTACCTTTCCTTCCTTTAACATGCCCTTTTTTAATCATTCCTTTTCCCGCTATTGACCCAGCTTCCAAACTTCCTATTTTACACTCATTTCTTATGAGGCTTACCTATAGTTTAATGGGTAAAAATTATTCTATATTAACTAAAAACGATGCTTAATTTCTAGAGCTCAGAACAAAGTACTACAGGATAAAGAAACTAACAATAAATGTACAATTACTAAGCTTGAATTAGAAATAGGAACTATAAAGTCCAAGCTGCATCAGGAGAATCAACTAAAAGGACAGTTGGAACAATTACAAGTGTAAGTTTAATTTTTAAAAAATAATTTATTTATTTAATTATGTCTTGTAAAAGTGTGCAACAGTGAAAATAAATTATAATGTTTCAGTTATAGTTAAATAGGTTTTAAATAATCATAATTTATACATATTTAATTTATTAGTAATTGCAATTATGTATCAACATTTATAATTTCTTTAAAGTTTAACAATCTTATAAAGTCGTATGATGATAAACATAATATGTGGTAAGTTTCAAAATAAATCACATTTATCAAAAATCAAAGCCAAATACAGTATTAACCAGTACAGAAATAAAAATTGTATTGAACATTTTTAAGTTTAAATGAAAGCTCTCAACTATAAGATATTAATGTATTATACCTGTGGTTCCCAACATTTTTTGACTCGTTGAGCCCTTTTTTAAATGAGGTTTCTCAAGCGCAATTCCTTAAGTCAAAACATGAAAAATCACAAAGAAAAAAAAAATTAATAAAAACCCGAAAAATGTATTTTTAGACCAGATAATATTCTGTGGCGGGACCCCTGTAGGTTAGGTTAGATAAAACATAAATTTGTTGGTTTTATTCTATAAAAAAAAATTTGCATTTAGATTTTCTCCAAATAGATCTTAAAAAATTTGAAAAAAATCAAATGAGTCAAAATTATTTTGACTTGTGTAAAAATACACTTTTAATAATAGACTTTTTTTTTATAATATACATATCACCTTTATTATATAATATTTAGCTCCATGTACTTATTTGCTTAAATTATTAAACTCCACTTATAGAACCGTAACTACAAGAATTTGTGAAAATTAAACTTATGTTTTAGAAATTATCATATATTGGAAGACCATAAAAATAACTTAGAATTACAATTGCAATTGGAAAAGGCCAAGTGTGTTTCATTAGATAACAGTATATATGAATTGCATTCTGTCAATACAGTTGTTATTGAGTAAGATTTTAGTTCAATTCCTGTATCAAAACATGAGTAAAACAAATTATTTCTCTTAGAAAACTTAGACGTGAACTTGCTGATTCAAGAGCTAAAAGTGCATATTTTAAAAAAAGATGCCAGGAATTAAGAGATGAAAATTTTCTGTATGTACAATGCAGTTCTAAATCATTTCAAAACGTAGATAAGGTAAGTCCCTTTACATAATATAATTGTTGACAAATATAATGTATACTAATAAATTTTACATTAAAACAACTAGTTACTCTTGAACACAACATCAAATTTCAAGTATGATATTAATGTATTGCAATTTCATTAGAAGTTATCTTATGAAACTTATCTCGCAATTTTATTTTAATTTTTTTATAGAGGGTAATATCTCCTAGGCTTATTAAATTGTTCAAATTCTGGTTTTTATAAATAATGTTATTATTTAAAATATACAAGTTTCTTTAAGGGCACCACATTTTAAATTTGTTTGTATTTTTAATACATCACTTACCTGTAATTTGATGTTGTTTTAAAAAATATATATTTTTTACTTAAATGATATGTAAATTTTCTTAAAGGCCAATACAGAAGAAAGCAATATTTCTTCTCAAGTTGACCATATTAAACCTGAATATTATGGACACGATTCAAATTTAAAATGTAAGATTTATAGTTTATTTTTTACTCTTAACAGATTGGAATTTTTATTTTCATTGTAAAAAAAATAGGACAAGACTGGTAGTTTTTCATTATTGTATATGATAATTAATATCATATAAATGATCATATATATATATAGTTATATAAATGTATTTGTTATTAGATAAAAATTAGTGAGTACGATTTTCTAACTATTCATTTTAGAAGCTGTAACAAAAACATAGGAAATTAGTTGTCAAGAGATTAAGTTTTAAAATATAGCTTAAATTATTTCTTTTTAATTGAAGAGTAAAAAAAATAACTTGCAAAATAACTAAGTAAATAACTCTAATTTTTTAGAGTACAATAGGTACAATAAGTTAGAAATTAGTAAAATTACTATACATTTTTGTTTTTTCGTTTATTAAAATGTTTTTTAAGTTAGTTTTATTTATGTTGTATACATATATCTTATTTACTTTCTGCTTAAGGAGGGTTTTATTCTTTTTCATTCTATTTTGGCTTATGATATAAACAATCAAATAGATTAAACCAATTTGGACTTTAACTCTAAAAGATAAACAATTTTAAAGTAGAATCTTCCAAATATAAATAAATTTTTCTGGGATCTTAGAGAAAATCAAATAAACAAATATTTCCTCCCTCCTTCTTCAAAAAAAAATTTTAGTGATGTAAACTATGTTTTATACTACAAGTAAAAAGCTAAAATACGTGGCAATAAAATATAAACTATTTTTGTGTTCTTACTTCTTGCTTAACAATTTTTTATAGATTTTAATTTTGAGTTTAAAATATTACTAAATACATATTTAACTATTTTGTTTACAGTGTCTTCAAAAAATTGCCTGTTAGGTTGTGTTTTTTTAATTGTCGATGATTATCATCAATGGGAAGATATATGTAGTGATGTGTCTATGAGTAAACTAAGTATTATTGAACACGGTGGAACAATTGTACAAGATTATTCATCACGTATTACACACATAATTTGTACTACTCAAAAACATAGCATTGTAGATCAGGTAAGTAAGTAAAAAAACAATTTCTTATCATGTTAGTAAACTTAAACTTCGTTGTTTGTAGGGTATAAAAGATCATAAAAGATGCGTGACTCGTTTCTGGCTTACTGATGTCATTGCCAAAGAAACTATGCTACCTCCATGGTTTGCTCATCACTTCCCCACTCCATTCGAGTATTTATAATATTTAAAATTAAAATAATCTAATTAATGTTTTTCATAAAGAAATTTTCAATCTGGAGGGGCAAATGTTCAGTTTTATCACATAAAAATGATATAATAACAATAAATTATAATAGTAGTATGTTTTTTTTATTTTGTAGCAACAGAGAAAATTTACCGTGTCAACATTTAAAAATAGCTATAGCTGAATTTGAAGTTAACGAGTATTATAGAGTTAAGGCTATGGTTGAACTAACAGGAGCTCAAGTTGTTAATGAAGTAACTTCCCGAACGGATATTATAGTTAGTAAAAGGTCAGGATTTTCAATCTATATAATAATTTATTTACTATTGTAAACTTTTTTTGACATTTTCATGTCTTAGCTCTGGCACATAACCGAAAAAAGCATTACCATAAAAGCGTTACCAAAAGAGCGTAACGAAAAAAGCATAAGGGTTGGGGACGGGAGTGGAATAGGGGGTAGGAGATAAGGGTGAGATTTAGCTGGTAAATAAAAGCGTTACGCTGTTACGCGCCGCAATGTAACAAAAACTACAAAGCGATGACGAAAGACAATTATCGGAATGACCATTTCGGATCTATTTCGAATGTTAATCTGTTACGCTGTTATCTGATTTGAGATAAGAGATATGTTGTACGTTCAACGTTCAAATTAGAACTAAATAATAAATTCAAAACAGTTTAAGGGCCCAATTTCTCTATGAATTGTTTTAAGCCAGATAATAAACACTACAATTTTAGCCAGAAACTTGACGTTTTATTATACTAGCTTGTTACCGCTCGTTAATATACTATATCATTATCTATAATTCCACAACTAATCTATATTTATTCGGTACTTCAACGAGACATGAAAATGCTCTTTCGTGGTTGCAGACTCGGCTGAAAAACTTTTTAGTATACCTCTGACAAACCTCGATATTTTCATTTAAAAAAACAAATTACAAATATTTATTTGAAAATAATGTGTTATTAAAAGTATATTTTAATTTAGTGTTTCAAAAAAGCTACTTGATTTTATTCTTTAATCTTTTATTTTAAACAATTTTTTATTTTAATTACTATTACCATTTTTATTTAAAAAAAAAATTGTTTAGTTACAAATAAAAATGTATTTATTCCTTTTTATTTGAAATTGTTTAAATAAAAATTGATATGAAATTATTATTTAGATATTTATACAGACAAAAATAAAATTTTATTTTTTTATTTAAATAATGACCTTACTAATAATATTTATTTACATATTATTTAATAATGTGTAATTTGCATGATTATTTGTAGAAATCACGGTGAAACACTTGATATTGCGTATGCCCTAAATAGACCTGTAGTCAATGTTGAATGGTTAAATGATATACTCTTTGGAGCTCAATACTGTATAAGTCATCCAGATAGTCCTAAATACCAACAATTTAAATTAATTGATACATTTAATGTGAACTACGATATGATACCGCATTTAATGGGTATACATTTATGCAATACTTAATAATTAATATAGTATAAAAATGTTTGTTAAGGTTTTGTTTCAAAAACGCATACAAATTACTTCTCTTACCGACAAATTAAAGTTGTATAATAATTTTTTCTTTTTTAGAAGCGTGGAAAACTCCTGTTTTATATTTAAAAAACCAACAAGTTTGTGATTTAACCAGTCCAACAAAAAACTTAAAACGTAAACGACAAAATCTTTCTATCGACAATTGTAATCCAGAATTAATAGATTTAACTGATAACGATGAAACAAGTTCTAATGATATAGTTATTACATACATAAGCAATGCATTTAAGCCGTGTGTTATGTTAAATGGCTTTTCAAAATTAAAACAAAGGGAGCTGGAACAGGTATAAAGTAATTCAAATGTAAATCTGTATCACCATTATATATAGAAATGTTTAGCGATCTGAGCTATTTTTTAAAAATTATTACAGATTTTCATTGTTATTTTGTTTTAAATTTAATTTAATATATTACTGCTTTCATGGTGACCCAGACATCATAGTGCTGTTGTTCTTATACTCTTTTTTTGTATTTAATTAATTTTTTTAATGTTTAGATTGTATTGCAACTAAATGGTACAATAGCCAAGCAGTGTAACGAAGCAACTCACCTAATTATGGAAGAACCAAAATTAACCCTTAAGTTTTTATGTTGTCTGTCAACTGTTAATCAGATTTTAAATCCAACTTGGCTGTACCATTCCCTAGATGAATTAAAGTTTACGGGTATTATTAAAGTTCATGGATATTATTAAACCCTTACAGTTCATATGTTCTAGTTATAATAAACATTCGGTACACTTTTGCAGATGAGAATCGTTTTATTATATCGGAAATATTTCATGAAAATAATATTATATGTAAAGTACCTGACGTTCTTGCTTGTACAAGACGCCAACAACTGTTCAAAAACTTGATTTTTTTCATTACCTCTGGAATAATATACCCACCTTATTCACGAGTGGAACAAATGATTTTATCTGCAGGTGGTATGGTTGAAAAAGAAATAAGATCTTTGCATAGTGTTCAACAACTAGAGCCCAACAAATATGTCATTATCTCTTGTTCAGAAGATCTATATTTGGTCAATGACTTTTTGAAAATAGGCTATGGTAATTAACAAATTTTTAGAAATAGTTACTGATTATTTATTTTATTTTATACTGAATAAATTAATGTTAAACTGTGTTTATTATTTCAGCTATCCATTGTACTGAATTTATTACAAATTCTATTATGACACAAATTGTTCAAATGGATAATAATGTCATATATTCAGCTGCGCTAGAATAAATATTTTGAAAATACATTCAAGTAATGATTGACTGATTTTCTCTTTGATGCGAAGCTGAGAAGGTAGTTTTTATTACTTATTGTGTAATAAACGAATGTAATGTTTAAGTAGAAAATATTTCATTTTATGAAATTTTAATTCTCAAATTAGTTAGTTTAGTGAAAAATAATTATTTTTAACTTTATGCATTATTTGTTTATTTTTAAACTTAAAAAAAATATATAAAGTTGTATATAAATCATTTTTGTATCATTATAACTTGGTAATGTCAAATTTGAAAAATAATAAGACTTATTAAGTTGGTCATAAATTGTGAACAGCTTTTTGACAGATGCAGTAAAGTTGAGCTAAATTCAATTAAAATTAAAAAATTGTAGATAATATTTTACAAATAAATAATATAGGAGTATATGTATATGATTTTTTTTATAACTTAAATAGCCTATTTAGAACAACCATAGTCTCTTTCAAGTAGGAAGTTTCTCAATGCATTCACTAATAACTATTTTGGTCAGATTGCTGGTTCTGATATGAATGGGTTATAGCTTTCATAGATTGAAATAAAATGTGGATAATTGTCAGATGTTTTCACAGTGACTGAAGATGAACTTTACAACGAGTCTGAAACGTCAACGGAAAACTGAAACATGGATACATCTGAAAATAATCCACATAAGGTTGTTAGTCCATTGCTGTCTGCTGAAAAGGAGTATGGTCGCCATCTGCTTCAATAAGTTATTAAAAAATGGTTTTATTTTATTATATTCAGAAGCAGATTTAAAGATAATGAGAGAAATGGATGTTAAGGATTACATTTTCAACACTGAAGTTATTCAAACATTTATAAATGAATAGTTAACATAATTTGTTATAATATGTATTATAAACTTTTAAGTATGTAAAAAACATCTACTTATTAATATACTATAGGTACATAAATAAATGGTACAATGATATGCATATAAATATATATTTATGTGCATATTATTGTTTAATTATAATAAATATTAGTTAATAAACATTAGGTTATATCATTGTTTTATAATATAATTATACTATAAAATTAATGGTTATATATTACATTATAACATAATTGACTCTTTGTATTTCATAAAACATCTTTATAAGTATATAAGTACTTAAACAATAATATAATAGTTATGTAATTTTGAGCAGTACACATAACATTATAGGACTTAGAGCACAGCTGAATTGTAACAATACTAATGTAATCCAATACTTGGATTATAAAATTGATTGTTTATCTTCATTAATTTGATTTTTGTTATTCATAATTATTGACGTTTCGATAAAATATTATGTTAGTTGTATTTTGTGTTTAGTTTGTATAGTAACCCAAATATGTGTACCTAATAAAATGTATGAACTTGAATTTAAGTATCATTTAAGATCTTGATCAAACATTTTGAGTAGTTGTTTTCAGGGTCTGCAGCTATCTAAGAAAATATTTTATAATTTATTATGTTAGATACATAGAAAAAAAGTAAAAAATTATGCTCCAGGCTATCTCCACTAAGCTTGATCGCCATCTTTAATTCTGCTGTTTGTTAAACTGTTACTAACAATACCGTTTCTGAACAATTTTTATAATCAATAATATATATTAATTCAAATAATTAAGAAGTTACCTATCTAAAACAAAATAGGCTTGTGTTGTATGGAACAAATATGTAGCCCTAAATATTATTTTCAGATTTTAAAAGCAACATTTGTTGTAATAGTTTAACTCGATTTTGTATGAAATAACAAATTATGATTTAACGCCTTCTGAACTCATTGTTCGCCAAATAGAGTTCAAGAACTGCCTAACCCACTCCTAACAGTATAAAAACAATTTCTACACAACTAAAAATATTAATTGTATGATATGTTGCATAAATAGGTAAATAGCACCAGGAGATTTAGGTATCACCGAGTGTTCATTTTTGGAAGATTCATCTTTAAAATGCCTAGTTGGTGGGTAGCAGTTAAATAGAATATCTGTCCTATTTAAATTTCATAGTAATCAAGCTTCATTTAAAGTTTAGTCGACACGATACTGTTTTCTTATTTAGAAAGATGTGGGATTATACATTATTCTCTTCAGGTTGCCGACTATAAGAGATCCTTATTTTTAATAAGAGCTGAATTATGTACCCTTAATGTTCACATTAATATATAAACATGAATTAGCACTATTTCCCTGATCTTGTTTATGAGAATATTCAGACTTAAAAGTTACAATTTTGTCGACTACTTGTGCTGTATTAAGAGTATAATTGAAGGGTGCGATAAGTAACAACCATTTATTAATATTTCCATTTTTTTTTATGTGTTCAAGACGACAAAAATAAAATACACTGTCCTATTATTATTTGTTACCACTATTTGGTAGGGGGTGGGGTTGGAAAGCGTTTTGTGCATTTTTGTAAGTAATAGTACATTCTCGAAAAAGCAATTTTGTTTTATAATTAGAAATGCTGGTTAATTAACCGGACCCTACAATTTTACTTTTTTGATATGGCTGAACTGTATAATTGTTAGTGAAGACATATAGGTACTTAAATATAAGATTTTTAGCATATTCTCGATCGTAACTAGTATTTTATCTGAAGTATTTAAGTCCAGTTACTACAAGAAATTTTTCAATAAATAAGTCCGAGTCCAAAACAGCAATATGAGCGGCACGTCCTATCAAAGAATTGGCCGTATTGGGTAGTGCGTGGTGTACATCATATCGAATAAAGGTGACGTCTGGTTTATTGATTATTGGACACAATATGTTGTTCGCCATTTCTCGATACGCTAGACCTACAAAACATACACACACGGTTGGTCTTCTATTGGTGTAATTAAATAAATAACAATAAAAGGTATTACCTGTAGATGTTGTGTCTTTAATGGCTGCTTTGCACAGTTCGATTCTGGCCGAATGTGGAGGTACGTATCTGTCTTGTGACGAACCGAACAAAAGAACGTGTTTGAAGTAGCTTAGATGACAATTTTGAGCTAGTTTGTATAAAAACGTTTGTCGAATGTCCGTAGCATCCTTTAACGACAGTTGCAACAGCGTACCGCTTTTTTTCACTTTTTGAATGAACCATAAGCCTAAAAATCATTGTATAGGTACAATATTAATTGTATTATACAGATAAAAATTATATACGTGAATTAAAAATAATATTTTATATAGTTTTGAAAAATATATTACATCCGTTATCAACTAGACTACTTTAAACGTAGTTGTATAAATATATAATGTTTTTGCTTTTATTATATGGGGGCGAGGACGTGAAAGGAGCCTTCTCATTAAATGTTCTTGACTGAAAACAGCTTTCTAACTCATACCATTCTTTTCAAATTCAGGCCTCCTCAACACAACTCAATAATTGTTAAAATTTTACCATACAGTTTTTGATAGCGTTAGTAATGTTGATGATAAACTAGAAAAAACTGTTAAGCAAACTTATAGTTAAATATATAGTAAAGATATAAAATCTACTTGAACCCTAAACCAAACAAATTATACACTTCTTGCGTACACGTGTTACGACAACGATGTTGTCATCTTCAGCGCTAACAACAGACTAGTTAGGGTTGATGATAAACCCTAACTAAAAATTACTGTAGAAGGGCATTTTCATTTACCGCTGAATTTGACTTAAACTAAAGAGTCCTTAAATATTCTAGTTTACTGAAATAATAATCATGTTGAAGAGTCATCGAAAATACCATTACATAATTATTCTGTTAAAAATCGTAAAAAAATAGCACCACTTAATTTTTAATGGTCGTTTCACCGTCTATGTATGCATATTTTTCTTACCCATATTCACTAAGCCGCTTGTATTATACAGTGTACCCAAGTGAGGACCGGATAACGATAGAAATGTGTGCAATTTGGGCAACAAGTGTTTCATTTGTGGTCGTGCAATTGCCGCTCGGATGATGATTGTACCCAAAGAGTGACCGACAAAGCTTATCCGAGTGGGGTAAGAAGCCAAATGATACGAAGCTATGTGACTGAGAATTTCATTAACTAGTCGGTCTGTCATGCGTTCGAAGTCAGAAAACGTATCACCCTGTAAAATCATTGAATGTGTTCATAATTTGTCAAATTTTATATGTAATTTTAAATACGTTAAAAAAATACACTACTTGGTTTCTTTCAGACATCAGAAATTCCAAGTGAGCTCCCGGTAAACCCAATTTGATGTATGTTTTCACTAGACGTAGATCAGCCGAATTTCCGTCAAGTCCGTGAACGCAGACTATTAGATGAACACCTTCCGGCGAAAACATACGCAAGTCCTCGCTGATATGAAAATACGGTAATGTTGAAGCTAATATGGGGGTATCGCTGCAAATATTATCGACATTTTTATATTATATTTTATTGTTTTTTTACTTAGTCGTATGTGCTACATCCAGTGGCGTCGTTAAAAGGGTGTCCTAAGGTTAAAACAACCCTCAATTTTATATACCATGTATGATTTCGATAAACTTTGGGGAGGGCAATAAAATATTAGGGTGTAGTATGTGAGAAGTGATAACCCTGTAATATGGAGTTTAATATTGGTAAGACACTCACCAAAAAAGTCAAAATAACGCCACTGACTACATCTTAAATACATACGCAACATTTTAGGATAGAGATTTCAAAATTAAAAATTAGTAAACTTTGCGATTCCCGCATGTGCTACCACTACTATCATTTACCTGTAGATCATTCCTGTAAAACTCAGCTGCTTTTTAAATTGTTCCTTGTACTTTTGAAACATGGAATTTTCTTCTACGCTATTATACGAATGAATTCGATCATCGGGGTTTCCGTCTTTATGTATGTCGTCCTCGTAGTATTCAGGCTCTGAGTTATTTCTTTTTGTTCTAAAGAAAAACAAATAGGTGCGAAAAGATTTTGTGTCGTGTATTGCTTAAACTGTACCTTAGTAATAAGTACATTTGAGTTATCTTGCACATACCTAGTTACGGGTTTCTTTAGGTTTTCAGAAAATCTCTGTTTCATTACTAACCGATGCTCGTCGTTCCATCGCGCTTCTTTGACTGTTTCATACATGTGATACAACAAATTATCTACAGAATCCGGAGGTGGTGCTGCATCTCTAAAAGGTTCGGGAGGAAGTGGTATATCTCGGAATTGTCTTGGAGGGGGTAGTCGCACTTCTTCATAAAGTTGATCATTTATAACAGGTTTAACCGTTTCAAATTTATTTTTTTTTCGCGCAACTACTTTTTTATTCAGAGGTGTCGCTCTTCTGTTGGGTGATTCTTCTAACAATTTCAGTAATCTTTTTTGAAGCTCCCTCCCCATTAACAAGTCTTGCTTTGTTCCATATGGGTCTTCCACTTTTTAAAATAACATTAAACACACTATTACGACGAAAAATAAAGTAGGTAATATTCAATACATATTAGCACAAAACATACCTTTTGGTGTGATTTCGGCAGAAAGCGAAGACACTGAAGACCGGCGACTGGATACCCATCCACTCTGTTCAGACGTAATATCACTATCAGACACACAAGGAAAACGAGTGACAATGGCAGACGCGAGATCCGGCATCGACTCGCTACTATTTGCCACACTTGGGATCGTCTTTTCGTTTACCACATCTGGTATCGAAGTCGTGCTATTTGTATACTTTATAGTCACAGGAGACGTGTTTGTATCTCCCAACTGCATCGGCACGCTGATACTCGTTCCTAACCTCGACGTTGGTGATTCTTCCCCAGACGAAGGAGAATTTTTTTGATTTGACGTCGTTTGAATTTTTTCTCTTCTGTTCATCGATCGGTAATTCCGTTTTTCGTTTTTTCTCAATGGCAGAGAAGCGTAACCATTCATTTGAACTCTGAACTCTGACGGTTTAACGTTTTTTCTTTCGCGACGAGGTAACGTCATATTCTCATGTCGTAAAATATTTGGTGTTGCTTTATGTACTAATTTCTTAGATTGTAGTGACCGTTCAACCGGACTTATGTTATTATTGGGTTCAAATGTTCTTGAAAAACTTAAAGGTAACGATAGCATTGGTGTTTCCATCACTGTTGATCTCAATAATTGGTCTAACGATTTACTGTGTCTTGTTTTAATTCGAGAGTTATCCGGTTTTTGTTCGCCATACGATCCTGTTAACAAAACGTTTTGAAAATTTATCCTATCACTTTTCATACTACAGAGTGTGCTAAATTGAAACATTTAAGTCAAAATAAGAAAATAATAGATAAATAAATTACTGGAAGTTGGAACTAGAAGACTAATTTACAAAAGTGGGTTACGTAAAAGCAATAAGATAATTAGATAAGGTAAACTTGATATGTGTGTGGAGATTGTAGATCGGAAAGACTCAGGATTCAGGCAAATAAGATAAAGATAAAGCTTAAAACGACCCAGATTATATTTTAGACAAAGGTAATGATTTTGAAAGAAGCGACGAAATAAAAAATCGGATAGTATGATTATTGGGTTATGTCTAAATACTAGTAGAGGTTGACAAATAAAGAAGAATTGGAATGTTTAATTACTTTCTATGTATTCAATAAGGGGAAAATACTACACTTAATATTTTTAAAAACGTGTGTGTTATATAACTATTCATTATACTATTCATATAACACGCGCATTTACCTTGTTTTTTTACTAATTTCCCCGTCGATGCCAATTGGCTGCATCTTCTCGACTCCAATATTGCTGCAATACCACAACTACAGTCTTCATTAAATAACAGTGTAGATCGTATTGCGTTCATTTGAGCATCGCAGACATTTATAAAAGAGTCTTAATAACAAAAATAAAAACATATAAAACATGTATGTTTGTATCCTTCAATTACTAATTACCACTATCTATACGTCTACTGATAGATCCTGGTTTTGTGTACTGATCTTCGAATATTACTGGCAAAGTGATCGGATCTCCATCTGTAGCAGAACAATGAACCGGCAAAGGAGGTAAAGAAGCTAAATATCTTGACCTTCTAGCCGCTTCGGAGACTGCCCGATAGTGTTGATAGTTGTTGTGATCGTCATAACATCCCGTTGCACTTTGTCTTGGATTTTCTAATACGAAAAATGCTTCGGCGAATCTCCTAACCTACCAATGACAGGTGAAAAGTTGATTACAATTCATTAATATTCCGACTTTCAATTAAACAATAAGTTAGGTACTCGGAGTTGATGGTGTTTTTTTGAAAGATGTTGGTTGATAGCTTGTTTTTTTGTAAAATTATCCAGAAAATGGTGCCAAAGCAATATATTTTGAGCACATAATTGAGCTATGCTACTGTTCGCTAAAGCTAGAAATTCGTCTTCGTCTAGGATCTAAAACAAACCTCATGTATGGTTTACATTTTGGATTGGGAAAATCAATTAAACATAAAATGGTAAATTTATTAACTTGCCTTATTAGTTTGTGGGATTATAACGGCATTTTTGAGATCAGCCGGTGTTTCAACTTGTTGCCATACTGGCATTATCCTATTATATTGAGCAATTGTGGAATGAAGGTTGTCGAAAGCCTCCGACAACAACGAGCATACCTCGCGGTGTATAAGACGAGCGTTAAGCATTCGGCTGACATGGTTCGCGTTGGTATTACTACCAGAACTTCCAACACATTTTGTAGTTCCATTTTGTTGACCATTCTGTAAAAAAAAAAATGAAGTGGAATAATTCCGCATGTGGTTGTAAACTAAGAGGCTTATAATTTATTTACCGCACTGCCAAAAAATATCGATTCTATAGAATGCGATGGTCTAAAGTTAAATCGATTTGTATTATTAGCCAACCACGTTTTACTAGTTCTCGGAGCGCTGTTGGACAAAATAATAACAAACTTGTTATATTTGAAAACACTATTAACATTAAAAAAAAAAATTGTTTTACCAGCTCTGCATGTAACTCAATATGCTTTTCCTAAAATTAAAACAGATAAATCGGGATTAAAATAAAATATATCAAGCAAATTAAAACGCTCTCTTTACTTTATATACGGTTGATGCAAAGCAACTAGATTTGCGTGAATGGTTAATGTTACAGCTGATAAATGGAAGTAGTCAAATAACACTGGTAAATGGTAGTGCAACCCTCGAGATGGACAAACGTGCAACTGTAGACTCCTAGTGGAAACACAGCACATGGAGCCGTTTTCTCCGAACCATAATTCAACATTTAAAATAAACCCTGCTCGTTCGAGGCTATCTTGGAGCTGTTAAAACGTTGAAAATAATCTTATAAATAAATATCAATAATAACACAAGTAAAATAATGTTACTTTGTGACTGTCCACGAGTACATGAGCTTTAAACAAAATAATATCGTCAAGCAGGATTTCTTCGTGTCTGTAAAGTATTCGAAAAGTTTTGCTAACTCCTAGATCTTCGCAATTTTCCACATAGTAAAGTTGAGGATTTTTTTGATTCTCGTGTCCTGTAAATTTGAGTTATTGAATGACACATGAAAAAGTGGTATAAGGTTTTCATTGTTGTCTTAAATAAAACGTAACGCATTTATAGAAACACTATACCTAAGGGACATAGATCGTTTTCTGTTTTAACGATTTTAATCAAAACCGCGATGTACTCCGTTCGCCGATAATATAACGTACTCGCGTTTTTGATTCATTAGTTAATAAAACGAGTGGCCGATTGGGTAAGGCGTCAGTGTGTTTAGCGCCCACTGTCGCCGGTTCGACACTTGATCACGGGCACTCCATTTGCCACAAGCCCGCTTCTTTACGGGAAAGAAATCGTCTAGTAAAAAGGAGCCACCACTCCCCTAATACAACGACCCCCCAACCCGGGCAGCAAATTCGTTTAGAAACCACCATCTCATGATGGCAGCGCTGGGTCTACAAGGGTCATTAAGCTTACACGATGATGATGAACAGCTATATTCTATAACAATTATTGATACCTAACTTAACTTGTTTAGATAAAATTATTAATTAAAATATATTATGTATAATACGTTGATACTTACTTTGTTGGTGCTTTTTCAAACTAACTTCTACTTGAACAGATAGCTTAGGAGAGACTTTGAGCTCGGTTCGTATGCGATATAATCTAAAAATAAATAGCATTATATGATGAAATAGTGTTTTAAAACTACTTAGCTGTGCATACGGCTTCATCCGTCTGTCTGCCATTGACCTTACATGGCTATATTTAAACTTAGCTTAACATATTTTTAAACAGTACTAGATGCTAACAGGGGAAAGAATACTACTAAATAATATTTTTTTTACAAAGGACAGATTTACCTTCTTCTTCATTGGCATTTAGCATAATATGTTTATACTTAATTCATACCTAACTAATAAGTAATAACATACACTGTTACTGATCATAGCTATCAGTACAAATACATATTGTTATTTATATTTTAAAAAAGGGGCAAATTTTAAAGGGGCAGCGATGAAACCACAATCCCCTTTCCCCTCAATCAACCCGATGGGGTATTAAAAAAAATGTGTTTACGCATTTATTAAAATTATTATAATTTCAGTGGAATTTTAAAGATCATCAATATTTATTGAAAACTGAATAACAAATAATGAAAAAATGTATTATTGTAATATAATTATTCCACACTTTTTAAGTATACCCTTTAAAATGCTTTTAATATTCGCACTCTCGGCCTTTGGAATTTCAAACCCTTTGGATACGATGCTGAAACTGATGTTTTTTACTTTATTAATATAAGTTATCTTTTAGTAGAACAGGAAATTAAAAACAGACGCAAACCCGAAACAATTAGTTACAATCGTTCTCCAATTACTTACAGTTTCGTGTAAAACATTATTCAAAAGTAACCTAATAATTGACATTTGCTATACTATATATACCATCCCCCACGCATCTTTTGGGTTTATACTAAAGTTTATATTGAACAACTTTAATAAATTTTAAGAAAATATTTTTTCAAATTTTTTTGAAGGAATTTTTTCTATTAAAAGTGAAAAATACACAACTTGTTTATTATTATTATTTTTAATAAAATATACCTACGCCCTTGTCAACGCATAGAGAAGAATTTGCCGATTTTCATCATTTCCGTCACTAATAATTTAATTTAATTATTTAGGTACTTATAACTTATAAGCTAAGTCATAATATCTTTTACAGTTAAGTTATCTTTTTCTCAAAAAGCTATGAAACTAATTCCTGTATACATTTTTGGCCTACATTACCAAAAAGTACAACGAGAGGCTATTTTTTAGAAAAATGTTAATAATTGAGGCTGTAATAATTTTATGTTACAGGTTAATATCAATAAAAAATCCTCACGATTTTGCTAATAAGTATGGTACATAGACTACATAGACTAAATAGTTTTAATTTAAAAAAAAATTTGTACACAAATTAATCCTATACGTAAAAATCTTAAAAATATAAACTATATTTAATGTATAATTTATTCTACTTACCCTCGTTGAAATAGATCTATGTTGTAAAATTTGCAGTATTCAATAGCGAATTCTACGGTTGCTTGCAGTTCACTCATATTAGCGCGATATTTGCTGTTTTCAATTTCATTTCATAGAATTCGAGTGGGGTCAATTTACTTAAATGAGTATTCCAGACGTACGTTTAGGCGTGCCCAAATTACTGGTATCTTAAAGGCAGTATATATAACGTTTTGTTTTAAGAGCGAAGTGTAAACGTGTCCGGCCACTTGATACATCTAAAAAATATAACGTAGGTATAATATGTATTTTAATAGTTTTAAAAACATTCATGTAAACTTATGAAACTCTAAATGTAAATAAAAAAAAAACAACAATTGTTATTTAAATAAAAAATGCCCAAGTTTAGAGATGACCAAAATATACTGATAAAGTACAAAGCCTATACTTGTATCGTGTAAAACTAGTTGGATTTCAATCAGTTACTAAGCTCTAACTGCGATTAGCAGTAAATATTCACATCCTTTGACTTTTATCATTTACGAACTATGCGAGACTCTAGGCGTTTTCCAAATTAGGAATTCGAATTAATGAATCACCTTTTACTTTTTAGTGGCTCCGCCAAATACAATATTGAGTATTTTATAACTAGGCTGGGCCTGGTACAAGCATTCAATTATTATGATATCGATACGATAAAATGTTGATTAATCGCACTTACCTTTGTGATAAGCTGAGCGTTTCGTCGAAACGGCCGTCATACGCGCAACTACTGTAATACGGTCCGCACTAAATCGAAACTAAACAGACATTTTAAATTTTCATTTTTCCGCATCGCACCCACAACGTTAATAAGTTATCTCTTTCTCAAGAGTAATTTTAAGAACAAAAAAAACTTCGTAATCGCTTTAAACGCCAGGCGAAACTTGTACTCGTCCAACGTGCGTTTGACCCATATTCTTCCCGGTCAGACCACCGATTATGCACTCGAACGCTAGGACCGATCACTGCGAACAGGGACTGCCGTCAGGTGGCGCTCGAGGGACAAGTGTATATTTATTTTCAATGGGAGATGTGTTACCCTGACAACACACGGCAAGGCAATAACCGTGGTGCCGGGGAGCTTTCTGTTGTTTAGTACGGGAAAAAAGCTCGCTTTGCCGATCAAACATCAGCTACGTCGTAGTATTTTCATAATCTACATTCTACAATCGTTATATATATTATTTTCATCTCGTACCCTTAAGACGAGTACAGCTGTTACATATGCATTGGGTAACATTTACAGTGGTTTTACACGTGCAATCCACTTTTCTTGAAAACAACACACGACGTATAACACGCACTCGTTTTTCCTATTGTTTGATTTCTTCAGTTTATCTTCTCTTGGAAATTATTACTTCGTTGATGTGTATCTCACACAGATTAGGCTATTTGCACTGCTTTATCGAAAGTGGCATTAGATCCTTGTTGTAATCTCTCTTTAATATTAATGTCCTTCATTCCGCGTACAAAATGACAATGTAGTCGCACAGATTGGGGTCGGACATATTATATGGTTATTTAACAATGTAATAAGTTTATCAAATTGTATTGACTTTGGTTGCTCAAGTGTTGTAAGATCTGTTAATAGTTAAAAATATTTTTGGTAGCAGCTAATGATTACCTAGCTGTTACGTCATCTTTTTCCGTTAGGTTATTTAGTTAAATTAGTTTTCTAATATTTGTAAGCATGTGTTCAGTGGCGTACTTCAATCTTGCTCTGGGGGAGGGGCTTAAAAAAATAATACTACCTAACCAGATGTCCCTCCCAGATACTACCTCCCACAAAAAAAGAATTATCAATTAAGTGATTTGGTGGAATATTTTTCCGAAAAAAAACTCGATAGTTCGATTTCAAGAAATAACGAAATTTCTGGACTTAAAATTCCGAAGATATTTTAATTAGGTGGCCGCGATTCCGCCCACCTTCCCCTAATTTAAAAATACAAAATTTTACACATTTTTACTCCCTGATTTTAAATGCAATTCGGTAACTATTTTACCCATCTCTGATAATATATTGATAAATACAAATTAATAATCACAATAGTTATTATTGTGTATTTCCAGCATAGTCAACGAGCTATATACCCTTATATACTGGAATAAAATAAATTTATATAGAAACACTAGTCTTTTAAAGTTAGCAATAACTCATTATAGTTAAATATTTGTAGGTATAACAATGGTTAGTTTAAACGTTTACTGCAAAACTTAGTGTTAACGGGAATAAAAAAAAAAGTGTAAAAAACGAGTTGAAGACTAAATTAGTAGAAATTCGTAAATCGAAGCGTGTGACTACTGACTATGTGTTATATTATCGACACAAAATAAAATTACAAAAATAAAAAAACAATGTATTTTGAAAAAAAATGTGTTCTATATTAACTGAAAATGTATAGAAGATAAATCATGTGACCCGACGTATGTATTATGGCCAAAATAAGACGATCAGTATTCAGTAGTAATGAAAGTAAAAGAATAAGAGAAGATATAAAAATTAACTGTTTCGAATTTTGAAATTTAGATTTTTGATATAGGGCTATGCTTACAATTGTAATTGTGTATCGTCGGATTTTCAGATGTCTGTTTTAAGCAATTAAAGCCTGAGATAAGTATTACAAATTATAGAAGCTAACCTACCGAGTATAGTTCAGTTTATAACGCAGATTGCACGAGGAACTTGGGTATTATATCATTAAGACTTTCAAGGCAAACGGCTTTTGACTTATGTGAAGGATTCGCTTTTCGTATAGTATGATTCTATGAACAGTAGAAATTGTACCTCTTGGAAACGAATAGCCAATCCCTACCAATGACAAAATTTAATTTAAAAAAAATATGGAAAATAACAGATTTTTTTTGCGAAAAGTTTTACTTTGCGTTAATGGGGAACTAAATTGCGTACGCGGTATCAGACTGGAGACAATATGTTATAATTTTTCATACCTAATAATCAAAATTATATATGAAGAAAAGAACTTCTATGTATCATTATATGAAGCATAGTCCTCGACAATGCATAGGCTAGAGGAAAAATGGAGGCTTTCGAATTTTGGCGCAGAACATTTCCTACTAAAAGAAGATTGTACCGAAGAACTGTAAAAAAAAAATCAGTAGATATTGTAATAGTAGACTGTACGCTGGAAATGACGATGACAATAATAATACGGTCACTGTTTATATTTAAATTTCAATCATTTTTTCAATTTTAAAACATCTGCCAACGCCTAGATCAAACAAGATAATATGTTATATCACTGTTAATTATTTTATAGATGTAGTGTGGTGAGAGTCTTCAGAGAACTTATACATTTTGTAAATAAAAAAAACATAAGTAGACATTGGTACGTCCATAGTTTTATATGTTTCTGAGACATTGTCATTTAGATAGACAGAGGCAAGCAGATTAGGTGTATTTGAGAGGAAAAATCTGAGAGGAATATATGTGTCGACACCCAAACAGGAGTACGTAGAAAAAGGAATTATATAAGCTATTCAAATAAGTTTTTTCAAAGGCCGGATTTCTAAAAGAAATTTCAAAGAAAAGACTCGTGTAGGCCGGTCATGCGTATAGAAAACGAGGTTTTTTATTAAGGGCAAAAATCGAGTAAAAGATCACCGGTAAGCGGCCTTTGGGAAGACTACGTCTTCGATGGAAAGATTGTTTTAAACATGATGTAAAAAAAGTCGAACCCGATTTGCAGTGGAGGATAGTAATAGAGATTATCATAATAAGTAACACTAATAATAATATTAGACGTTAATAATAATTTTATAAAAAAGTAATAACAGTAATAATTTTAATTTACGTTACATTATACATACCCCATTCAGATGATCAGCAAACACATTATGTGTCTCTTCTATTCATCCAACATCCATTATTCATCGTCTAGTTTCTGGTTTCAATTAAGTAGGTAATTAAAAAAAAGTTTGATAAACTTCCAATCGCGTCTTTTCATGTTAAAAACTAACAACTTTTCAAAACTAAAACAAAACGTTATTTTATCTCCGATTGTGCTACTAAAATAACAATTAATAATGTACTTAGCAACCGTCAACAAATCAAATGATTTATTTATAATATTTGCGATAGGTCGTTAAGGCCTTGCATTATATTATAGACAATATTAAAACGGTTATTATGCAATTCTAAAACACAAATTGTAAATTAAATTTGAAGTATATTGTATTTTAATATGACTTTGAACATATTTATTGAAAAAGTGGATTAGCAAATTTTTGCGAATTATGACTATTAGACGACATTTGTTTGTACATGATTTCGTTTTATTATTATACGATTACGAATGTTTAATTTATTGAATTAATAACTTATATGTGTCAGTGGAGTAATAAAGTATATTCTAAACAGGTTACACTCATAATATGTTGAACGTTTAATTTTCTTTTTTAAAAGGTTCTAGGCGTTAGCCTTGTAGGAAAAACTGACTTTACTGCATCACTCGAGTGCTGAGCGGACATAGTTTCTTTCAGAATAGCTACTAGCTAGTAACGCCTCATCGACTTCCTCCGTCTTTGTTGTCCTTATTATAATTCAATAGATTTTTGTTATACTTGATGATTACGTGCATTAATTATACATTAAAGTTCTGTGTTGTATATAGTATGATTTGACTATTTTAGCACAGTTTTTTTCCTAAACTTAAAAATGAATAACGTTATTAGATAACATATGTATCAAACTAAGGTACATATTAACATTTTGAATGACCAACCAAAACAATGACATGGTAGAAAACGACACTTGCCTTCCTCATTCTCGGATGAATGTGAGCCACCCCTTATCGTGTAGGCATCTCCAAAATTAAAAAAACGAATGTGTTATAATCATGACAAATTAATTAAGTTTCAGCTTATAATGCGTAGTCGAATACCAAATATTTATTATTTTTAAGTTATTTCAAAGAAATATTTGCGTATAATCTGTATAATAATTGACAGTAATTAAACTCAATATACATTTATAAGTTAAGTAGTTCATGTAACAATGTGATACGGCAATGCAAGTTTAGCTAATGTTGTCCATCTTCATAGATGGACAAAATTCTTCAGAACTGCTAGTTATTCATATAAATAGAAGTTTTTTTTAATTTTTTTTTTTACACTAAATCATTAATATCAACAAAATAGTTGTATCTTACTTTTACAACTTTTGAAATTATTCTGATTTTCTAATTTTTTCAACATTTCAAAAAAGAAAAATCTAGATGCGACCATTTTCATTTGAGGTATCGAAGTGTAGATTCATTGATAGTATGAATTTATATATATATATATATATATATATATATGTATTTTTTTTATGTATAATTTATGTAAGGTTCATTAAAAAAACACGAAACAACTCATTAAAGTATTGAACATGAAAATTAAAATTTAATCAACATTATTAACAACGATTAACAATTAATAAGAGTTGAATATTATCATCACTATCACCGTTGTGTTATTAAAATATAAAATAAATATTAGATACATCAGCTGTCGTATGGCTCAAGAAGGGTCAATATCGCTTTTTGACCAATATGATTTATAATATTTTGAACATTGATTTCCTTTATTCATAAGCATAACACCGTTTGACCGTCATTAACTGAATGTAGCTCGAAGTAACAATTAACATTGACTCTTCTTGACCCAAATCACATTTACAGTTTTATAATATATCCAATATGTATTTCAATATGTTTTTATAAGTATACATTTTTTTAACACTATTATAATGCGAACTGAAAAATAAGTTAATAGTAATCTTACATTAGTTTGATTAAGAAATTCTAAAACCGTGTTATAAACTATAAGTAAGAACCATGACCAGAAAAATACTAATAAAATGTGCTAATTTATGGAAAAATAGCAGTATAATATCGCATTCGGCACTGTCAAATGTAATTTTAGAGATAGGCAAACAGCGATGAAGCTCCGACCTAACTGCATTGCTAAATTATCGGTTAAAATATACAAAAATAAACAAGATGCATATTATTTCTACTTAAATCCGTATATAATATTAATATTCCAGTCTGTGTAACGAGTTATAATAATACAGTAGATAGAAAAAATGATAGTAAATATTACTATTAATTTATATAATATATATAACAAGTACACGTACTACGTACGAAAAAAACAATATAATAAATTGTAAAATATTAAATACACGATGTCCCACGGTTAGTAAACACTCACTGTAATAGTTCTCTCAAGACTCAGATATATAATGATTTATACATTTAAAAACGTTTCAAAAAAAAATGTATATACGTTACTAAAAATGAAAAATGCAAATGAAACAAGAGAATGCCATTTCGTCCCTTATAAACATTTGCTAACGTTTTCAATCGCTAGTTTAAAATAATATAGGTACTTTTATATTTACCAATATAAATATCTCTAAAATCGTAATAGTTGGGATTTACCGTTTTCTTGAGGTAACACTGTTCCATTACTTATTTATTTTAAAATGTATCAGTTCATAAAATATATCTTTATTAAAATTATTGTTTGTGAAATTTTATCGTAGATAGAAAATCATAATTTGAAAATATACAAGTTAAAGTCATTGATAGTCTAGAAATGTATAGATTACTCAAAAGTTACCGGAAACTAGAATATATAGTTCAATGGGCGCTATGCTATAAGATATCTATTGTTTTCCATGGTGTAATTTACCACGGATTTTTTTGAAAGTGATGCTGCTAAAAAAAAAGTACAGTCGGAACGCGTTAAAATCTTTTTTTATCTAAGAGAGCTACAACAGGAATCTATCAATTCACGACGTGGGACACCCTGTTGTCCTGTTAGCCGGAGAGATCACTCTTCGGTTTCTTCTTGACCGATGTCGATTGTCTGAACTGTGCTGCTGTCTTCGGGCAGCAACCTTAGTTTTTCGGGTTCTGCGTCTGGCATTATGATGCACATGAACGTTTTGCCAGAATGTTTGTCACGCGGATAAACTGTGACGGGTGTGAACGACAAGGCGTTCGGCCCTTCAACGTACTCCAAAAGTTTCTGGTAAACGTCAGGGAAATGTTGACGAAGCTCGACACCCCTTTGCCGCAGATGCCTTTGTATGTTGGTGAAGCAAACCTGACGCGACTTGTGGACACCGCGCTTGCGTCCCGGCAACGAGGTCAAGATAAGCGTGTCCGGGCCGCTGATGTCTGCAGCGGAATTACGTCGGCTAGGGCCGTCGCCGCCGTAGTTGACAGTGCGTAGGTTTTTGCTCAGTCGGAGCTTAACGAATTTATAGACTACGTGTCGCTCCCACTGCACGGGCCCGGGCCCGGGCACCTCGCTTTGCACGCACACTGACACGTACAGCACAAACCGCGTGTCAGGGTTATACGTTTTGCACAGCTGCTCGAGCCGATCCAGTTCTGGGTCGATTTCCGTCCACTTGGCATATACCGGTTCGCACTGCTGATTGCCGCCGTCCCGCACGAACTTGCCGGCCAGTTCTATGCCGGAAAAATGGCATTTTACAGCCCCGCGCCCATGTGAAAGAAAACCGCGTCGCGCTATAGTCGATAGTCGGTCCAAGCACGCCTCATTGCCTTTGACCGCGTCTACTACCGACTGGCAAAGCGTGGCCGTACGCCTGTTCAGACATATCTTCCGGTGGTCCTGCCAATGGGCGCGACGGCATCGCCGCGAACAGTACATATGGTTGCAGTTGTGGCACGTCTTAAACGTACGCCGTGCCTCGGCTACCGTCGCAGAACGCTGGCACTCAGAGTTCCGGCAGCGGATAGTGCCTGGCTCGTAAGCGACGCAATTCAGATCTTCACTCGAGCGCCCGGGCCGTTGTTGCTGTGCGTTATCTGAAACTATCAACCGCGTATTGTATTAGTACAATCCAGTTACAATGGTATGACCGACTACAAATGCAATCGAATATTCTGTAGGCCATAAAGCTACTCAGCGGCCTGCGGCTCCGAAATTTTAGTTGGCTAATTTTTTTAGTCGAATTTATTGGGTCCTACTAAAGACGAAGAATTTGCGGCTAAGGGGTGTGGGGTTTATTAAATAAGTACTAACATTTTTTTTCTAGAGTCTTGACTCTACGCCTACGTACAAAATTATATAATTTGGCCTAGTTTTAAAGAAATGTGTATACAGTTTTGCCTATAAAATTATTCATTTAATTGTTCTAAGGATCATTCATAGTTCAAAAATCACATGGTAAAAGATTCGTTTAATAATTTATTGGTGGACGATCGTGCTATTCGGCAAAGTTGATGAGTGTAAATGTGTTCGAAAGCAAGAAGATCAGATCAGGGCATATCCATCAGTGCCGGATTTAAAGATGTAGAAGCAGGGCCTGATAAATACTTCTCCAAACCTTTTTCTCTATTTACTATTTTATTACCACTACTAGGTCCCTTAAAAGTCAATAATGCCGAATATTATGAAACGGTAGCGTTAACATAATGTTAAATTTTTACCTTCCCAGCTGATCCATTTATGTCACCCATACCACATTTAAATTTGAACCCCTATTTTTTTAGCCACTCATAAAGTATATTAAAAAAACATCTATGGGTTTTTCTATATTTATTTTCTTCTTGGCCTAATTTATATAGCTGTTTCTTCGTATAAAAATAGAAATCGTTCGACTTTACACCTCTCCATAAACGAGACACTTTATAGTTATTTTGCCCTCATAAACTGGATATTAGCCTCATGTAATAACTATAAACTAATAATGATATTTTTCACACAGCTAGTTATATTATTACTATTAGGAATAGCCTTCTAACGTTCAAACTTGTGTGGTTTTAAACTGTATTCAAACTGATTAATTTTTTAACTTAGAAGTTGTACATAATATTTTAATATATTTTTATTCTGCGTATTATTTTATTTTTTTATTGTACTGTGGTTGTGCTACTTAGGCTCCCTTTAGTATTAAGTTTAATTGATTAAACCATTTTGAATTCATTTTATATTATTTATTGTATTTTGTTTACGTGTGTGATTTTTGAGCGCCCTCGCGCAGTGTTAGGTACCTCTAGAGTAAACTGCAAAACTATAGTCTAGACTTAAAGTTCAATTAGAGCGGCTAATCCTCCAGCCAATTGTAAAAGGGTGTTAGCGACCATAACAAATTAATATGCATAATATTATATAGTGTTGTACACAAATGACAAAAATAATGTTTGCCTCAACGCATACAGCTTTTCCTTAAATCTGGATCTACATTGAACAAAAAATAAATAGATAATATGGTAGCTCTTCAATACTTTGCGGGAAGGCCCCTAAATCGGGGTTTGACTGCCATTCTTGAGAGCCACATCCCTGTAAGCCGGGACTGTATGGCTAGGCCTCCCACTACTGTAGTTAGAGTGGAGAGGGGAGGGAGGGTTGTTAGCATTGAAATAGCTAGACTAAAATGTAGAATCTAATTTGAGCGCTACCGAGCCAAAAAAAAAATTAAATAATTATATTAAAAACTAATCTAGACGACGAAATCACATACATACAAAAAAAAAAAAAAACATAACTCTACGATGCATTAACATAATTATACTTTTAACTAATACTGTAATCGCAAGTATTTCGCACGGCGTTAAATGATATTATCCACGCGTTACATAAGCAGCAGCATGACCTATGATCATATTATTACAGCCGTCGAGTAATGTAATATGTTTTATGTAAAGAAACGTTTATCGAAATATTAGCTTAGCGGACCGTCTGACATAGGCGCTGATGTGTATTTCTCAGTATAGCATAGACTTACATGTCGGACATGCCCGAAGCAGCGTAGGGCTGACTTCGGTTCATCGTGTTGCCGCTGCTTCGACGCCGATGGTATCTAAACGTGTTGTTGTTGTTGATATTGTTAGGTACTTGCAGACCTAACAACGAGTTAAGCACGTCTTCCATCGTGGTCGAACCGGGGCTCGGCCGATCTGCAATATTTTATAATTTGTGCTCAAAAAAATAGTGAATTCTCAACCATTTTAATTATACGGTATATGGTGTCATTTGCCGAGAACTATAAAATGTTATGAAAATAAGAAGAAGAAAAAGTTTAATAAGAAATTAAGCTTATCGTTACACAGCGGCGCGGATGAAAAACAACAATGAATAAATAGACATCATAAAATAATGCGTACAGCGTAAAAGTATACAAATGTCGCAATAATATATAGTGAAATGGTAAAATAAAAATGAAGTAAAAGTAACAATAACAATAACAATTAACAGTACTATATAATATATTATAATGCGATTTAGTATGTATGTTGAGAAAACACATGCACGGAGTGGCACACTAAGAGAGATATGGCAGACTGTATAACACGTCATACAAATATGTTGTATTCAAAGGCCTAACCTTGATTTGAGCAAAATCGCCATGGTAATTTATCCTAAATCGAATTTGGGCATTATTTCAATTTTTTTCTTAATAAAAGTTCAAATAGTTAATAAAAAAAAACTAATATTAAATGAAATTGTATTTTTTTTCAACAAATTTTAACAAAAATAAATCATTCCTCCAAATGGTAGTTGTTTAAAAAAAAATAAGAAAACATTTTTTTCTACTTTAATTTTGGTGAAAACTGCACTTAAAAAGTTGTTCTTTAAGAAAACTAATCGATCGATAAAAAAATGTATTCCCAATAAAGCATCCTCAAACTGTCCTAATAAGTATATAAAACAAATGTAGCTCTAAACTGTTTTTGTAAAAAAAATTGTCTATACCGAATGCCTTAAGCGGTAGTTTATGAAACGTTGTCTTAAAAATTAAATATATGTAACTTTTATTTCAAAATTGTAAAAAAAATATATTATTTTATTAATTATTTTTTTCATCTCATATTTTAGTGACCTAGGTACTTTAGTTTAAATACTTTAATGTTTTTTAAAAATGAGATTTAAACCATAAAATATTATTTAAAATTTGCACTGTCACTGCAGTCTGCAATATCACATAACTACAAAAATGCAAAGTATCCAGGAGAAACAAAAAAACGTATTAAAAATACAATTTTGCTCTCGTCTGAGTTATACAAAACTCACTTATATTTTTTTGGTTTTTATTATTTAAAATACAAAAGTAAATTTAAAAATTCAACGTTTTATTGCATCTTAGCCTTGAGTAAGCTTGTATTGTTTTTTTACACATAAAAATGATAAATAAAGTACATGTATTAATATATTATACAACACAATATTGTCTTAAATTTTTGGAAAATGGGGAAACAAACAAGTGTATTATGGTTTATAAAAAAATAAAATAATTTAACAACAATATGTTGATAATGATGTAAATAAATATTAACAACAATAATACATTTGGTGACAAAATAAGTATACATTTAAATTATACTATATAACTATTAAATTTGCAACTATATAATCGCATCAATAAATAAATACACAATTTATAATAACGAAATTTATAATAAATTCTAATTTTAACCATTTTATTAGTAAAATAATATGAATAAAATATATTAAATTCAAACCAATTAAGTATACTTAAATAACATATTATTAAAACAATTTATTTCATAGTCTTGATAATTAATTAATAAAGAAGAATAGTTAACGCTTAAGTTTTAATGTTATATTATTAATTTAAATAAACAAATTATTGAAACAAGCAAATTTAGTTTTAATAAAAACTTTAATATTAATATATATATATTTGTATGTTTATTTTATTTATTTATCTTAAAGTAAATCGAGTTTCTTTGATCAAATTTGACTTATAAACTTAAATATAACACCACAAATTGTTGGAAATAAGAATTAAGTGTTATACTTTTAATTACCTAGTTACTCCAAATAGCTACTTTGACTGGAGTATAACATAATACAATTTCATAAAAAAATCTTTAAAACACATTAATGTCATATTTATAATATTGTACATTAAATATAACATTATCATTGCAAGAGCACAATTTGTTTATTTTAATTTTAATGAATACAAATTTTATAACAATTATTATAATATGATCATGTATTGTTATAATGTAAAGTAAGAACACTAGTTATTATAATTTAACTTGATGTAATAAAATAACGTTTAAAAATTAATATAATATTGGGTTCACTTAATATAAAAATATTTACCGAAGAAATTGAGTTTATTAAAATTGATTATAAGAAAATATTTAATGGTAGAAAAAAATAATAAATTTTTCTGAACGAAATAATTAAAGATATGTGACAGTAAACAAATGTGTTTATCGGTACTTAGCAGAGGCAGAAACTGCAAATTCCAATGAAATTAGTAATTTCAAATTACACAACCGAACATTTAACAAGTTGAAATAATAGTTAATTGCTATTGTCAGTAATAATGTATGCAACATTTTATTGTAAATTTTGGAATGTAAATCCAAAAGTTTGGTTTTTAAGAAAAGCAACAGTATTCAACTTTCAAACATATTTTTGTAAATGAATCACAGTTTATGTTGAATGCAGTATATTTTATATTAGTTTCTTTCAGTTAGCGAATCTTATACGTATAATATTGGTTTTATCTTAAACAAAAAATATAAAACCGTAATAAGTAGAATATATGCGTCATTATAGTAAGTTTAATATTAAATGTATACTTAACTTGTTTCTTTCCTTTCAAGAACGTCAACATTTTAATATTTTATGTCGTATAGATGATTTTAATAATAAATCAACTAATACTTTCTTTCTTATTTAAAGAATAGTATTAACAAAAAATAAAATTCACATTTCAAATGCCCAAGTAATTAACTCAGATATTGAAATCATCTATTTTTATCATTTGTATTAACCTATAGAGCCAATTTAACATTTTAATAATGCTAAGAAAATTAAACATACAAAAAATATTCACAGTACTTGTCATGCTCTATGTTTTACATACAAAAAAAAAAAAAAAAAATAATAATAATAATAAAAATAATAATGAAAATAATTACTTTTCTAAAGTTTCAAACTTTGCTTAAGTGTGATATACATAAAAAATAATAAGAAACATTTAACAACTAAATTGGCTTAAACAAAAAACGAAAACGAAAGTTACAAAATAAATAAAATCTAAAAGGTAGTCCAACATAAGCTGTCAAGTGCTGATGCATTTTTTCAGCTTCTACATTGCAGGCAGTGTCCGATTTTTGTACTTGGCAGCAAGCCGTGTCTACGTATAATCACACTCACCATTGACCCATCCACTTGCTTTTTGGGTCGGCTTGGTGGGTACAGTCGTCTTATATGGTTGCGGTGGTGTCCTATTTTCTGATGGAGGTGTATCCCTAGTTAGACTCGGTCTTTTGTTACCCACAAATGAGCTCTCTAGCCAACATAAACGACCTGTGCTGCCTCTGAGAGATGGACATCTATAAAATTGAAAACAAATGGTCATCAAAGTTTTATCACACAAGTAAATAAGTTTGAACGGTGACTAATAATTACCGCGAAGAGGTGTCATGGTAGTCTGTATTTAATCTTTCTTTACTACCATCTGGAGATGAGGAAGATACATAATTAGCAATGGCTGACGTCACTTCCTTTATCGATGATTGTACTTCCGACAAGTTGGCTTGACTGGTCTGAAAAAGGTAAAAACAATGTAGTACTTAGAACCTTACTTTGTTGAAACAGGGTTAATATACGTTAATTATAATATTATTATAGTTGTAATGTTTAAAGCGAACAATTTCTTTAAATTTGATTAATAAACTGAAAATTAAAAATATTAATAGGTAACCCTAACATCATGTCAATGAACATAATATAATTATTATATCCATTACCAAATAAACAAACAAGCACAAACTTTTCTTAGTACATTTAAACACTTGTCCCAGTCATGGAAGATGTTATAACGAGAAGTTAACAACACAGTAATCCTTCTTTTTTTAAGTCTGGGGAAGAATTATCCTGCACAATATTATCTAGGGAGCATGCATGTTAAGTGTTTATTCAGTCATGGCTATATCAATATTGATGAACAAAAAAAAATGAACTATAAGAAACCAACATTTCCTTAAATATTATTTACACGAAAGCATTTTTTGTCAATGTTATAACATGTTTGAACAAAAGAATCACTTATGTCTTAAAAGTTATTAATGTTAAGCAATAATTTTTTGCCAAGCCACTCTTTGAAATAATATCTTATATTCTTTATCTATTACCTGTTCATGATGTTGTTGAGCAAGTAGTCCTGCGGCGAGTCGTTCAGCCGGAGTTCTAGGCTTGGACAATTTCTCTTGAGACCTCCAACCCAAATAGGGTTGTCGATAATTAAACGACGATCGTGTTGAGCTACAAGGAGATGTACTATTTGAATGTGTTCCTCCATTGAGACGGCTAGTACTCCAGCGCGAGAAGTTTTTGGTCGCAGCATGCGTTTGGGGACTAAGCAGCGACGAATTATCTAAAAATTAAAATTTCCAAACGATTTTTTAATCATAAAACATTTGTCACAGTACAATATACTAATATAATACTCACTGTGATTAGAATGTGCTTTAGGAGACTGCGACTGGGTGGACGACAAACTCGACATGCTAGTCGTATGACCGGCATCACTGTGCCTTTTCAACAAAAACCCTTGAGCGGGCACGTGGTTTGTCTTGTACCATTCAGGAAGATTTAGCCGTTGTAACGAACGTTGGATACGTAGTTCATGTTCAGACAGCATACGCTCGCCTCGGTTGACTGTCCCTTTGCGGAGTTCATTTTCTGGTACCTAAAACAAAAAACAAACAACATTTTTACTTGATTATTTAATTTAAATATAAAAAAAAAAAAAAAAACATTATCAAAATCATATCAAATTGTACTCAAAACTAACGCTAAAGCGGTAAACGGGTTGTTCGATACGTTTTTTCTTCACACGAAATACCGACTTGGGAATGCGTTTCAGGTCCCAAATTATACGACTTTCGATATAAGCGTGCATGGATTTCGTGTACAAGTAATCGTCGGTGTCCAACCATTTGTCGATTCTGTCCATTGTGATGGCAAATCAACAGGAATTAATTCAACAAAAAAACAAAGGCGAATTCGGACCGACCCGGTCAACAGAGCAAACGTGAATGTGCAAACCAACGTGTTGTTAACCGAATAGGCAACGATAATTTTAAATACATGTAAAGTGACCGTTATTAAACTTTGATTCGTTATCTACATTTGTATACGCCCTCTCCATCCTCCTCCGTGTATACTTTAACTTATATTTTGTTACAATAACAAATAATACGTTCTACTATTTCCGACTTATTGATAATAAATAAATATAAAACTATAAATAAACCGATAATATTGGTCGCTGATAAAGCCTGGCTATGTCTCGACTAGTAACGGACCGTCATTATCGTTATCATTTTTATTTTCAAACATTTATCTCATGTCCTCACATAATATAATATTATAATTCACAGACATATTAATAATATGAAATATAAAATAAATGTTGCCACCACCGCCCTCCCACTTCACGGCAATGTACGGTATCCGATTTCAGGTTAAAACAATTTTAAAAATTGAAATTATATGATATTAATAATTATACCTACTTTGTACAGTAGATTGTAAATGAATATAAAATAGTCAAAACAATTTTACCTATTTTATTTTATTCAAATAAAATTGTACTTTAATAAATTATTAAACGCAACAATTATTCAAATTCAATTTAATTTACATACAATTTTTTAAGAATAAATTATTTCTATTCGTTATAACTTATAAATATAGTAATTTTGGATATCACTTATTTTTTTCAATTTAATATTATTTTTAGTTCAATAAAATATGTACGGTAACTATGAATGAAGAACATTAAATACATTTTGTTATTTACGCAAATTATTATTTAATTTATAATTCTCATTTTTTTTATTGCGTTTGTATTCGTGAATAATGTTATTATGTTATTACAATAAAATTTGTCCAACACTATTTAATTTTTAATAGTAACATATAAAAATGTGTTAATACGTTTCAATAAATCAACTTAACTAATTATTAGATTAGATTACTAGACATTTAATTAGGCACAATTTAAAATTGAACGCACCTATGTTACATTATGTTATTCTAAATTAAAAACAAGACTAAATTTAATTTGATCGGATTCCGTGTTTATTTTAATATGTATCGATGTCGTGTTTTTAAGTTATTACAAATGATATAATCTTGTGACAGTATAAAAGGCATATAAGATGTGTAGTCCTAAGTAATTAGTTAATAGAATTTTAATGGGAAATTAAATATTTGAAATAAATCGTGTAAATGGGAAGTGTCAAACTCCAAAGAATCTTACTATTAGGCATTGAATCACTTCAATAAGTATTCAAAGGTCAACTATAAATTAGAATCTTCCATATTATATTATAACATAACCCGGTTTTAAAATTTAATTGGTTTATATTATCTCAAATTACCTTTTTCCTAACTACTGAAAACGTTAAGTTAAGATATGTTAATTAATTTAGAAAAAATCTGCAGTTAAATGATTTAAGTAACAAAACAAGTATGAAAACTCGCGAAATTTATTATACGTCGTAATTTGTTAGTTGTTAAAATTGTTCATTAAATTAGAACTTAATTACAGTATTATAAGTGTATACTGTATAGTTAATATTCAAAAAAACAACCAAACAGACAATGCGACAAATGAATTCATGTCTTTAAATTATTTATTCATTATATATAATTTATAAGAAATTTAGTTCAATTTATATATTTACATACTAACACATACAAACTTACATTGTTTTACTAAAATATTAATTACATAATAAGGGAAGTAGTCCAATTTTTCAATTTCTAGATAATGACACCAATTAATGGTACATTCATAATTGGACTACTGCCCTTCTTCCTCTGTGCCCTTCATATGTAGTATAATATTATAGTTCGTATTGACCACAGACTTTTTTTAAATTACTATTTAATTAATTTCAGTTTGACACAGTGATCATTTATTTGTATTCGCTTTAATTCGCTTGCAAATAGTCTCTATTAGGGTTGGGCCTATCCGGATAATTCGGATACAGATATCCGAAATCCGGATAGTTTCGGATATCCGGATAATCGATCAACTATCCGGATATCCGAAACTATCCGGATAGTTAAAAATTATCCGGATAGTTTCAGATATTCATTTCATTTTTATAAGACAAATATACCTTAATAATATAGTGTTTTTAAACATACCGAATAATAAAATAATGACACCTAATTAAATTTTACTATCACATGAATGATTTTTAGATATATCCGTGTCAGTGGTTGTTAACCGACTCTTTGCAGAGTCCATCCTCAGGGTTGTCACGACTGTTTTGCTGCCGGTTAATAACCACTGATACGGATATATCTGAAAATCATCCACGTGATATTTCAACTCGTGAAAATTTCAAAAAATACATAAATTTGAGTACTCAAAAAAATATATTCGGCTGGTTAAAAATTAAATGAATATCCCAAACTATCCGGATAATTTTTAACTATTCTGATAGTTTTGGTTCTACGAATAATTGAAATATTATTTGATATCCGAAACTATCCGGATAGTTTCGGATATCCGGATAGTTGATCAATTATCCGGATATCCGTATCCGAATTATCCGGATATCAAATAATCCGGATATCCGCAAAATCCGAATATTAGTCCCAACCCTAGTCTCTATATCCAGAAATTATCGATTTCCCCTTATCACACTACCGTTCCTATTCCCTCCCCAATATGTTACAAAGAAACCTCGAACATTTTCGACAGACTTGTCTTCAAGAGAAAAAACAGGCTTGTTATTTTGTCAAAATTCGCAAACGAGAGTGAAAAATTAAAAATCCGGCATTGAGGTGCATTCGGGGGATTCGGACCCTTCCGTCTACGTTTGTTCAAAATTCTAGATCTCTGCGAGCTGTATATTTGCCTGGGCATAGCAGATAAAACATGCATACATGCAAAAATACAATGCGAATCATGTATGTAGACAATTGATTAATATACATAATTGAATAAGGAATGCGATTTTGAAATTTACACTACGAAGAGTTGTCAGCTCAAAATATAATATTTACCATGTTTTAATTTTCGGTTTTTTATTTTTATAGGGACGATGATATTTTTATACTTCTATGCTATACGACGCAGTCAACTTTGGAACTGTTATGCGCTTTATATAGTAGTTTCGAATATTCCAGTCGAACGACTCCAGCTGATGATGCAAACGAGCAGACAAACAGACAAAAACGGATGAGCGTAGGACGGAATTCAGGAGGCGACACGACATATAATAATATTGTAAAGAATGCTCAACCCAAAATAGAAACTATTTTTAACAGCAATCGCAGTGTTCCGGGTTTATGTTTCATCTGAGCACTTGATTAGTGTATTACACACATTTTTATATTAAGCTACCCTGAAAATTTAACGACCATACTGGTTGTGAGACTCGTATCAAGTTCCACGACCAAGTGTTGAAATATTTACACTTCACACTGCAAACATTAAAAATACAATTTTTATTTTGCTGTTTCGTAAAATCTTATGTTTACTTAAAATCACTTGTATCCTTTTGATTCTCGCAATTTAAAAATATTAACGTAAAGTTACTGTCTATATACACGTATCATTCAATGTATTTTATCATTATATGGTAATGATAACAAAAATACCGACATTGTTCAAACTTTTACCGTGTATTGTTATGTTTGCTATATTGAAATATTGTGACAAACTACTAACACCTTAGTTTTTATTAAATTGTACATGTCAAAACAATTTTAAAATCCTCTACAGGTGTAACTCTATGATAAGTGATAACTATTAAAATTCTATTGGAGAAATTTTATAATCTCTGTTAACTTAACTTAACCGATAACAAATTAATAAGTTGAAAATGTTCACAACGTTTCAAAAATCGTATTATTATTTTTTTTTTATATATATATATTACTATATATATCATATTACCATATATTATTATTATCATTATATATTATTATTGTTATTTTCTATCATCTTGCATGCCAAAGACGATCGAAGAGATGATATGGATTTTCAGAAACATTATTTTCTACACTATTATAAACAATGTACAATATTTATTATTGTTTGTACAGCTCTTTACAAATGGTACATACCGTTAAGGTCGGCATAAAGTATAATATGGTGCTATTGACGGTAGGAGACAACATCAGCAACACTACTGCTGCGTTCCAATCGATTTTTCATCTATGTCTCACAATAATGTTATAGTAAAACCGACACACACATAATAATATACTGCATAGCATGCTGCAATGTCCCTGACCACGGCGTGACCCCAATCATGCGACGTATGAATTCATATAAACAAGTTAGTATTAGTGTTAAAATGATGTCACCGGTAGCGTCGGAATATGAGACACGAATCGAAACGATATGGTAATTAACTTATTCAATGTCAAAATTCAACGCTATCGAAAATAATACTACCTACAACATACTTGAAAAACGACTGAAGTAGATTTTCGTAAATATTATACACGAGACACAGTAAACAGTTAACTCAAATATAGTCATGTCATTAATATGAATTGTTTATTACTTTTATGATTTTTTTCTCACATGCAGTTAATAATTTATATCTACTCGTGGGCTGAAAGCTGATGATTGCGTATTCCAGTGTAGTTCCCAGATGAATAACAAAATCGATTTATCTCTCGCATGACTCTGTGCGGCTTTTCTTTCGCTAA